CCGGAAGGATGTGCGCGCTACGCACCAGTGTGGCAGCTCAACTGAATTTGGCGAATTTTTGGCAGTGGATTTTTGCACTTTCATGGTCATCAATGTCTATCAACGGCCACGCACAGCCGCAACGGGTATGCATTCTGAATTGCATGATGTTGTGACTGCACAGCAACATGGTTTTCCTATTATTATGATGGGTGATTGGAACGAACCTCCTCCTTCGAAGAGCGATGATTTTCTTCTCTGGTATGTGCATGAGGAGGGTCAACCTGTCGCGAGCAGATGGGATGGGGATAGGTGTGTTGACTATCTCCAGACGACACGGTCAGTGGAATGCCTCAACCTGACCTACCGAGATGAGAGTTTTTCTGACCACAAAATTTTGCAGGGTACTTTTACAGCTGCTTGCAATGTGGATCCAGCAATGCGAATGATAGGGACAAGGTCTTTTTTGCCTGGCAATGTGAGTCTTAACGACTGGACAACAGCTCTTGACAAAGCGTGGGAACATGTGAGGGTGCCCCGCGAGAGCAATACTGAACAGGAATGGTTGGAGTTCAATCAAATGGCTGAAGCAGCATCTATGCGTGCATTGGAAAGTTTGAATGTGCAAAAGGCGCGGCCACCTTGCATCCGTCCAAAGGGCAGCCTTCCTGTCTTCGCTGCTCCATCCACTGACGTGGATTTCAAAAGCAACTGCAAAACCTTTCGTTGGCGTAAACTTGCCAAACTGCTTGGTCGCATCAGGGAATATCAACGCCAACTTTATGCTGGTCGAAGTCCTCAACACTTGTTGCAGAACATCAAGCGCACGTGGCCGAATAGCCTTGCTTTCTCTGCTGATTGGACAATCAATGAGCAAAGAGTGGAAGATGAAATGCAAGCCGTTGCTGAATTTGCCAAGCAGCAGAGGCTAGACACTTGGAAGCGGAACATGCTGAAAGGTGGCCGTGAGGCCACAAAATGGTTGAACAATCATGCCAATGTTGTTTCGCCTTCTCTCTTGTATGACAGTGGTGGGCGGCGCGTGTCTACATATGGTCCGAACGATAGCCTTGAGCAACTCAAAGGTTTCTGGGACTCTATTTGGTATCGATACAGCAATGTCGATCTGGACTTCGCTTTGCAGCAGTGGCAGCGGGAGGGGCGCCGATCCCAGTTAGACTCCTTCAACATCAATGCTCAAGATTTGTGGATGAGCGCGCGCAAATCTTCTGGTTCCAGCGCGGGACCGGACGGTTGGACTGGAGACGAAGTTGCCGCCTGGCCGCTTCGTGCTTGGCAGGTGTATGCCAAGTTGCTGGCCCGTTGGCAGGCACGTCGACAATGGCCTGAAGCATGGAAACATGTGAGGCAGGTTCACCTGCCAAAAGAAATGTCTGCGAAGATGGTGGTGCAGTGCACGTCTCGAACATGCGCCCAATTTGTGTGCAATCTATCCTTTGGAGAGTGGTTGCTTCAAGTATCACACGTCATGCCAACGTCACTCGATGGTTGCAGCAAGTCCTACCACCTGAAGCTCACGGTGGTATTCCTGGCCGTGGCATTGACACAGCGGTCTCTTCTTTGGAAGAGGCATTCCAAAAGAGAAGTTCCATTTTGGTGACTATGGACTACAGTAAGTGCTTTGACATGGTTGCTCCTCGTCTGGCTTTAAAGACTTTGGAAGCGGCTGGTTTCCCTGATGTTTGGTGTGCCATGTTGAGCCATGTGTGGCTGGATCAACACCGCTGGCTTCAGTTGGGTCAAAACTTTTTGCCCCAAGCTTCAATTGTCTCAGAAAGTCTCCCCCAGGGTGACTCCTTCTCGCCTTTGACTCTGAATGTTTTGCTGTCCTCTCCAGTACGGGATGTGGCTCTGCAGGAACAACGTACAAACTTTGTCCAAGCTGTTTTTCTTGATGACAGGACCTATGTGGCAGTCAATCCGTCGCAGGCGCGCCGCGTCTTTTTGACTTGGGAGTGGTGGAGCAAGGTCTTGGGCCTTCGTGAGAACATGTCCAAGCTGAAGATCATTTCACGTCAAAAGGCTCAACATGCTGAACTTCTGCAGGTGGGTTTTCCTCGGCAAACGCTGACCTCACAAGCAAGGGTGTTGGGCATCGATTTTTGTGATCGTTTGAATATGGCTTCTCGTTCTACGGCAAATAAGCGTGTTCAGGCTGCTGAGCTTCAAGCACGGAGACTCTGCAAAACCAAAGCGGTGCCTCTTCAGGCCAAGAAAATGTTGTGGCGGACTCGCATTGTCCCCAAGGCAGCATGGGGGTGTTTCTTTCACATGCCAAAGATGACCTCCCTGCAGGCTGCTTATCGCAAGTTCATGTTTGTGCACGCACTGGGCTCACCTGATTTGAGATGTATTTTGGATGGGCACACTTCTGACCTTCATTTCGTGGCTGGCTCTCTAGTTGCAAGCGCTTTGCGCAAAATGGCCATCTCGGGCCGTGTCCGCTGGTATGAGCAGCCAAAATGCGGTACATGGTTGCACACCGTTCAAAGGTGGCTTTCAGAGTTTGGGTGGCAGGTCGCTGGACCTTGGAAATGGTGTCATGCTGCATGTCGGCTCTCTATGGACTGGATGGAACTCCTCGATATGCCCAACCAGGAGCGTTTCAAGTTTTTGCTGGATAAATTTGATCATGGTATTCGTGAAACATGGAGGTTTACGCATTTTTCTGCTTGGCTGAAGAGTAAACGTCGAGATGCGACAGCACTCAGAGGATTTGTTTTTTTACGATGAAGAGCGTTTCAAATTAACGAGACAGATGTTTGAGTCACAAAATGGTCATGGCAAGGCTGTCATGGTAGGTGCTGCTTGCAGCACTGCAATGTATCAAAGCTTGCGGCTTGGTGCAGTGGACAACTTTTGTCCTTGGTGTCAGGAACCTAGTGTCCTAGCCTGGGACCACTTATGCTGGTACTGCGGTGCCTTTGATGAAGTGAGACCTGCAATTCCGCAGGATTTGATGCAGAGACGTTTAGGTTGGCCATCCCTGCAGAGTGGTCACCATTTCAATGCTGAGGTGCTTGCGCACATGTCCAGTGTGCGAAGCAAGGTTTTGGAGAAGATGTGAGTTGTGGCCGTGTGCCACTTGGCGCTGCCATCCCTGAGGTGCAGCGTCAGCAATCAAATTATATATTGGCTAAGGTACTCGAGCCGGCGACAGCAGCGCCTCCAAGCGGGTGCCGGCGGGCCGTTCTACGGTGCAGAATGCTGCTGCAAAGGCTGGGTTGTGTCAAGGCGCACTGCAAATCGCCTTAGACATGCCTTGAATGGAAACGGATAGGTGATGCTTCTTGCACATTTCAGCATGTGGTTGCTGACAGTTTTGACAATTTTGATTTGGAGTGGATGTGTCGGCATTTGTCTGGGTCTGATCCACGGTTTGTGGAAAAACCAGTACATGTGCCGTGCAAGATGGATTGGAGGACGTCGCTATAAGCTTCCTAGACTTCGGTACAGACCATGTAAAAGTCAAGGAGAAACAGATGTGCAAGCGGAACATACTTGTTTTCCAAGCCTCCGAGGTGGGGCCGTCACAGGTGGCTCAAACAAACTGCTGGCAATTTTGTCCAAGTGCTTAGCAGAATACGAAAGTGAAAGTGATCCCGCTGCAAATGGTGTGGATAGTGAACAACAGTTGCTGGAGGAACTACAAAAGCTGGTTCAGAGACAGCCAAAAAATTTGTTGCAAGAGCTGAAAGCACTGGTGGCGAAGTTCACTCGTGCAGAAGCTGAGAAAAGACACAGTCACTGGAATGGTGCCTCATTGCAACCCAAAAACGATTGGGTTACAGTTGTCCGTGGCAAGCCCAAAAAACCCACGAACGCAGAGAAAGGACCGGCAGTGAACCAACAGCTGCCGGGAAAGTTGAGAGCAGATGACTGGAATGCCAAGATAGCTCAAACGTCAGATGAGCTTGAGAAGCTGTTGCAGACAGAGAAAAAAGTTGTGCTCGCTCCTGTGAAGAGCGATTTTGCGGCCGACATGTGGGCACTTCTTAAAGCTTTCCCAACTGCCAAAGCCACACTTGTTTTGCCAGAGTCCTTTCCGGTGCATGAGTTGTCCACTAGTTTAGATTCCACAAGCTGCATTGCGAGAGTGCCTATGCTGGTGCGAGGAGCTATTGTGCAACCGAAAGTTTGTTTGCTGAAAAAAGGAGGCGCGGATGCGCCGCAATTTGACCGGAAAGAAGTGTCAATCAAAAGTGATGGGAAAAAAGTTGAGACGGTAGTTTTGCGAGCAGCCACCCACAGAGATTTGGTGGCCAATTTTGAAAGATTACAGCGAAATCCCGGACAATCTGTCCGCTCCTGGATTCAATGGTCAAAGAGTTGTCCCTTAACTCAAGTTGGGGACACATGGGGATGGAACTTGTCAGGTCAAATCGTTTCTGGTGTAATGAGAGTTGACCTGAGAGCAGTCCCTGCGCTACTGCGAGCTAGTGGCCAACGCCATCAGTGTCATCGTTGGTATTTTGAGCCACTGCGTTTTGATGCTCCTTTGTCCAAGCCATTTGACAAACTCCCTGAGACACATTGGGTACAGGATGTGAGTTTGACTATGGAACAGAAAGCAGCCAAAGCTGAAAAACAAGCAGTTTTGTCTGACCTGGGTGTTAGACTTGGCACCCGACATGTAGGTGTACGGCAGATTCCTTCTTCAAGCAATTCGCCAAGGCCTCGTATTTGGAAAGCCACTGGGATACCCCGCTTTATGGGGGTGGAAGACATTGAAAACGTGCTCACTTCTGCGGGTTTTTCTGATTTTGAACCTTTGGAAAAATTCCGTTGGAGACAATACACTGGATATACTTTCAAAGCTTTGCGGTCTGACGACAAAGATGTTTTGACTGTCAAATATGGTGAGACTCCCATTGAAGTCTGTACTCAAGGGCGACGACAGCAGCAGCGTCGTGTGACTATGCCTTTGCCAGGTGAACGACGTGTCCATTTTGGTCGCAAAGAGCACACTGCATCAGCGGTGGAAGTCGAAGAACAAGAAGTGCCTGCTACAATTCCAGACACACCCATGGAAGAAAAGGATGAGGACGATGCTGGAATGGAGGGAGCTACAAAACGAGCTCAAAGCACTTCACCTGAGAAACAGCCACCGAAAAAGCTGAAGGCTGATACCAGCCTCCGAGGTTTTACCGAAAGAAGCAACCCTGGAAATGGCGACTGCCTTTTTTGGTCGCTCTCACAAAGTTTGGAACATGCAGGCGCCAGTAGCAAAACGCCTTTGCAATGCCGAGCAGCATGTGTTGCACACCTCACCAAGTATGCTGAGGCTTACAGTCGGCACTGGGATGGCTGTCACCCTCAGCAGGGTGACCATGTTATGCAAGAGCGCAAGTTCGAACAGTACTTGGAAGAAGTGGGAAAACCCCAAGCCTGGGGCAGTGCGCTTGAAGTCACTGCTTTTTCCAATACGCAAGACAGACCCATCTACGTTGTTTCTCCTGCTGATGACATGGTATATGTTTTCAATCGAAACGGGCAGCGAAAAGCTTTGTTTTTGAAGTATGACAAAAGCAGCCAGCACTACACGAGCTTGATCCCAGACTCTGCTGAGTCGCCACCAAGCTTCACCACTGTGTGCGACGGTCCTCATGTTGGCCTTCGTGGTGCGGCAAAGTCTTCTTCTGCTGGCACAAGAATAAGCGTCCAGAAGAAGCTCAAGCAAAAGCTGGAGACACAGTCAGCTGGAACAAGAACTTCCGTCCGGAAGCGTTTGGGTGGACGAATTCGACCTGGGGAAAATCAGTCCATATCCTCAGCGTTTCATTCTCAAGCACCTCCTCCTTTGACAAGAGGCACCAATGGCCGAGGTCATGATGGCCCTCCAGATTCCCTGAGCGAAGTTTGCACGTGGCACTGTCCTGTTTGTATGCGGACACTCCGAGCAAAGCAGTTCTCTTTGCTATCTAAAAAGCGAAACGGACATATCAGAAATGTTCATCCCAACATGCCAAAGTCATCCTTTCATACTTTGAGGACGCACTATGATCCTGTCCCTACCCGACCTGTTGGTGAACTTCCTCGCCAAGGTGTTTGGATCTGTGAATACTGTGGTCAAGGGCTGCCATCGATGCCTGAGCCCCAAAAGAGGTTGAGCATTACGTGTCACTTCAAGCAATGCGGTCAGGCTCCAAGAAATGCAACAAGGAACACAAATGCAAAGAAAAGAAGACGTAGCAAAGCTGGATGGATGGGACATAATTTCGTCCAAAACTGCAGAGAAGAGTGCCGTGTGTACGGGGAAACAACCGGGCACACCCTTGTCTATTGTCCTGGCGATAAAGAGCGTTATTCTACGGTGGTCTGCTCTGCTTGCACGCGTTTCTGGAATTCCCTGGCCGATGTCAAGAGATATGCAGACAAAATCAACAAACAGAAAGGAGTTAAGTGCCCTGGAAACCGAGGCCGCCGTCAACAACTTCGCAGGAAAAGCACTCTTCAATTGTGGTCCAACTACCCTACTTGGAGGCAACGTTTGGCAAAGGCGTGGTGTTTGCTGCCCGAAGAGCGCAACCTTTTGAATTCTGTGCCCAATGACTTTACAAAGGTTGCCCAAGAAAATGGTCACCAAGTTGTTTCGATGCCGGACTTCCGCACAACAGCTGGTTATGGTGTTACCGCATATGCATGCAAATCTTGTGCACAGATGTGGTGTAGTCCAAGTGCGTTCTTTGGAAGAATCAGACAAGGATGCAATGTGAAATGCCCTGGGAAAAAAGGCAGAGCTGTTTTGTTGAATAGCAGAAAGCGGCGGCAAAACTGGCAACAATGGTCACCAAAGCAAAGGAAGCTTTTGACGCAGGCCTGGCGGCTCCAGCGGCATGAGCAAGATGTCTTGAAGCAGCCAGCCCTACAGAAAACCAGGTGGCAACGTAGGCTGGTGGAGGACGGCGACATTGAGGAGAATCCTGGCCCGTGTTGTCTTTTTTGGTGCCTCAATGTCCGTGGTCGTGAAGGTGCTTATCGTTTCCTGGATTTACTGGCAGCTGAAAAGAACAAGCCGCATGTTGTGGCTTTGCAAGAAACAAACATGGATGAGCGTGAAGCCCAGCAGTTTTCACGTTTTGCAATGGCTCGTGGATACAGGTCCTGGCACGTTACTTTACCACCTCGGCTTGATGCTCGTGGAAATGAGCTTCAGAGGCGCGGTGTGTGCCTCTTGGCCCGGAAGGATGTGCGCGCTACGCACCAGTGTGGCAGCTCAACTGAATTTGGCGAATTTTTGGCAGTGGATTTTTGCACTTTCATGGTCATCAATGTCTATCAACGGCCACGCACAGCCGCAACGGGTATGCATTCTGAATTGCATGATGTTGTGACTGCACAGCAACATGGTTTTCCTATTATTATGATGGGTGATTGGAACGAACCTCCTCCTTCGAAGAGCGATGATTTTCTTCTCTGGTATGTGCATGAGGAGGGTCAACCTGTCGCGAGCAGATGGGATGGGGATAGGTGTGTTGACTATCTCCAGACGACACGGTCAGTGGAATGCCTCAACCTGACCTACCGAGATGAGAGTTTTTCTGACCACAAAATTTTGCAGGGTACTTTTACAGCTGCTTGCAATGTGGATCCAGCAATGCGAATGATAGGGACAAGGTCTTTTTTGCCTGGCAATGTGAGTCTTAACGACTGGACAACAGCTCTTGACAAAGCGTGGGAACATGTGAGGGTGCCCCGCGAGAGCAATACTGAACAGGAATGGTTGGAGTTCAATCAAATGGCTGAAGCAGCATCTATGCGTGCATTGGAAAGTTTGAATGTGCAAAAGGCGCGGCCACCTTGCATCCGTCCAAAGGGCAGCCTTCCTGTCTTCGCTGCTCCATCCACTGACGTGGATTTCAAAAGCAACTGCAAAACCTTTCGTTGGCGTAAACTTGCCAAACTGCTTGGTCGCATCAGGGAATATCAACGCCAACTTTATGCTGGTCGAAGTCCTCAACACTTGTTGCAGAACATCAAGCGCACGTGGCCGAATAGCCTTGCTTTCTCTGCTGATTGGACAATCAATGAGCAAAGAGTGGAAGATGAAATGCAAGCCGTTGCTGAATTTGCCAAGCAGCAGAGGCTAGACACTTGGAAGCGGAACATGCTGAAAGGTGGCCGTGAGGCCACAAAATGGTTGAACAATCATGCCAATGTTGTTTCGCCTTCTCTCTTGTATGACAGTGGTGGGCGGCGCGTGTCTACATATGGTCCGAACGATAGCCTTGAGCAACTCAAAGGTTTCTGGGACTCTATTTGGTATCGATACAGCAATGTCGATCTGGACTTCGCTTTGCAGCAGTGGCAGCGGGAGGGGCGCCGATCCCAGTTAGACTCCTTCAACATCAATGCTCAAGATTTGTGGATGAGCGCGCACAAATCTTCTGGTTCCAGCGCGGGACCGGACGGTTGGACTGGAGACGAAGTTGCCGCCTGGCCGCTTCGTGCTTGGCAGGTGTATGCCAAGTTGCTGGCCCGTTGGCAGGCACGTCGACAATGGCCTGAAGCATGGAAACATGTGAGGCAGGTTCACCTGCCAAAAGAAATGTCTGCTGAAGATGGTGGTGCAGTGCACGGCTCGAACATGCGCCCAATTTGTGTGCAATCTATCCTTTGGAGAGTGGTTGCTTCAAGTATCACACGTCATGCCAACGTCACTCGATGGTTGCAGCAAGTCCTACCACCTGAAGCTCACGGTGGTATTCCTGGCCGTGGCATTGACACAGCGGTCTCTTCTTTGGAAGAGGCATTCCAAAAGAGAAGTTCCATTTTGGTGACTATGGACTACAGTAAGTGCTTTGACATGGTTGCTCCTCGTCTGGCTTTAAAGACTTTGGAAGCGGCTGGTTTCCCTGATGTTTGGTGTGCCATGTTGAGCCATGTGTGGCTGGATCAACACCGCTGGCTTCAGTTGGGTCAAAACTTTTTGCCCCAAGCTTCAATTGTCTCAGAAAGTCTCCCCCAGGGTGACTCCTTCTCGCCTTTGACTCTGAATGTTTTGCTGTCCTCTCCAGTACGGGATGTGGCTCTGCAGGAACAACGTACAAACTTTGTCCAAGCTGTTTTTCTTGATGACAGGACCTATGTGGCAGTCAATCCGTCGCAGGCGCGCCGCATCTTTTTGACTTGGGAGTGGTGGAGCAAGGTCTTGGGCCTTCGTGAGAACATGTCCAAGCTGAAGATCATTTCACGTCAAAAGGCTCAACATGCTGAACTTCTGCAGGTGGGTTTTCCTCGGCAAACGCTGACCTCACAAGCAAGGGTGTTGGGCATCGATTTTTGTGATCGTTTGAATATGGCTTCTCGTTCTACGGCAAATAAGCGTGTTCAGGCTGCTGAGCTTCAAGCACGGAGACTCTGCAAAACCAAAGCGGTGCCTCTTCAGGCCAAGAAAATGTTGTGGCGGACTCGCATTGTCCCCAAGGCAGCATGGGGGTGTTTCTTTCACATGCCAAAGATGACCTCCCTGCAGGCTGCTTATCGCAAGTTCATGTTTGTGCACGCACTGGGCTCACCTGATTTGAGATGTATTTTGGATGGGCACACTTCTGACCTTCATTTCGTGGCTGGCTCTCTAGTTGCAAGCGCTTTGCGCAAAATGGCCATCTCGGGCCGTGTCCGCTGGTATGAGCAGCCAAAATGCGGTACATGGTTGCACACCGTTCAAAGGTGGCTTTCAGAGTTTGGGTGGCAGGTCGCTGGACCTTGGAAATGGTGTCATGCTGCATGTCGGCTCTCTATGGACTGGATGGAACTCCTCGATATGCCCAACCAGGAGCGTTTCAAGTTTTTGCTGGATAAATTTGATCATGGTATTCGTGAAACATGGAGGTTTACGCATTTTTCTGCTTGGCTGAAGAGTAAACGTCGAGATGCGACAGCACTCAGAGGATTTGTTTTTTTACGATGAAGAGCGTTTCAAATTAACGAGACAGATGTTTGAGTCACAAAATGGTCATGGCAAGGCTGTCATGGTAGGTGCTGCTTGCAGCACTGCAATGTATCAAAGCTTGCGGCTTGGTGCAGTGGACAACTTTTGTCCTTGGTGTCAGGAACCTAGTGTCCCAGCCTGGGACCACTTATGCTGGTACTGCGGTGCCTTTGATGAAGTGAGACCTGCAATTCCGCAGGATTTGATGCAGAGACGTTTAGGTTGGCCATCCCTGCAGAGTGGTCACCATTTCAATGCTGAGGTGCTTGCGCACATGTCCAGTGTGCGAAGCAAGGTTTTGGAGAAGATGTGAGTTGTGGCCGTGTGCCACTTGGCGCTGCCATCCCTGAGGTGCAGCGTCAGCAATCAAATTATATCTGGCTAAGGTACTCGAAACGTGCCTTTGTCCACCACTATGTAGGCGAGGGCATGGAGGAGGGCGAGTTCTCTGAAGCCCGCGAAGATCTTGCTGCCTTGGAGAAGGATTACGAAGAGGCGGGCGCATGACAAAATTAATCAGCAACAGACAAGAATACCCAGAGAAAATGAAATTCCATGACAGTTTGAGATTCCACCATGATTATTTGGGACTGAAAATCAACTAGGCATCATGTGTTGGATTCCCGAGCATTTCTTGGCAAATTTGTCCAGATTTTGATGTACAAATTTGTGCAAACGATTGCAAACGCATGTTACCCAATTCTCCTTTCAAACTTGTAATTTCTATTGTTTCGGCGATGTGGCAGCATCTTTGTCATGTGGCCGTCATTGGTCGAATTCGACCATTCTTAGGTGGGCATCGAGACGGCAGAGGGCGAAGGCCGGTGGTATTTTGGAAAACCTTTCGTGTTTTTTTTTCCAATTTGACGTGTCAAATTCAGAAACAATAAACATTTATACTATTTAAATGTATTTTATAATTTGTTTTCAAAATAGGTTTTGGCACCCTACCATTCAAAGACGCATTTGGTATCTGGAATCATTTATATAGAGTTTGTTTGGCTGTGCTACATGCCTTGGAATGTTCCTGGTTGTCATATGTTTTTGTTTGTTTTTGTACGTTTCTGCATATGATTGTTTTCTTGGTTCAAATCTGTATATATATATATATAATTTATATATAGTATGTTTTTTTTTAACACCCGATATCAAACAAACACTTTTTGTGCATGATCATGTTGCGCATAACCATTCGGGCAACAACCGTGCAGGCGAAGAGGAAGGCTATGGTGACGAGTTCTAGCCGCTTTCAGCCGAACCGTGCTGATCGCAAAGTATCTGACGTGTTCATCCAGCATACCAACTTGCTGGAAGAACGCCTTGAATACTTGTCTACCCGTTGCACACCCGGGCGACCGAGTGTGAGGGCGAACTGTGCATGTGAAAATGCCGCTGCGGTCGGTCATGGATTCTAGATCGGACCTTGCCATCAATGATGGTTGATAGTGAGAAATGTATCGCAAATGGCAATGGATGTGGTCTAGTACCATCTAAGCATTTGCAAATTCCACACCTCCAAAATGGTGGGTCATTTTTTTCAGTTTCCGTGGCATCAGGTACCCATCTTCCGGCATTTGAACAAGCAACAAACCGAAAGAGTTGTGATGCCATCGACTCAGTCGGACTCGGACCTTGGGACCGGATGGTTGCTGTTTGGGATCCATATTGGACTATGTTTGTTGTTGGTGTTTCAACCCAAGAAAACATAGCATGGATGTCCCAAATTCCATCAAATTCCCATTGGTTGGTGACTAGAGGGGTTTCTTCAGAAAACCTTTTAGCAACAGGTCTGTTTGATGATAGATGGTATGCCAAACCGGCCCCTCTATTTTTACCAAAAGGACATTATTGAAACATGGTGACTGAATTGAACAAAAAAGGATAAAAAAGGTATGTCACATGTTTGAAGTCTGAGAAAAACTATTGGCATGTCCAAAACGCTGCCAGCATTGGGAGATCTAACCAGCCTGAGGGAGAAACGTGCCTAAACACAGACCGAAAGATGTTGGAAAGATTGGGTATGAGCTTCGTTGCGATTTCCCCATGATCCCCATCTTGGTCGCAACTCCTGTCCAGTATTTCATCACACCCACTCTTGGACACATGTGAAAAATATGAGGATTTTCTGCATCTTCCTATGAGGGTACCCGGAACATCCCGGAACATTGGTTGCTCCTCATAAATGGGGGTTTCCATAAATGGGGGTATCCAAAATGGTTGGTTTATTTCATGGAAAATCCCATCTAGCTCCATGAAAATCTTGACCTTAGCCATCCTTCCCCCATATTCTCCACCCACAGCATTCAGCACCCCAAGGTCCTTGCAAGATCGGAAGTGCATATACGGTGAGGTCGTGATTCGGCAAGGCCAGTGGGAACATTATATCAGAAAGAACCCCAAATAAAACATGGTGGTTTCCGTAAATGGGGGTACCCCCAAATGGATAGTTTATAATGGAAAATCCCTGAACGTCCTATTAAGATGGATGATTTAGGGGTACCCCTATTTTAGGAAACCTCCGCATGAATCATGTTGCGAAATCTGTACCACAATAAAGTGAAACAACATTTTGTTTCTGAGAAGTACTGTTTGGATGTGTTTGGTCAGAAGAACATGGATCCTTCACCGCACACTCAAGCCTTGAAAAACACAATCATTACCCTCTGGTAAACTAACATAGCCATGGAAAATGACCATGTTTAATGGGTAAATCCACTATTTCTATGGCCATTTTCAATAGCAAACTGTTAGTTTACCAGAGGGTATGTCAATTGTAGATCTACACTTTCATGTTAAGGAGCAGGCTCAAACGGCCCAGGTCTTTTTTCCTTCCTTGCAATGAATGGGTATGAAACTGGTCGACCCAGTGATGATCTGCAATATGGTTCGTGATATATCTTGATATATCTTGATATCAAACGATATTACATGATCTTACATGATTTCAATGTTAGGGTACCCCAGTTGCTTGACCAATTGGTTGATTAAAATCCCCACTGTTTGGTTGGCTCAAAACCCATTTTTGACGCAGACCATTGAGTTCTAAAACGAGTTTTGCTGTAGCTGCAGGGGAGTCGGGCAATCACTTTTTCGTGATCGTGAAGGGTGAGACCACTGTGCCCTGAAGTGAAGATCTTGGGCAGTCGGGATAGCCAGGGTCAACCTTGAGGTTGGACGCGTACTTTAGTGCCCCCCAACAATGAAGATCTTGGGCACGCAAAGTCGATCCTTTGTCACCGGGAAATCAGATTCATTACCCTCCAGTAAACGTTCACAGTTTACTATGGAAAACCACCATTGTTAATAAATTAATCATCTATAAATGGGCAATGTTTAAATTACCAGAGGGTCTATTTTTTTCAGTCCCATTAAAGACATGTGCTGATTGGTGGTTGAATGTCCCATCTTGGAATGGTGAAACGCACCATGGCAAGACGATTCCAGACGTCTTTGCCTCTTGGAGGTTTATCCATGTTTATCCCATTTAAGAACTAGTCAGTCATAAGCATGTTTCATGTCTATCACCCATTGTAAATATATATATATAATACACATATCAATACATATTAATAATACATATTAAATATGTATATATGTATTTACATACATATATAATCATATATAATCATATATAATCATATATATATCAACATCTATGAACACCAATAAACCCATGGCCTTCTTTCAGAGGTCACAATCGATGGGAAGAAGATCCGAACGCAGGGCAAGAACGCATCCTTTGGAGAGACTTGGCGCGAGCTTGCACCGACAGGTCACGCTGGCTATTTCAGTTGGGAATTCACCAGGATATCAACAAAGGATACTGTACATTCAGGATTACCCTCTGGTAACTTAACATAGACCCTGGTAGTTGTTGGGGTTGGAAGATTTGTGAAACCTCTAACAATTGGTGATTTTCAGGATCCAACTGTTTATTTACCAGAGGGTATATTGGGGATATGTATCATTAGATTTAGTTACCCTTTGGTAAACTAACATAACTATGGAAAATCACCATGTTTAATAGTAAATTCCACTATAAATGGTCAATTTTCAATAGCTATGTTAAAGTACCAGATGTCAATTCATAATTCCCATGGAATATGTGAGTTGGGTGTATTTACTATATAACATGAAGATTACCATTCTTATTATGAGTAAATCATCTGTAAAGGCAATTTTCATAGCTATGTTAGTCCACTGGAGAGTATATGGGGGTGTACTTAACCAAGCATTTTATGGAGATAACGGGGACACAATGGACAATGGGATGTGAATTGGGGATTTTAGCAACAAATATGGTGATGATAATGATTAGGAATGGTTAGTTCTCTATGAAGGTTGCGACTTGGGAATAGTGATGTATGCTACATTCTTGGAGACCAAGCGGCGGGATGTCATCATGGGGTGGATTTCGGAGATAGCTGGTATGCCGATGGCGAAAGCTGATGATGCTTGCTGCATTGCTAAAACAACAAAGAATCTACGACAGGACGTTTAAAATTGGCAAGAAGAAGAAGTCGGTACGGGTTGCACGGAATAGTTATTGATGAAATCAACAAAACGCGGAGGAGGAGGAGGAGCAGTGGAAAACCACGTAGAGTAGTGAGTGCGTGCTCGGTTGAAATCAGACCACGAAATGCTAGGTGACTTGGAATACCCCGCTATTCTTGACAGATACAGTAGAGACTCCAATCATCTCCAATCATTTGTTTTTGATCATTACCTATGACTTGTTACATTGCGCCATTGTTGGTTATTTCATGTTGTTGCCATTCCCTTTCTGGCAGGTTGAAAAAACATGCCCATATACTGGATACTATCCCATAAGCAGCATCAGTGAAACGTGTGCTTGTAATGAAGTTACATGTTTAATTATGTTTCATTCTGTTTAATTCTGTTGAATTCTGTTTAATTCTGTTTCATTCTGTTCAATTCTGTTTGTATAATCTCATGCTTTAGGCAATTGACCTATCTTCATGTCATACAGCCCAATAAATCACAACTTTCTCACCGCTTGGAGGAACGTGCTCTTCTCTTCGACGAGCCACGTAGTGCAACTGTGCAGGCCTGGCAACTGGAGGGAAGCAAAGATAATGGCTATGGCTATGGTTCAAACATGGGGTAAATAGCATTGGACTCACAAAAGGCGTGTCATGGCTTGTTCATTTTTAGGTATTTAAGCCTTCATTCTGCTTTGGAGGTTTATGATTTCTATCAAGAAGTGGAGGCTTGAAAGATATTGAATGAGTATATGTTTGGGGTATTAATATTTTTTCTTGACCACTTAAGATTGCAATGTCATATTTATAATTCCAGGGGAGTATAATTTTGTTCTATCAAATTAAATCAATTAAATATTAGCCATTTTGCTAGGAACAACCATTTTAATTCCCCTGGAACAACTATATTTGATTGACTACTCCCAAAATGACCATTTGGAGGTTTCCTAAAATGGGCGAACCCCCAAATCCAACTCATGGATGACCATGACTTAGTAACTCTGTAACTTGAAACCTATGGTGACTTGGGGTACTCCCATTTTAGGACACCTCCATTTTGATATCATCAAATTCGATGTGTTTTTTTTGTTTCGATTTTTATTTGGATTAAATCAGCAACACGTCCCGTCATTTTGCGAGCCAACTTTTAGTTTTCCCATTCATATGAGTTATATAGGTGATTGTAAAGGTTACCCTCTGGTAATTTGTTACGTAGCTATTGAAAATGACCATAGAAATAGTGGATCTTCCCATGAAAAGCATGGTCATTTTCCAGTTCGCTACGTAACAAATTACCAGAGGGTATATAGTTCATAATCCCCAATTAATATAGGTTATTGTTCAGGTTATATAGTTCATAACCCCCAATCACCAGGTAGTATCAGCTTATCCACCACGACTCAAACGCGCTGCCAGGTCTCGAGTGACAGTGCGGAGCTGTGGACCTTGGAGAAGTCGGTCTTCAAGCGCCTTGGCCGTCACCGAGATGATGGGCGAACGGGCCAAGATTAATAAGGTAACTATCCTTTAAAATTCATCTGAAAACCATCACACCATGAATAAGGTAACCATCTATCCAACATCTCAATTCAGTTTTTATGTTTTTTTTCAGATGATGGTTTGAAACTTTGGGAAATTTGGATTGGAATGGTATGATTTTCACAGTTTGGACTGGTGAGAAACCATAGAGGATAGTTTAATCAACGGAAATTGCACGAAATGGCAACTGTTTAAATATAATTTGCAATTTCTGAAAGACACTGGGAACTGAGATAATCAGTAAAATAAAGTGTTCTTCAGTCAAATAGATCATGTTGATCCATTTTTGGTAGGCTCATGTAGGCGCCCGTAGGTTTTTGTGAGCGATAAAAAATGGTTCCAAATTCTGTTCATCCAACATGCGCTCCAACATGTTGATAAATGATAGCCAGATGAGCTGGACATGGCTGCTTGATATAGCTACAGAAAAAACAATTCCATCAGGTAATCCTTCCTCGGTTTTTTGTGTGTTGCGGTTTCGCAACTCTGTACTTCAGATTTACCGAGTTTCAAGCCAATCCTCGGTTCTTTTTTTTTTGATGTTTGGGCTTTCGCATGTCAGAGGCAGATCATTACGGAGAAGATGAGAAGAGACTTGGAATATCGGATCAGCATCCAAGATGCTGGTGCCACTTGGCTCACTTGGCCTTGATCCTCTGCCAGCAGGTGATTTTCCGAAAGCATTGAGCTTGGGTTCCTATCCAACTAGGAATCGTCCCCAGAATGCTGATGAATTATGTTTCATACTCCATTTTTTAAAACAAATCCTTTCTATAACAGGCTTCAACACTGGCTTCAGCCTCATACCCTTTCGTATTTCGATCGGCCAAATGGAGGTTTCCAGATCGTCATGGAAATCCCCAGTTATCCATTTTTCTCTGGGATTTTCCATGAAAACCAGCGAGCGACCGGGGAAATCATCGAAGTCCAAGGTTACCCTGTCGGACCTGAAATCCATCAGTTTCCTGGGCGCTGGCGCCTTCAGTACCGTTCGCCTGGTCGAGCACAGGACCTGGCGGATTGCTGGTGGATTGTTGGGGGTCGAAATGCGCGAATTGAAGGATTAGCACACAGATTTGTTGGGAAGGTTTAGCAAACACACGGTCCTTTCATTATTTTTTTTGAACAAATGATGAATTTAGAATAATTTAGATCCATTTCATCCAGTTTTCACTGTTACAGGGCCCAAATTGTGGTACACTCGTGGTTGAACCCCCCGAAGTACAAGGACTCCCTGACGTCTTTGTTTAATAAGCAACCAACAGTTGGGCTAGGTCAACAGCCCGAAATTGACCTGAACCAGGAAGACTGGTGCGAAGTATGCCCTGAAGACCTGTAAGCGAACCCTGAATGGCAAGATGCCAACAGAGCCTTGGAGGCGAATTGTGAACGAGTTGTGAACTGCGACTGGTTTCAATTTTCAAAGAAACCATTGGTCTTAACTTTAGACCACCAAGAATGAGGTTTAACATGGTTTAACATAAACCTTTCATGAGTATATTTGGTTTCAATTATTGAAATCGTTTTCTATCCGTGTTTGGGATTGTTATTCATTATTTTGAGTTGAACTGATGTTTGTTGGGGTAGGGCCAAAGAACACACCACTTGAGAACGACCTGCCACTTTGAGTACATGTTTCTCATTGGTTTCATTGCCAATCTTGTGCGAAGCAGGTAAGTACAAGAAGATTTGTTCAACTCCGGTCATTTCACTGCTTGTGAATCATATCGATGGAATACCACGGCTGTGCCAACGCCAGCTGGATAGACGATAAAACACTGATTGTGGACAAAAAAAACCGCGCTTTCCAAGGAAATGAAAACCGAATGCGACATCTTAGCAGAGAATGATCATCCCTTTATTTTGCGCCTTGGCGAATGAACTTTTGGGCATTTCAGCTACAGTAAACTGTGGGAATCTGCAGGATATCTCGACCTCACTGGACGACCTCATGGTTCAAAGGTGTTCTTTCACCCCATTTTTGGGGCCAAGATTCTGTGGGAGAGCCATCACAACCAAGTTGTGTTGATGGATCTTGACAGTTCATCTCAGATCTACTGTAGCTAAGTAGATGTAAGAAAACTAGGATATCAAGCTGCAATAAGCTGCACCACTCAGGATATCAAGCGTCTCCCTTGTTGATACCCATTGATTCCCGGAGGATTCCAAAAACGCTCCCACTGCGACTCGATCCGAGGTACATGGTGGCCGTCTTTGAGACGAAGACCTATGTGAGCATGCTCACCGAGATCTTGGCCGGAGGCCGGTCAAGTGGGGCGGACTGGACTGGTCAAATGATTGTCATTAGAATTAGTTGGGGAAATTCCGCTGGAAAATCCTAAATGAAATAATGATAACATTTCTATAGAGATTTTCCCATTAATTCATTATTTATCATGAGGTTTTCCCATTAATTCATTATTTATCATTATGATAAATAATGAATTAATGGGAAAATCTCTATAGAAATGTTAGTCCCACTGTAAAACGCTTTGGTAATAATGGGAAATTCCCAAAGTCAATGGAGGTTTATAGCTCGGAAAATCATCTGTAAATGCAGGATTTTCCAGTTGGCGTATCTCATGCCTTATTGACTTGGATATGGAGGCTATGGAGGTACCCTTGTTTTGGGAGATTGACCATGGGTTGTTTTGGCTACAACTTTGTGAAATCTCAGTATTGTCGGTGGTTTGCCCAGTATTGTCACCTGTATTTATCAGGAAATATCAGGATTTTGTTTACCTCTATATTGCATCCTTATTATTTGCTCATGATGGTTGGCATACGATGCGCGTGCGCCCATTGTGGTCTCTTTTTTCATGAATGCTGGATTAAGATCCCGATTCCTGAAGGTGAATGCTCGATATTCTGGCCAGTTTCTGGCATCCAATTCTTGATGGAAAAAATGCACCACCACAGAAAAAAAACACATCAAACAAAAACTAAAAAGAGATTTCATGGCTAATATGCCATTCCGTATTTCTATATTATGTATATTCCCAACACATCCCATAAAGAAGGTGCGACCCCAGCCCAGAATAAGCAGCATCCACTGGATGAGTCCCGCAGGTGAGCTTTGGTCGGCCCTGCGAAAACTGCCGGTGATGTTGCCTCGAGAGGCGGAGATGCGTGGCTGCTTGGTGTAATTTTTATAACAAAAACTAGGGATTCAACCTGCAAAAAATGGGGGCATAGTGGGTGTATCATCAATAAATTGATGTGTTTTGAGATGTTTTGATGTTGGTTGCAAATAAGTCAAATTACCTTTCATACTTATATAACCTCCCTATCTCCTACCTGGAAGGATCAACCAGAAATTCCAGAGACGACCAAGGGCCACATTTCTGCTGGCTTTCGTGGTCGATTTCAGGGCAAATCTTGGGTGCAAGGTTGTTGAGCGGAAGGTTTTTGAATGTTTTTTGGTTGACAGAAAAGAGAGATAAGATCCACCAAAATGACAACCAATCTATAGATTGATATAAATTTATATAAATGATGATATCGTGTTGTATTCACCATGCATTTCGAAGATTTTGGACGTTTTGTTTTTTTTTCAAGTTTTTTTTGTTCGGTGCATATCCGCAGCTTGAGACTCAGTGTCGGATTCTCGCATCGCTCCCATTCGCAGCTCCCCTGTCATCATGGCGGCAGCCCTGAGCTTCTGGGACGACTGACGAAGGGTGGCACCTTTGGAAAGTGACCATCCAACTTAGTGTCTCCATTCTATTCTAATAGATGTGCCTTTTGGTGGGATTAAACGCACATAAATAAAACGTCAATAAACGTCATTATATAACATGATCTTGTACCAAACAAAAACACCATACCTAAAGTTTGTGATTTTTGTTGCTTCCTGGAAAGCCTGGAAATTCTTGGGCTTCACTTAGGCATGGAAGAGGTGGCCAAGCACAACACCAAGGAGGATTGCTGGGTCGTTCTCTACGGAAAGGCCACGGGTCGTGTCACTGGTGGTCCAGTGGTTGAGGAAGGTGTCGTTAGAGATGGCCAGAAGACCTGACATTTGTGGAGTTTATCTCTTATCCAACCAAGATTTGATATGTATATGTATATAATTATATATGTGTATATACAATTATATGGAATATACACTTAAGACAATATTGTATCTCCACATATAAGATATTTTGAGGAGAACTCCCCAACCATTGGTTTCGGGAAGATCATCTTACGCCTTGCACGTCGATCACGTCGCAGGCCTATGACTTGACGAAATTCGCCAAGGTCCACCCTGGTGGTGCCAAGCTCATCACCGATGCAGCGGGGATGGATGCCACGGCCATTTTCGATCCCATTCATCCCAAGGTGGGGGGTCCCATGGGGTCCCTTTGCAGGTCGACACCTGAAGTCGTGGGGTTAAGAATGGGTTTGTCTGGGTTTACCACACTGCGATTTTGTCCAAGATCTCCTTGTGTGGAGGATATCATGGACAAACTCCTGAAACCTTCCTTGACCATGGGCGTGGTGGATGTTGCCACCATCAAGCCTGAGCACGTGGCGAAGGCTCCTGAGGCCTGATGTAGGGCTGGTGATAGACATCATGAGCGCTACCGAGGCTGTAGGTTGGCAACATACCGGGGTAGGAGTGCTGTAGGTTGGCAACATACAGGGCTAGGAGTGCTGTAGGTGGGCAACATACAGGGCTAGGAGTGCTGTAGGTTGGCAACATACAGGGGTTAGGAGGGCTGTAGGTGGGCAACATACAGGGCTAGGAGGGCTGTAGGTCGACAACATACAGGGCTAGGAGGGCTGTAGGTTGGCAACATACAGGGCTAGGAGTGCTGTAGGTTGGCAACATACAGGGCTAGGAGGGCTGTAGGTCGGGAACATACAGGGCCAGGAGGGCTGTAGGTTGGCAACATACAGGGCTAGGAGGGCTGTAGGTGGGCAACATACAGGGCTAGGAGTGCTGTAGGTCGGCAACATACAGGGCTAGGAGGGCTGTAGGTGGGCAACATACAGGGCTAGGAGGGCTGTAGGTCGGCAACATACAGGGCTAGGAGGGCTGTAGGTTGGCAACATACAGGGCTAGGAGTGCTGTAGGTTGGCAACATACAGGGCTAGGAGGGCTGTAGGTGGGCAACATACAGGGCAAGGAGGGCTGTAGGTCGGCAACATACAGGGCTAGGAGGGCTGTAGGTTGGCAACATACAGGGCTAGGAGTGCTGTAGGTTGGCAACATACAGGGCTAGGAGGGCTGTAGGTGGGCAACATACAGGGCTAGGAGTGCTGTAGGTCGGCAACATACAGGGCTAGGAGGGCTGTAGGTTGGCAACATACAGGGCTAGGAGGGCTGTAGGTGGGCAACATACAGGGCTAGGAGGGCTGTAGGTCGGCAACATACAGGGCTAGGAGGGCTGTAGGTTGGCAACATACAGGGCTAGGAGTGCTGTAGGTTGGCAACATACAGGGCTAGGAGGGGTGTAGGTCGGCAACATACAGGGCTAGGAGTTCTGTAGGTTGGCAACATACAGGGCTAGGTGTGCTGTAGGTTGGCGACATACAGGGCTAGAAGTGCTGTAGGTTGGCAACATACAGGGCTAGGAGTGCACATACAGGGCTAGGAGGTCTGTAGGTTGGCACCATACAGGGCTAGGAGTGCTGTAGGTTGGCAACATACAGGGCTAGGAGTGCTGTAGGTTGGCAACATACAGGGCTAGGTGTGCTCTAGGTCGGCAACATACAGGGCTAGGAGTGCTGTAGGTCGGCAACATACAGGGCTAGGAGTGCTGTAGGTCGGCAACATACAGGGCTAGGAGTGCTGTAGGTTGGCAACATACAGGAGGGCTCTAGGTCGGCAACATACAGGGCTAGGAGTGCTGTAGGTCGGCAACATACAGGGCTAGGAGTGCTGTAGGTTGGCAACATACAGGGCTAGGAGTGCTGTAGGATGGCAACATACAGGGCTAGGAGGGCTCTAGGTCGGGAACATACAGGGCTAGGAGTGCTGTAGGTCGGGAACATACAGGGCCAGGAGTGCTGTAGGTTGGCAACATACAGGGCTAGGAGTGCTAGGAGTGCTGTAGGTTGGCAACATACAGGGCTAGGAGTGCTGTAGGTCGGCAACATACAGGGCTAGGAGTGCTGTAGGTTGGCAAAATACAGGGCTAGGAGTGCTGTAGGTTGGCAACATACAGGGCTAGGAGTGCTGTAGGTTGGCAACATACAGGGCTAGGAGTGCTGTAGGTTGGCAACATACAGGGCTAGGAGTGCTGTAGGTCGGCAACATACAGGGCTAGGAGTGCTGTAGGTTGGCAACATACAGGGCTAGGAGTGCTGTAGGTCGGCAACATACAGGGCTAGGAGGGCTGTAGGTGGGCAACATACAGGGCTAGGAGGGCTGTAGGTTGGCAACATACAGGGCTAGGAGGGCTGTAGGTTGGCAACATACAGGGCTAGGAGGGCTCTAGGTTGGCAACATACAGGGCTAGGAGGGCTGTAGGTCGGCAACATACAGGGCTAGGAGGGCTGTAGGTCGGCAACATACAGGGCTAGGAGGGCTGTAGGTTGGCAACATACAGGGCTAGGAGGGCTGTAGGTCGGCAACATACAGGGCTAGGAGTTCTGTAGGTTGGCAACATACAGGGCTAGGAGTGCTGTAGGTTGGCAACATACAGGGCTAGGAGGGCTGTAGGTCGGCAACATGCAGGGATAGGAGGGCTGTAGGTTGGCAACATACAGGGCTGGGAGGGCTGCAGGTTGGCAACATACAGGGCTGGAGTGCTGTAGGTCGGCAACATACAGGGCTATGGTGGCTGTAGGTTGTCAACATACAGGGCTAGGAGGGCTGTAGGTTGTCAACATACAGGGCTATGATGGCTGTAGGTTGTCAACATACAGGGCTAGGAGTGCTGTAGGTCGGCACCATACAGGGCTAGGAGTGCTGTAGGTTGGCACCATACAGGGCTAGGAGTGCTGTAGGTCGGCAACATGCAGGGCTAGGAGGGCTCTAGATTGGCAATACATTACATGGCTAGGAGTGCTGTAGGTCGGCAACATACAGGGCTAGGAGTGCTGTAGGTTGGCAACATACAGGGCTAGGAGTGCTGTTGGTCGGCAACATACAGGGCTAGGATCGCTAGGTTGGCAACATACAGGGCTAGGAGGGCTGTAGGTTGGCAACATACAGGGACAGGATCGCTGTAGGTTGGCAACATACAGGGCTGGAGGGCTGTAGGTTGGCAACATACAGAGGTATGAGTGCTGTAGGTTGGCAACATACAGGGACAGGATCGCTGTAGGTTGGCAACATACAGGGCTGGAGGGCTGTAGGTTGGCAACATACAGAGGTATGAGTGCTGTAGGTTGGCAACATACAGGGCTACTGGGGTGTATTATGGTTGATTTTTGCGGCTTGCTGGGGTGTCCAAGATACGAGGTTATGAGGGGCATATGGTTGGCATTTTGGGTTTTTCCCACCAGTGGGCGCCCATTATACATGGCCATGAGTTGCAGCGCGCTGGGCATGCTGCACAAGGCTCACAAGCCGGCCCCCAAGAAGAAGAAGGCTGTCACGGAGGAGGCACCAGAAAGGGGATGAAATTGGAATATCATCAGCCATAGGACCTTTGAGTAACTATTCTTGATTCTCGATGCAAAGATTCTTCACTGGTGGTGGAAATGTTGACAAGAACTCTTCTGTTATTTTGTTTGCCAAATAAATAGCTGTCCAATGTGGATTTTGTTTACTTGAAATAAACATCAGATTAGGGAGGATAAACAGATGATGTAGGACTGTACGACCAGCTAGTGGACTCTGGGCCCGCAATTCTGGCCAAACATGGTGTCTCCCAAAAGTGGTTACTGAATGTTTCCCCTTCCGTTCCCTTCTGATTGGTGGGGAAGTGGGGTTCATTATTGTTTGTCGGGTGATGTTGGGTGTGTGATTGGTTATGCTAGCATGTGTATCCATCGGAATCCCTTGAATTTTGGGGACAACCATCCATTGACCAATTGCTTAGATTCTTTTCGAGGCCCCAGCTGTTTGCTTATCAGGGCGAGGAAGAGATCGAGGAGTTCAAGAAGCCGCCAGGGGCTAACGACTGCTGCACAGGGGTCATATTGTTTGATATTGTTTGAATGTTTTTTTGGCAAGATGTGGGAGTTTACTAAGCACAAATCGAGAAAAATTGGGATTGAACTGATTGAACCAGCAAAAAACAGGCTTCATTGACTTAAGGGGGGAAATTCGGAGGACGCATGTGGTTCTTGACCACATATTAAATATTAGGCGATGTTGTCAATTCCTGGAGGGATCCGATTGAAACCCGAAGCCGCACTCTGAGGCCTCTCAACGCGATGCTCAACACCTTTGACTTCGAGTCCGTCGCCCGCGAGGTGATCCGAAATGGAGTGATTGGATCCCCATGTTTGATGCTGAAAACTCCCCATTGATGCTGAAAAATCACTTGAATCCCAAATTTGGCTGATGAAGATGTCATATTGTTTCATATTGTTTCATATTGTTTCATATTTTTTCCCCCAGCATTTTTCCACCAATCAGCATGTTCCTTGCTACATCCCCATCCGCATCCGCAGGTGATGGAGCCCCAAGCTTGGGGTTACTATTCCTCCGGTGGCGATGATGAGATCACTCTGCGCGATAATCACATGGTGGGGAGCCAGAACTTCTGAGTTCTTGTCCGTGTTTTTGTTGGTGAAACAGCTGGAAAATGCAATGGAGATGACCATGTTTTTAGGGAAAGATATGATGAATACATTAGATGGATGTAGATGGAAATACCATTGAATTCATGGCCATTGTTTTGGAGACTTTTACGTTGAACCGGAGGATGTTGAATGTGGCCTTGCTTGAACATATGGTTGGAAAATCCAGTGACATCATATGGTCTGAAATCTGAAACATCAGCCCAGATCCCTTGTGGTGGGGGAATGGAGCTGATGGTGATATGAAAAAATGGTCCACAGCTCTGTTGGATCCATACGACCGACAAGGAATAACAGATGGATGTTTGAGGAAATTTCGACATATGAGAACATCGAGAAAAGAATCACAAAGGATGGTTGTGGGTGACCGGCCCCATCACAACTGACCAGTACAAGGTTGTAGCTTGTGACCTGTAACTAGGAAGGGGACTTTGATTTAGACGAAAATAGGCAGCCCAGCCATCCTTGGCCCACCATTTGATGAAAAAAGAGAGGCTTACTATGGGAAAAAGTGCTGTTTATTTTATGACCAGCATTTTGAGTAAAATATGGTTTGCATTGCCCCTTACACCAATTTATTCCAACATCTTGTTTGATAAGATCACATGAGCCACGTCAAAGCCAAGAGAGACACTCACTTACCACCTTCTTAATTTGCAAGACCGTTTGATCACGGCTCGCAGATCTTTGTTGCAGAAATTTACAACATGTTACACTAGTCTTGATGGATATATATATATATGGATATATATATATGGAAAGATATGAACATGTGTACCCACCAAACATATCATATATATATATTATATTAATTCATGATATCTTGGTATGATACATGTGGTCTTTCCCATGTCTTTCCCATCCCAAGGAACCCACTGGAGATTCCCCATGGAACCAGGCTTTCCAGCGCATCACCATGCGTCCGCGCATCTTGGTGAACGTGCGGGACAGCGGGGGATCAGCTGGGACCTGGGGATTTCAGGCGCAACATGTGGAGGGTCATTGATATCTATAAATATATATATGTCTATCTATCTATCTATCTATCGATCGATCGATCGATCGTTCTATCTTTCTATCTTTCTATCTTTCTATCTTTCTATCTTTCTATCTTTCTATCAAGCTGTATTTAGATATTATGATTATATGTTTACTCTATAGAACTGTCAGACATGGGGTTGGCAGGCGACAGGATGCATGAAGTATTCCCTGAAATGTCTGTTCCTTTTGTGCTTTGCGATTTTGATAACTGTTTTAGGCAACTCGTTCTGGTCCCTTCCCGCAATATAAAAGGAAGTGCTTGCCGATCAGTTGCAGAGATATCTAAGCTCAACCTTAAATAGTGGTCATGGCTAGTCAAAATTAGACCCATGTTTTTGGCTAGTCAAAATTAGACCCATGTTTTTATTTTGATAGAATTTGGGATGTCATTTTGGATGGTCATTTTGGACAGCCCCCTGTCTACAACCCACAAACTAAGGATGGATTTCACTTGACAGAACTGACCCATCCTCCTCGACCAAAGATGTTTGGCTTCGCCATATATACCTCAATTCCAAGTAACTGTCCAAGTTTCAAAAAAACAACTTTTCTGCCAGATGTCCACTGTAGAATATCAACCAATCATAACTTAATCATAACTTATAAGATCTTTTTTGAGGTCTCTAAGCCAATAGAAAGTCACTATGAAGAACTGCCGTCGATGTCACCAGGACATCGACATGACCACACAGATCCTGGGCGTCCCGGCCTCCTTGCCTCTGTACTTCACCGCCACCGCCCTGGCCAAGTTGGCACACCAGGAGAGGAAACATGTGGAATCCATGGCGGAAACCACGTGGAAAGATGAAGCATGAACTACGAAGATCGAAGATTAGGAAGATACGGTGGATGGGCCAGCGAAATCCTGCACCTGAAAACGGTGGTAAACATCCCATTCATAGGCTTTCAACCATCCTTTTGGTGATGCAGGATTTCTTCCATCCACAGTATGGTATTCATCCAGAAGTTTGGTTGGACACGACACCGCACCAGGATGGCGAAGTTGCCATTGTGAAGGCATGGAGATACGACTGATCGATGCGATGGTAGAGTATTTTTGCACCATGAGACCAAACGAATCCTTTGATGTGTGGCTAGGACATGGCAAATTGAGGTGTTAACAAATCTTCCATAAGCCTATAGTCCGATAGTCATTAAACTCCAAGATTTCCAGTACGGAGGCTTGAACAACTTCAACTTGAACGTCAGAACGTCCCATATTTTTTGAAGCATTTGTTCTTCAGCTTGGAGTCAGCACAAGCCGAAACAAAGTCGATCAGGCGGCCAAGAAGGCTGGAGTTCCCTACATGCTGCCCACTCTGAGTTCCTACACCTTGGACGAGATGTTGGCGGCCAGGATCGTTTTTTTTTTCCGCACTTTAGCAGCTGTGGCCTTGATCAAATAATGGTTGGGGTTATGACTTGACACGGGAAGTACAACCTGCTCATAGCCATACTGGGAGGGTACTTTCAGGTAATTTTTGCTTGATGTTTCATCCCTATCACTGGATTGGGCGGGTCCCCCGAAACCCGAAAACCATAGGTTTCTGTCCTCAACGTCTTTGGCGTTTGCAGTGAGCTGTCCCGCAAGAACCCACCTGAGACAATCACTGAAGTAGAATCTAGTTGTAAAACATGACATACCCCTTGGCAAACAAGGCCGAAGCAGAGGATGACTACTTGGATGATAATCCAATCCTAGTTAGACATACTTAGACACCTTCTTATGTCAATATGTTTTCAAATGGGATGACCCCATGAACCGGCGACTAGTAACCAGGCCTACAAACCGGTGATGATTCCTGACCGAGCACAGGACCCCAGATCAGCAGGTTTTCTCTCAGCTCTATGTGAATCCGGAACGCTCCAGGCGAGACTACGATGGCGAGCTGGTGGCCGTGCGGTGATAAGATATGGGGCCCGGTTAGGTGAAATTGAAAAGCCATGAACCAATGGGGCCTGCGGCAACAGGTTAGGTTAGGTGATTTTGGACCTCTGGATCGGAATTTCTTTTAACACAAAGAAAATCAAAGAAACCAAGAAGGAAAGTTTGGGGTATGCCAGATCAGTGGCAAGGGGAGAGCTGCCAATGCCTACACAGGCTGCGCTGACAGGAACCATTTGTTTCTGGTGTTTTTCTTCGGATTGAGCTATCATTCTATGTTTGTTTGGTGGTTTGGAACCATGGAATTTTATGACTTTCCATTCAGTTGGGAATGTCATCATCCCAACATAACCCAACTGACGAACTCATATTTTGCAGAGGGGTAGGTATACCACCAACCAGTATCATCCTATGTTTGTCCTATTTTTTGGGCACCTGACTTCACCTTCACCTTGACACCCCTGATGGCCCATCATGCGAAACAAAGCTGGTGCTCCACTGCGCCAGTGCTGCGCCCTCTCCAGGTCGGAGGAGTATGTCAAGAAGTTGGAGGAGGTAGGTTTGAACGGGCCTAAAAGAAACCTGGTTGGTGGTGACTGGAACCATGGAATTTTATGACTTTCCATTCAGTTGGGAATGGAATAATCATCCCAACTGACGAACTCCATGATTTTTCAGAGGGGTAGGTATACCACCAACCAGAAACTTATAGCTTCAATGATATCATTCATGGCATGGGATACAACTTTCTGAGGAGATGGTGGCCATATGTGGCCATATGTGGCCATGATTTCCCCCATCAGGGCTCCAAAATCCAGCAGTTGCCACATGGAAAAATCAGGCTCAAGGTGTCCTGTTTCAGGATTGGGCAAGCGACACACTGGTCGTGAGGAATACAAAAAATTGTGCGACACACTTGATGCATGCAAGGGTTGTCGAAGTGGCTTGCTAGATCCATAGAATTTTTGCAAGAATGCACGTGTACCAGCTCCAAGTTCTTCTTCCTTACTTCGCAAAGAAATACGAAAGTGACCCAACGTCAGACCGACGCCGTCTACGAAAGTGGTGCCTTAAATAGACTCGAAGTGATCAACTGGGGTGAGTGAATAATCCGGATGATTTCATGTTTTCTCACTGGCCATTGGATCCGTAGCCTCTATGGTCACTATGCACAACATTTTGCATCCACTGATTTGTCAACCATCATTTAGGATCATTTAGGTGTAAATCCTTATAGATAAGTATATACATAAATTTAAATAAATATATTAATGTTGGGTACGTTACAATTTCCTAGTGAAGCCGAAACAAGACTTAAAGTCCATGGGATGGGAAGTCTTAAATTTTGACTACCAACGAACAAACCTTGGTTTTTGCATGTTTTTGCTGACTATTGGCATACTATTCGCTTGCACTATTCACTCTAATTATTCTATGCACCTCTACGTGATTGAGCCTCCCTGTTCCGTGGCTTTGCTTAGTGACGCCAGGCTGGTGTCCAAGCCCTCTTCGTGACTGTGGATGCCCCTCAGCTGGGACGCCGCGAGAAGGACATGAGGTGCGGCCCAAAGTTAGGACTTGTCGCATCAGTCACTAAAAAAACTTCCAAATATGGTGAGTCATGAAACAGCAGTTATAAACTGAAGTCTGGAAATTGGATATGCTATGCAAGTGTCTCATTCCATTTGTTTCCCATGCCTTGCAAGGTAATAGTCAAACACTGGGCTGTTCTTAAGGTGTGTGAGCCAAAAATGAGGTGCCAAAAAAAATGCGTGTCCCAATCAAAAAAAACACAATCACCCTTTCTGTGCGTGTGTGCCCATTTTGTGAGATGTTCTGCCAGGAACAAGTTTACTCAGCAGGGATCTGATGTTCAGGGCGACGATGAAGATGAAGGCCGCATGCATGTTGCCCAGAACTGAACCCTCGAGACTGAGAACATCTTGGGGCATCCAAGACTGATGGGGATAGCAGCAACATACTGCAATGATGGGTTTGTATCATTGAATGACGTTGGGTGACCATCTCATTTAACCCAGGATAGTGAAGCCGGCACCTGAGATTATTGCCAATCCAATTGTCATCTTTCGATTCATTGCATCTTTGGTGCGGTTTCGGGGATGATTGGGGAATGCCATAGCCAGGAGCCGTTGATCGTTCTCAGGGTGCCACACGTGCCATCAGCAGCTACATCGATCCTGGACTCAACTGGGAGGACGCTTCTCCATGTTAGCAGCTCAGCCGTCCAGAACCCAAATGACCCTCGCTTGGGTCAGACGCAGAGACTACCATGGGCGACGAATTCACAATGTTCACCAGCCAGCATAGAGTTAAGGCAACTGCTGATGTTGAGTTGATCTTGATTTCAGAGATGTGGGGATTTCTCTTAACTGGTTGGCGGGGCCCAAAATTTGTTGAAACATTCAGGATCCATGTGAAGGAATGTGAAGGGCAACACTATATACCTCTTTTTCACTTTATATGTGAAGGGTAACACTACCTTTCGGGACTGGCTGGGCAACCTCAAGATGCCACAGTGGGTTCAGATCTGCCAGGACGTGCCCTGGTTGAAGAGCATTACCAAGATGAAGGCAGCATGCATATGTTCGCATAACATGCGCGCATAACATGCCCTTTGAATCGCATGGACTCACCATGCAAAAGAGGATAGTCACAGACACTGCATTTTCAATCATGTTTATCTGGTTGGTGGTTTGGAACATTTTTTTTCCATATATTGGGAATTTCATCATCCCAACTGATATTTTTCAGAGGGGTAGGCTCAACCCCCAACCAGTTCTGCATCTTCGCTCAGAAGTCGACTTTGCAATGAGTTTCACGTTAAAGCAAGGTTGGATGACCAGTTTTGTCGGTCCCCAACGCTTTTGGACTCTGCGCCGGCAGGTCTTGTTGAAAGGCGTGCAGTGCGCCGAGGATGCCGTTATGGCCTTCAAGGCTAGCTGGGGGGCCAGCTGAGTGCAGCAGTACAGTGGAGCCGTTTGTGTCTTGACCTTTGGCTTCTAGGGCCTCTACCCTCTGGTAATGACTAACATAGCGCTATTGAAAATGGCCATTTATAGTGGATTTTCCCATTGAAAATGGTGATTTTCTATAGTTATGTTAGTTTACCAGAGGGTAGTTTTTGTGATCTTGCTAGGCTAGATTCTTGTCTCGACACGGTAGATTCTTGGGGAAAGGAATCTTCTGCATTCTCGTCTCCTTCAGCCCTGTGCAGTTGAGTTTCACGTTGATCCTTTTGAATGGGTATCCGATTGCCGTTGTCATCCTTTGTCCATGAGCATGGCAGTATTGCACCTCCAGAAAAGTCCTTAGCGTCATTTGGGATTTGTTTCCTTACTAACAGTCCCGAGATTCTCTGCGTTTTGAAGCCCATGTATAGTTTGATCCTCATGCTCACTTGACCAACGGATGCCTCCAAACATGACGAATCCCCTCAGAAATCTTCAGCATCTCCGGCTCGAGAAGTTGAAAAAAACAACACCACGGGTGCCCCAATCATGGGACAAAAGGTGCCGCTTGGGCTGTTGAGGATGAAACGACCAAATGCAAATGGGCTGCTGATGTCTTGGCAAATCCATCCGGACATTCGGGCTTGGCAGCTTGGCGTGCTTCGCCATTTTCGAAGCAAACTCCATTTAAGTGTTGGTCCTGGTGTTCTGGTGGGAGGTGAATGGCCTCAGGTTTCAACACTTTTTTGTGACAGATAATCATCTCACCATGGAGTTTCTCACCACTGTGCAAGTTCACCGAAACACATTGCCGCCGGGTTTCTTTGTTGCGTCTGACAAGACCGCAGAGGTTGAGAGTCGGATGTCTCGGCTTTGTGGCGCGACCATTTGGCCCGCTATATTCATTCAGGATCATGGGTAAGCTACCAAATGCTCGAAGGATCATACTTGGGGGCCTCATTTGTGGAGTACATGATGGACGAGCATTTGAAGAAGTTGAATCGCCTCCCATTCGAGCTTCGCATACATGGACCGGGAAGAGCGCTTTTTCCACGGGCAGAATATGATGGATTGCTTAGACACATTGCATCGCCAGAAGCACTTAGCCGTGTGGACGAAGAGCCTTCAATGTGCTTGTTGTGGGGCCACCAGGTTGTGGCAAGTCCAGATTGATCAACCTTCTCTTCAACAAGATCGTAGCAGAATCTAAGGCTTCTGCTGCATCTGTCACCAGGCAAATCAAAACATATTCTGGGACGGGCTTGATCAATCTTTGTCAGAGGAAAGTGAACCTCATTGACACCATTGGCCTTTGTGACTCGTTCATATCAGAAGACATAGTCCTAAAACTCATCCAGGAAAGCCTGCGCATCAACTTTGCATACCTCGATCAAGTGGTGGTGATTTGCTCCGGTCGCATCGAATTCAGGCATGCTGAAAATGTCAGGCAAATCCTGGAGTGGCTAAGATACCACAAGTATAGAGGGAACTTCACCTTCATTTACAACAAAGTTGATCAAATGGCAATAGAAGAACGTGAGAATGGTGTCAACACCATGTGTCAGTTCCTTGGAGTGCAGCGCTTCATCCTCCACGAGCCCCAAATTTATATTTTTCACGGAGACCAAGTGCGATTCCAACCACGTGAAAGGCCACGAGGGGCTTCTTTCACAATCCCGAAATGTTTTGCTACTGGGTTTCCGGAGGCCTCGTTCCACGCACTGAGCAATGATTTGGGCACAGTTGTGGACAGTGAAAAAATGCCGCCGTATGGCAGCGTATCCCGGTAGACGAGTTGTGGTGCTCAATACTATGAGAACACAGAGATACGTAGAGTCTAGTCAATGAAATGCAAGGCAGAACCTCAGTCGCTCGGTCCCCATGTTGCTCTGACATGTGGTGATTCTGACAAATTGACAGCTGTTTGAAGAAAGGCATGTGAGACTGAGTGGATGCAATGGTGCTTCGTGCCTGCCTTCAGCAGATGCCTGAGTCAGGTGAGTGTCCAAAAAGGCGCTCAAAAGCAACTGCGGCTTCACGATTGAAAGAACCCCAGCTTGTTTCTTGGGACATAACTATAGCATACTGCATACTATATATAGATAGCATATAGTCATAATAGTTATAGAATACTACATTCAATTCAAGAGAACTCGGGACCTCAGTTTCCCAGAATCACTTTAAACTCAATCACTTTTTGATCGCAGCGAGGGAAAGCCTCCGGCTGCACTGCTGCCATTGGTCAGGCTGGCCTGGAGGGCTGTGTCCTGTCGAATCACGGTGGACGACAGTTGGACACTTGCCGCCCTGGCATCGAGGCTGGGGGCTGGGCCCAGCACGGGGTCACTGGGACACCAATCGCCACTGGGGTTACATCGGTTACATGGCCAACTTCGAGTCCCAAAACTGGCCTCCTCCAACTAGAGTCGTACAGTGATAAACCCCAAGCCCCAAATTGAATGATGATCCATGAATGATGAAGAATAATGGTTTCCATGATGTTTCCATTACCCATATAGGATCCATGCATATGGTGCTGCTATATATGCTAAATTATGGTAACATGGATCCCATCTATATACCCCCATGGATCCTATGGGTTATATGACAGCAGGTTCTGCCCGAAGTCATGGAAGCTCTGAAGGAGGCTGGTGCCACCAAGGTGCCCTGGCTGGATATGGCTAGCAGCTACCCGGCCTGGTGAACAGTCCCAAAAAAGGATGGAAAATCACCATTTTCAATGGGTAAAACATGGTAAATCAATGTAAATCAACTATTTCGACTGGGCCATGGCTTCAAGTTCGCACACTGTAAACGTTTACCAGAGGCTACCATGGTTGTTCGGAGAGGTTATTTTGTACATTGCTGTGCGTTCGGGTATGTTGGAGGATATTTGCTGTGAATTTCTGCAGGCGCGACCATTTGTCCATTCTTTTGAAACATTTGGAAATGCCTGTGGTCTGGGTGACCAACTCACTTGACAGTGGTGGAATTATTCCAATGTGTTCTTGTAGGTGGGTTATTATGTTGATTGTAGAATATAGATTAAATTAAATGAATATAGATCGACAATTCCATGATTCTCTTAGTGACTATCCAACCAACTGAACCAATTCCAGGAGTCCTTCGCTGTGTTCATTGATGGTGGTGTTCGCCGGGGTGGAGACATCTTCAAAGCCGTTGCACTGGGAGCACAGGCTCTGGACATCTCTGGACCATATTCTACAAACCAACGATAATCAATGGCAGTATCGCGCGATGCGTCGGAAACTGTTTTGAAGAGGTCATGATTGGTCAGAAGATTCCAAGTTGGCGGTCCCTTTTTGTCGGTTGTAAAGACAGCAAAGCTTGCCACATTCGGGAGGCTGTGGGCGTTGGCCGCCCAGTCCTTTACTCCCTTGCCTCCTATGGCATGACACTTGGGTCACTGGAGATGCTAAACTTTTGTTGTTGGCGCAAAATCCAAGACATTAAATCCCCAAAAGGTCTCGTAATTATCTAAACGGTAGTTGTTTCTTTAGAGGATATTTTGTGGAGTTCAACGTTTGAGAACTAGTCCATTGTGGGATATCTATTTGCGTTTGCTGAATGATCCGGTGCCTAGTTGTCGCAATGTTTGTGACGAAAGTGATCTTGTGGCTTTGTGGCTTTGTAGCTTTCGCACACATCCGCTGTGATATATTATATTGTGACAGCATGATTGTTTTGTGCTTGTTTTGGTGCAGTCATTCCTGGCGTCCAATGTTTTCTTGCAGTGAGTTGAGGGATGGTGAACTCCCAGATGAGATGGGATCCCAACCAGAGACACCTTCCATTACAGAAGCTAGCATCAAAAATGATGGCTGTAGAACTGGTTACCACATGTTACCACAGTGTTGAAGCAATTCCAAGTCTAAGCACATCCTCAGGAACGGCATCGTGCGAATGGTGCACATGCTGCAAGATGAACTTCAGATGGTGCGAACCCAGACGAACAAAGTTGGCAGAGGATCAAGAGGGTAAATGTGTTAAACAAGAAGCGTCATGGTGGTCGATAGCGGTTGCCTGAAAAGGGACAACCAATTACATCCAATTACACAATACTCTATATAATAATACATATACATATACATATATATATACACACACATATATATATATATATACATATATATATATATGTATCAGAATATATATATATATATATTATTATATCTCGTATATTTGAATTCGTGCAACAATGAAGACAATCCATTGTTGTGGACATGGCAGCTTTATTTTTTTACAAAGGTCATCCCACATCAGGTGATGCGTCTGTCTGGCACACCCAACATCCCAAGCATCACGGAGAAGCATGTCACGGCCTTGGTGTGTCTGCTTGGTCATGGGTTGGGTCCAATGGGTTGCTGATGGAAGCATGAAAAATGCATGAAAACTGCATGGAACATCTGGCTGATTGAGTTTGCAACGGTAAATGGTAATGTAAATGGTAATGTAAATGGTATAAAGGGGAGAGCAACGAGAGCAGCACATGAGATATCTTGAGCTGGCTTTGAGTTTGAATTTGCATAACCTGGAAACTTGGATGGTACACCCGAAATGGGTTTTTACATCATGGTAATTGATGTATTTTTTTCCTATTGTTTCCTATCCCATGACGGATCCATGGTGCTGGCATATATGCTAACATAAAGGGGGTATATTGATGGGATCCATGGCACACCATTAATATAGCAGCACCATGGATCCGTCATGGGTATTATCAACCATTGTTAACCATAACTCACCATTATTAACCATTATTAACCATTATTAACCATTATTAACCATTGTTATCCCTCAATATTACCTCAATATTACCTCAATATTACCTCTAAATTCTGGTATGCTGTTCCACCCAGTTGGGACATGCGACGTTTCTTGGGATCATTGAGGTGATCATCACCAACTTGGCCGATCACATCGTGCCCCTCCCCACCGACTTCCTCACACAGACGCTCGTTGAGATTTCCAGATCAATTCACATAGTGGCCATAGTTGAGGCTAAGTAGATGAATTATGGATGTTGACCAAAGAATCCTGGGATTTTATCAGTGTTGATCCCCTAATATCAAGTGGACTTGAGAATATTTGAGTTTGCATACCCATGACGGATCCATGGTGCTGGTATATATGCTAACATGACTGGGGTAGATTGATGGGATCCATGGCACACCATATATAGCAGCACCATGGATCCTATGGGATAGTTGAAGCTAAGAAGATCAATTTACATCCATTCACATGACCATTTACCAGCTGTTTCTGGAAACTTCACCAGGATATCAGGAGTTTGATCCGCAAATCATGGTGGATGACGAAGTTTCTTCAGATGTCCATGTACACTGGGCAGCTAGTCCTTGAATTCGGCCCCTCAAACGCTGGATTTGTTGTGTGGCTGAAGCAGGGACGGTACCAAGTCCATCATCAATCTATAACTATTGGCAATACTCGCATGCTTCTTTAGTCTCGGTGTTTGCACAGTCTTGTCTATCATCGCCTGCAATGCTTTTCTTACACAACTACTGTCCAGTTTGATTGCTGATATACTATACACAAGCCAATAGTGAATCATACTGTGTGTCAGATTTACTGACAAACACGCATGATCTTTCCATGTTTGCCTTGTCTTGCTGACTATATAAGAAGTTGTTTTTTTCCAGCCACATTTTCAAGATAAGAAAACATCCACAGTTTGTATCGGTTGCTTCATGGATCTCCCAATATTTCCCAAATCATGTTCCACCTCTTCCAACAGTTCCCAAGATTTTCCAGATCACGAAATCTGTGCCCAAACGACGTCACTTCTTAGGAGAACCTACCAGGGCTTGGAGCCCGCGGCCAAGTTGTGAGGCAAGTGAAGTGAGGCCGGAGATAGAGACCTGGGGGTCCCAAGATGTCCAAAATGCGGCTTATTTTAGGGCTTATACTTCGATACACCATTACCATCTGGTTATGACTAACAGTTCGCCATGGTTAAAATCCACCCATGTTTAATAGGTAAAACATCTATTTCTATGGGCCATGGCTTCCATGGCTATGTTAAATAACCAGAGGGTACTACCATTATATACCATTAATCCATTATATAATATACCATTATTACTGTTGATGTGTTATGAGATATAGGAGGTTAGATTTTTATTTATCGTTGACGAAAATTGGTGATTGGAATTTATGATTAATTATACGGATTGTGAGCGCCCATCATTCACAGGATACCTATTGACCAAGCTGTATGATGAGATGTGATGGGCATAATTTTCATGGCTCAATTTATCCATCTGAGAGGCAGGAACTGTTGTTCAATGGTAGTTGGCAAGCACCAGCATGCCAGAGTCTGCCAGAGGGATGAATTGTTACCAGGAGAATTATATGCAACATCCCATCCATATCCAGACAACCGAGAGTCCAAACTTCCACAGAACTTTCCGAAAACTCTGAGTGGCTAATCCAGCAGGGTAACGAAATCACAAGTCTTAGCAATGCTGGTTGGTGGTTTGGAACATGAAATTTATTTTTTCCATTCAGTTGGGATTTGTTCATCATCCCAACTGACTTTCACTCCATCATTTTTCAGAGGGGTAGGGCTCAACCACCAACCAGATACAATATTAACCATCATTAACCATATGCCATATAATATCCATATATTAACCATTATTAACAGTATATAGCCATCATTAACCATATATTAACCATATATTAACCATATATTAACCATATATTAACCATATATTAACCATTAATATTAACCATTAATATTAACCATTAATATTAACCAGGTATATTAACCAACCAGAATAAAAAGTGTCCAGCTCTAAATGAACATATGACCTGGAGGATTCGTCTGAAAATTGGCCTCGTTCCGGAACGAGGCAAAGAATATCACGAATTTTGCGGGTCTAAATGGGTACCCCATGTTTGTGCCATAATTACGCCATACTTGCATATATAAATTATATATATATATGTATATATATATATATATTATATTTACATTATATATATATATATTATCATTGATATTATATCATGTACCAACTGGTTGTTTGCCCTCCTTGGATCATATAAAAAATTGCCCTGCGCTGTTCAGGTCGTTTTCCGCAAGGAGCTAGGCAGGGTTCAACCCCTTGGCGGGGGAAGAAGATGTTTTCAAACCCCATTCAACCACTGGATTTCAGGGGTAACCCCCAATATTGGACAACCGATGTACCCTCTGGTAAACATACAAAAAGCTATTGAAAATGACCATAGAAATAGTGGATTTTCCCATTAAAAATTGTGATTTTCCATAGTTATGTTAGTTTACCACAGTGTAGACACCATGACATGACATACCTTTGGCACTGATCCGCTTTGGCCTTACCGGACTGCTGTGCCAGGTTTCTCCAAATCTTCCGCCAGCCGATTCTCGTGAAGGGAGTCGGTGAGTTTTCACTTTGAACGAGGTTTTTTCAATCTTCCAAAGTCTTGCTGTTTGAGTGAACAGGTTGTAGAATGAATGCTTCAACATCTTGGGCAAAATTGAAGAACCTCGTTGCCGTTGCCTCTTGATCATTCTGTTGTTAGCATGTTCTGCTAACACTTAGCAGACTGACCAAGAGCATACCTATTCTTCAGAGAAGGAAGGCTCGACCGGCTTCTCTACTTTTCGATTTTACTTACGGAGCAGGCTTTTGAATCTGTACATCGTGTTGCTCTGCTCAGGTCCCATTTACCCAATCCCACCAACTGCAGTGAGCAGAGGGAGAAACGGAAGTGCTTCTTGTGAGTTGCAATTCCTCCGAAACTGACTTAGACATCCAGAGGCTTTGCCGGGATAAGGTTTTCATGCACCTGAAGATGAATGAGATGAAAAGATGAGATAAAACTATGATAAAAACTGCATGTCTTCTGCCATTCTCAGCCTCATGCAGTCGCTCCAGCATGCTCCAGCCCTTGGGTCATGGACGATCCTGACGATCCCCACGTCACCCCTATACTAAGTCATGGTCATCCATGAGGACTGGATACTGGGAGTAGCCCCATGATAAGTCATGGAAACTTCCATATGGATGGTGAACGATGGTGATATGGATCATAAAGTGGATGATATGGATAGTGATATGATCATAAACTGATATAAAATGGATAAAATGAATGATAAAATGAATGATTGTGATGATTGTGGATCATCTGGTGATGGGGATAATATGTGGATATGGATGATTTTATGGATGTAGATCATACTAATGACTATGGGATTTTATGGATAATATATGGATATGTGATTTATGGATAATATATGGATGTAGATCATACTAATGACCCAAGATGCTCCCCCGGCCCCTCCATTTTCACGTCGACCCGTCAGGCGGCTCGCTTCTACACCGCCTCGATTCTCATTGCCGTCGAAGCCCTTTGGGACCGCAACGTGGGGATGCTGAGATGCTCAGGATGCTCAGGGCAAGGAGCAGAACGTGGACAAAACCCTTTGGTAGTTCAACATGGAAAAACACCATGTTGTTTTTGGTGTATTTTTAAAATGGGGGGTATTTTTTGTGTATTTCTTTAGAATATGTTAGAATATTCTTTGAATTACTGGTTGGTGGTTTGGAACATTTTTTATTTTCCACAATATATGGGATAATCATTCCCATTGACTAATATTTTTCAGAGGAGTTGAAACCACCAATCAGATTATATATATATACACCATTTGTTAATGGGTCAAGTTCCACAGCCATTTATTTAATGACCAGAGGGTCAATTCCATCAGAATTCCAGTGGGAATAGTGTCATTGTTACACCAAGCATCGTTTGGCAGTATGTTCCATGTTTATTTTGAGGGGGAAGCTCTCACTTTTGGCGAATGGGGTTGGTGGGTGAATTAAAACTTAAACCGGTTTATATTAGGAAGAAATATACAACGATTAAAACCTTCTTTTTAAGAACCAAACCTGAGGAGTTGTTCATCTGGATTTGGTGTGCAAAGCCCACAGGTGGTCTACAGGGACTTGAAGCCGGAGAATGTGATGCTTGACCAGGAGGCCATGAGTTGAAAGGTAGACATGGATTTTTTTCCTCATGACACAACTTGCCGTTCTTCAGTATGACTTCGCAGCACAATTGATGTTGCATAGCCTGATACTCGCCAGCTACTCCATGGATCTTCATGGAGGATCCCAGCTGAGTCGGCTGATAAATTTGAACTGGTGCCATGTCCCATGGTGGCTGCAACAGTGGCCCTGGGTAACAGTTCTGTCAGCAACAGCCACGTGGCAGGGCTATGTGAAGATCATCGACTTTGGAGTTTGGGTCGCCCAGTGACCACCCAGGAAGCGACCCAGTGGAACATGGCTGCGAAATCCAGTCACAGTCCTAATCCATCCTAATCCCCTAGCCCTAGTATGAAACACCACCGAAATGGGCCGAAATATATATATATATATAGAAATTAAATCACCTACCGTGGCCGTAAGTGGGGGATAAGTGGGGGGTGTTTAACAATATGAACGGGGGATGGGGGATGGGATTATTAATGTTCATGATTTCAATTCGATACTCGTATGTCTGACATGATATGTTGTGAACACCCAGCACCCAAGCTGAATGGGCTGTCCAACCTGTTTCTTTGGCATGTTGACCTTTCCCTGCATTCTTTGCTGATCTCAGTCAAGCGACAGTTCTTTACAACCTGAAGGCTTCAAGGATCATATCAACCACCCATACTACCAAGTCTCAAAGTTGTTGCGTTTTGACAATTTTGTCTTTGTGGCATGGTGTTTGACAATTTTGTTTGCTGGTTTACTGCTGCTGGCTTGGTTGTCTGATTCGCTGGTTTGCTATAGTAGCTGCCAGTGCTGCTGTCAGCTCCTGATTGCTTGCTTGCTTGCTGGCTGGCTGGCTTGCTTGCTTGCTCGCTTGCTTGCTTACTTCTGCCTGCTTGCTGGCTTGCCTGCTGACCCTCCTTGCATCCTGACTTGCCTGCGTGCTTGCCGCTTGCCCGACGGATTGTATGTGTGTGCTTGGCTCGGCCTGTTTGCTTGTCTGCTTGCTTGTCTGCTTGCTTGTCTGCTTGCTTGTCTGTCTGCCTGCTTGTTTTCTTGCTTGCTGACCCTTTCGACTCACGGTGTGCCAGTACGAAATTATCCGAAATGCTCCTTCCAGAGCATGCACTTACTTTTTTGTCAAAACGCGGTGTGCCTCGCCGAAAGGCACAATGTAATGACTGCCTTAGTCGCACGGTGTGCTATGGGGTTTTGCTGCCCCGGGTCCTTCTGCAATGACTTTATGGTTGTACTTCCAACGGCGTGACTTGAACTAAGTGGGATCCTCCATGCTCCCAAATCCGATGTCGATCATCATGTTCCATCAAAATCGCCATAAACTGGAGGGGCCCGGCCCCCATTTTGTGACATTTTTAATAGACAGTATGTCAATTTTCAAGTGACACCTTCAAAATTCAGGGCCTTTTGCTAAAAATAATTCCCAAGTCACCCCACTTTCTGATATTTCTGGTGCCGACCATGCGCCCCTCAGGTTTCCAAGAAACTGGGCGAGTTGGAAAGTCGTACCTACACTGTGGTCGGCACACCCCACTACATGGCTCCGGAGGTGCACCGATAGGACCAGATCATCCAGAAATCCCTGGTTGGTGGTGACTGGAACCATGGAATTTTGAATGACTTTCCATTCAGTTGGAAATGTCATAATCCCAGCTGACGAACTCCATGATTTTTCAGAGGGGTAGGTTGAAACCACCAAGCAGTTCCCGTTGAAGTCGACTAAGTCGAGGTCTTTCAGGGCAAAGGCTACGGGGTCGAAGTGGATTTGTGGTCCCTGGGCATCATGCTCTTTGAATTTGCTGGGGCCCTCAGGCATTGCAGCTGGCATCGGTGTCCAACATTTCCAGACCATGACATCCGTGACATTTTTTTCCTTCGAAGTGCTGAAGTCATGGAGATATTTCACAGAATAATAATAATAAGCCAATATATAGTTTTTATATATATATATATATGATATATATATACATATACACATATTTGTACATATATATATAATATAGTATATATATAATAATATATATAATATGATATATATATATATACATACTAAGGCAGCATTCGCAATCTCCAGATTCCTTGAAGGTCAAAACAGGGCCGTGGACCCAGGCCCCGCACCCCAGGTCTGCGGTTACTTACCCTTTGGCACCAACTTGGTCGAGCCGCGACAAGTGTGCTCCGCCGTGTTGCGAGGGAAGCTGAAATTCCCATCTGCCTACAAGGACGGCATGGGTTTGTCTGAAAATACCCCGGAATCCAAGGCTTACCCTCTGGTAATGACTAACAGTTTGCTATTGAAAATTGCCCATTTAGTTCGTTGATTTACCTATGAAAAATGGGCACTTTCCATAGCTATGTTGTTTACCAGAGGGTAATCATCATTTTCCCATTAAAATGGTTGGTTTGGGGGTATGCCGCATTCTTAGACACACCACATCCAGCTATATGATGTATACGGGTGTGGTGAATATGTGGAGATTTTGATACACTTGGGCCAAATCATTTGGGTCCAGTTTTTGGGGATTGTCATTGCGAAACATCACCTTAAGAAGCGATTCGTGATTCCCCCATTTGGGTCGTGTTTTAATGGGACATTTCACCACTCAACAGTAGATATTTCCAACCGAAACATAACAGTGATGCTGTCCTGCTCAAGGTTGTTTGGGTCACCGGGGCTGGGAAGGCTATCCTTCCTTCCCAACGTTGGTTCCCCAAAAAAACAATGGTGTTGCTCTCTTCAAAAGTGTGGTTCCTCAATCCACCAAAAATGCTTAGAGATTTCTTCTTTCAGTACTTCCTGGACATGTCACTGTGTCACCCAATCACATAATTTCCACAAGCAGTGCTTGCCTATCTTTCCTGGAGAGCACTTGCACACATTGTCCCATTCGTATCCATTCGTCCCATCAGCCAATATTTTTTGTGCTGGTAAGTTGGTGACTCCCCATGTTGTTTGTTTTTAACTGGACTTTTTTGGCGAGGGTTTCTCAACAACCAACAAATGGTTTATTGCTGTTTGTATTTCCACTTCGGAGTTGCAACCTTTCCAGCCCCGTATCCTTGTTGTATGTCGCATTCGATCACTGCCGGTTAAGCCCTGGTATGCCTGGTATGCCATGGTTGCTGTTTTTTATGTCCGCAATATTCCACAAAGACTAGCTCCACAATTTCCATACTTCCCCTACTTTCCCTTGCTGAAATCCAATTTTGGGATATTTTTGGTGCTCTTTTTTTTCCATGTTCCACCCCAGTGGCTGAACGCCCCAAAACTGCCGCCAGGACGAGATTGGCCGCGACCTCATCAAAGGCCTTTTGACACAGCCGGTGCTGAGCTGAAGATGGGTTGAGCTGAACACAGTTAGATGGGCTAACCGTTAAAAAGAAAAGAAGACAAGGTATGTCTTTATGGCGACTGAAAAAACTGACGCAAAAAAATCCAGTGGACCCGAGGTTTTGAGTTTTGGATTAGAAGAGTACCACTCAATTTACCCTCTGGTAATTTAACATAGCTATTGAACATGACCATTTATAGTGGATTTTCCCATAAAAAAATGTGATTTTCCATAGCTATGTTAAATTATTTTCTTCCCCAGACTTTTAGTGGTTGTGGCCAAAACTTGGGCAAAGTGGATGCTCAGGTGCTAAAGCGGCTCGGCGCTGGTGTGAACGGTCTTCAGGCGCTGCTCATGGGGGTTTCTTGAGTCATGGAGGATCCCCATGTCGTCACCATGGTTGTTTCAATACGAAGTTATGATCATGAAATAACGACTGGTTGATTTTTGGGGGTACCCCCGTGAAAAAATGGAAACCTCCATATACCCTCTGGTAAACTAACATAACTTTGGAAAATCACATTTTTTCATTGGTAAACTAACATAACTAATTATGGAAAATCACCATTTTTCATGGGCGGTAAATCAACTATAAATCACCCATTTTCCATAGCTTTTTGTATGTTTACCAGAGGGTACCACCTTGCAGAATTTGCTCCGAAAGTGAACCGGTGACCCTTGCCGTCGTTTTTTTTGGGAAGGACGTCTTCAAGCATCCCTTCTTCGAGATTCCAGGCTGGTTCCAGCTGCGGGAACCCCATTTGTGGGTAGCATACCCCACAAAAAGATGGGTGGCATAAACAAGCCTTCACTGGCGGTTTATAGATGTTTACCCTGGTTTAAACCTGGTTTATAGATGTTACTACACTATCATAGCATAATTTGAACCTATGGGTTTCCTATGGTTTCCTTACAGCCACTCCGAACAGAACTCAGCGCATCTCAGCCGCTGCGTATCTGTGCGTCAGGCCCCTCGAGTATGTTCGACAAGCTCTTGGGGCGTGAATTGGAACCTCCCTATACACCCGGACCTTGGAGGTGCCTGCAGATGGTCTGGCTGATGCGGTAGATGGTTGATGTGGTGGAAAGAAAAACCATAACGCAGGCAACTTGAGTCTTCAAACTTTTTTTTGGCAACAGATTGGTATATATATATACACATGCTATATATATATAGATGCTATATATATATTATATATGTGATATATCTGAGAAGTCTTTAACGTTTTTCTTCGTGGGACATCTCCCGTAGAGATCCGAAGGTCCCTCAAGGCTCGGTTTCCCGGTCCGCGCCAGGCCGCCCACGGATCAAAAACGACCTCACGGCTACTCAAAGGCACGACGTGGCACCAGCTGTGACCGCATCCACAACCCAAGTTACAGAGATTATATGAGATTACTGTAATATCTATGAACAAATCTATGAAATAATCTATAACTCTATAACTTATCAATACTTATCAGTGATATATCAGACTTATCTGGAAACTGGATGTACAAAAAAAATCCTTTCCGCTTTGTGTTCAGATTTTTTTTTCGCGCTCTTTCGGTTTCCGGGGTCTTCCCCCGGGATGCCGCCAGGAACAGTTCGAGCTCTTTGAGCATCCCTTCTCCAAAGGTGGCACGATGAGAACGATCCAGGGATGCTGGATTTCAATGGATTTCATCATGATTGGAATCTGGTCGGTGGTTTGGAACCGTGATATTAATAGTGGTTAATAGGGTATAATACCAACAACAATGGGAATATGATGATGATCTGGTTGGTGGTGACTGGAACCACGTTTTTTTTTTTTAATGACTTTCCCTTCATATTGGGAAGAATAATCCCAACTGACGAACTCCATCATTTTTCAGAGGGGTAGGTTGAAACCACCAACCAGTAATTCATTCTAAATCCACATAAAATCTGATTTCTGATTGCTGGTCTCAAATTTCGAAATCGCTTCACAACATGTTTCAAACATATTTGGGATGATCATGCCCGTTACCCTGTGGTAATCAAAGGTAACAATACGTAGCAATTGAAAATCCCCTATAAATGGAAGTTCAAATGGACACATCATTTATAAATTGGTGGATTTTCCAGCTAACCAGCGGCCCAGCATGTTTGACTACCCCTCCGGGCAGTGGATGCCCACCATCTTTTTGCCAGGTCAGGGTCCCGAGGTGGTAAAGCAGAACGGCTTCTTCTGCAACCTGGCAGCTGAAGTGTAGCAATTCTGTTTTTTTTTGTTGTTTTAATATGTTTTAATATGATGTTCAATAACTTTGAATTCTGTTCTTGCATGTCTTGACTTCTGAAGTTTTTTCTTGGCATTTTGTGAGTATCTTTGTTGGTTTGCTGCGATTCATAACTATTTCATGTGTGTTTCTTAATTCTCAAATTTGTTTGAAGATGGTTGGTCCCGGTGAGTTGGGTAGAGACCGTTCTGGATTTTGTGGGAGGAAACTTATTTTTTTGGAATTCTATCATGTCTACCCACTGGTAAACTAACATAACTATGGAAAATCACCATGTTTAATGGAAAATTCCACTATAAATGGCCATTTTCAATAGCTACGTTAAATTACCAGAGGGTAAATATGGCTGAAGAAGTGTGCTCATTGGTGGTTTGGAACATTTTTTATTTTTCTATATATTGGGACTAATAATCTCAAGTGACTTTCATATTTTTCAGAGGGGTAGGTATACCACCAACCAGTGTGTATTTTTTGTGGATAACTGATGATCATTGATGCTCACTTGCTTTGTTTCCTGAACTGATACTCCAGCCCATGGGAGTAGTTACAATTCAATCAATTCCACATCTATTCTATATACCCTCTGGTAAACAAACAGTTTGCTATTGAAAATGGCCATAGAAATAGTTGATCTACCCATTAAAAATGGTGATTTTCCATAGGTATGTAAACGTTCACCAGAGGGTACCTCTGCAGAAAGGTCAGTTTTTGTCGGGCTTGACCATCCCAATTGGGGCGGCGAAGCGACGCCTGACTCAGGCAGTGTCTTCCGCCGGAACCGGTGAACGCTGCAGATGGCGGGGACACGGGGGACACCTGGTTAGCCTATGTTCCACCCTAAAGAGGTTGAAACCAATTTCCCACGTTGACATGATGCTCTTTTGTGACCCATTGATTTCCGCTATCTTTTTGTAGTCCAAGGGATTTTGGTTGACCATTGAATTGTGAATCCTACCCCAACGTGTGCATATTGGATGCACGTATCAAGTTCAGGTAAGTGAGTTGATACTTGAGAGTTGCGCATGTAAAGAGTTCAAGTGCTTGGCAGGTGAATGAGCAGTGACTCGGGAAGTGCAAAATGTGCGTGCCATGTCACCCTCTCAGCATCGGCGACAAGCGCCGGGCTGAAAGAGGTTTCACATGATTTCACTGCTACACAATGATTCCGCGATGAAACTGGGGAAACAAACAATCAAGGTAAAACTCACTTGCCCTCTGGTAATTTAACGTAGCTATGGAAAATGGCCATTTATAGTGGATTTTCCCATGAAAAATTGTGATTTTCCATTGCTATGTTAGTTCACCAGAGGGTACTCACTTCCTAGATCTACTAGCCAACGCTCATGAATGTGGCCATAGAATGCACTAGGTATATGTGCCACACACTAAAGACTGTCTTACATCGGTTCAGTCACGAACAGATTCTGGTGCAACGCATACTGCTCTGTGCTTTTATACCTGCAAATGTGGTCGTGTCTCATATGAAAGTCATGCCTTACTTGCAATATAGGTCGTATGAAGTATCCTATTCAATGCACGTATGTTCCCTTTCAGCAGAATTTTGGTTTTTGAAACTATTGAACATACGTACACAATCGTACGATATTGTACGTATATTATATACCTACTCACCGACCTTACCTTGCCTTACCTTGCCTTACCTTACCTTACCTACCTACCTATACCTCCCTCCCTACCTATCTGCCTGCCTACCTATCTACCTACCTACCTATACAGACAGACAGACAGGCAGGCAGGCATGCATCCATGCATGTTCGCACATGTAGAAACGATGTTTGACAAAATCCCTTTGAAAACCTGGAAAGATAAACGACATGTGCATCTATCAGACGTGCAAAACTTTGGGTCCTCCAGTGGAATCGGAGGATCTTTTGAAGGCTTGACCGGACACCAGATTCCGACCCGGCCCTGGAAGTTGGAAGTGGAGGATTCAAAGCACGCGAGTCTGACACAGAAAGCCATGATTTATTTTGTTTCATGATGATTTATCAAAGAAAAATGGTCGTTGATTCAACCAACAAAAAATGGGGATTTAACCAACAAATATGGGGGATTTCACATGATTTAGTCAGCCAAAAGGGTGGTTTTTAATGGGAAGTTATACAGGGGATATGGATGACTTCTAGTGACCTCACTGCGTCCCAGTGCATATCCTTGCTGCTGCCTTTGTCACACCGCGACTCGGCAGGAAAGGTTTGATGTGATTTTTTCTCGGCAGGAAAGGTGAGAAAAAGATAGAAACTGCTTGGTGGTTTCAAAGATGTTTCATTTTCCATGATATATTGGGAATGGAATAATCATCCCATTTGACGAACTCCATCATTTTTCAGAGGGATAGGCTCAACATGGCTCAACCACCAGGATAGAAAAAGATAGAAAAAGAGCATTAGTCAGGATTCTCAGCCTTGTTACATGCCCCATTTTTCAAAGCCCCCAATGGGAGTCACAGCTTTCCAGCAAAGCGAAACTGGTCGCGAAACCTGAGGTTCTCGCTGCACTAACACAGGAAGTTTATGGAATTTTAGATTTACCCTCTGGCAATTTAACATAGCTATTGAAAATCACCATTGTAAATCGGTAAATCACCATGTTGATCCATTTTCCATAGCTATGTTAGTCATTACCAGAGGGTTTTTTTGGCTTCTGAAAACACTACCAGACGATGGTGAAATTGGCCCAACGAGTTAATCATGACGGCCAGACTCTCGAAGGCAAGCGTTTGTTGCTTCAAGGAATGTGGGCTCCCGCTATTGATGTTGCAAATTTGGGGTGAAAAAGTTGACGAAACAATATTCTATACTCTACAACATTTTATATACAACTATTACTGAATAGATGTGAATAATTAGATGTGATCTGAAAAAAAAAATGAGGCTCTTGGCCATCAATTGTTCATCATGTATCCATATTTTATCCCCGAATCGGACGGGAAACTAATTCCTTGAAGACCTCCGATGTCGGCTCATCGAGCCGCTTGAGCCTTGCCTCGGAAGCCTTCTCGCTACAACGAAGTGAGAGCTTTCCAAGTCATTGGGTATGGGTCAAATTATGAAGGTCCTGGGAAAATTAGGAACCACAGCTGTTGACCATGCTCCAGTTTTTTGGGATCACCCAATTTGGTCCCATACCCAATGACCATCAATGACCATGGGGTCCATCATCGTTTCTATCCGTGAAACGGATCAGGTGCCCACGCAAAACGCGAAAAAATCTGAGTTGTTTGGCATTGCTTTAAATTTGAACTGCTGAAAAACGTCGGTGACCATAAACTGAACAAACAGAACTAGATTAGATACAGAACTATTTTTGTAGACTGAGCTCGTGAATCGGTGGCTCAACTGTATTCAAAGGATTTACAGATATACATTTTCGAAAGTATATAGTGTGCACCATCATCCATCGGGTTGTTTGAATTTGCATAATCCACCAATCATTTTCAAGATCAGCGCGACAGGTTTTCCGCATCAGGCACCGCACGGCATAGGGTGTGGCGGGGACACGTCAATGTGGGGACAGACTCTTTGAACTTGCAAAAAGACGCAACGAAAATCAGTTTTGCACCAGAGTCCGGTCAGTTTTGCATCAACGTTTTTGAACACTATACCCCATAGGATCCATGGTGCTGGTATATATGCTAACATTTGGGGTATATTGATGGGATCCATGGCACACCATATATAGCAGCACCATGGATCCTATGGGTACTGGTAATGTAATAAATCAAAACCCTGGTGATATCCTGCTGTTCACATCAAATGAATTATGGCAACGGGATGTTTGCCACGTGCCGATGCTCCCATCATCTCCCATAGATGTGGACTCATTCCAACAAGATGCACCTTTTTTTGTGAGCTGCTGACAGTAGAGACATGCCCACACAGCTTCTTGAATCTTGTTGTTCATCTGTCATTGGAAAATTGCAGTGTCTCCCCTTCTACCTGCGAAAAATCTTCCCTCCTTCCCTTCTGACTCAGTCTATCTGAGTCTTTTTTCCTCCTTCACTGACACCTCAATTGCGCTCTTGTCCTGTCCTCAAGAGGTCAATTTCCCCGAAGTGACACAGCAAAAAAAGCAGCTCCAGGTGCTAAGCGATGAGCGCCTTGCTCGTTTGCTGTGCGGAGACCTGAAGATGTTGGAATTGCTGCCAGCTGTCCAGAGATGCAGGAATATCATAGAACATAAACGATTACAGTGATTACACTTGGCAATTTAACAATTTAACATAATTCAACCATGAAGAATAAGGATCTAAACAATGAAAGTTTGCATTCAATTCAATCGATATAAATCAGCAAGGTTGGTCAATCGTTAGATGAAAGGAATAATGATTGGATATCAAATTCATCATGGGTGTTTCCTTTCCGGTGGAGGATTGTCCAATTATATCCAATTATGGCTACCAGTATTTTGATTGCAAAATGATGACCAACTAAACAGACATGAGAGTAGGGGTTAGACGGTGATATATAATGATATATATATATAATGAGAGTAGGGGTTCATTAAGATTCAATATACAAACATCAAAGAACCAACACATTGAAAACACGGTAGACATTTGGTGTTCTTGTCGACATTGGTTTTTAGCTCCTAAGGTAGACTCGACCATCAAATCATGTGACCACTGAGGGGGGGGGGTACCCTTTGTTTGAGAATCCATAAGTGGTTTCTACAAGAGGAACCTTTCAGGAAGAGAACCCTCCGTTATCAGATTGGATTATATATAAATAGCAACCGGCTAGCACTTAGAATATTAATCATTTTTCTATATTCTGAGTGGCACCTATTTATTTTTAATATTCTATGTGCCAGCTGTTTACTATATATACATGTATACAGGAGGGTAAATTCGATCAATCAATCGATTGCTGCGGCATTAGGATCCCAGAACTGGCAGACAAATGGACTTCACTGAACTGTACACAGAAACATTATGTTCAAAGCCTTTCTATGTTAAGGACCTCTACATGACTACATGTTCATGTAAGACATTCGAACTGCAACTGCAACTCTTGTTGCACAAACGAGGCAAATCTATGCAAATCTAAAGTTTGTTCCAGCAGAAATCATGTGCTTGTCAAGTGGCTCAAATGTAGCCGGACGGCGTAAAGACTCTGTCTTCCTAATGTGCATGCAGTGTTTTCTTCCCCACCGGTTCTGATTGTTTGTGCTCATGTTTCCATGTTTGGCTACTGTACATGTCATTTTTGTGGTTCAATTGTTGAATAAATATTGTGAAATCATCATGTTTTCTGAGAAGCAACCGCCTCATCTGCCCAGGCAGGAGCAGAGTCCGATTACTGAGAGTGCCTTGACATCTGCGGATGGTCAGTGACGGTTTCGTAAAATCCTTGGAGGTTTTGGTCAAACTCTCATCATGAACGGTGGCCCTCCAAACATCTCCAATCCACTTTGGCGACACATGTAATCTTATGTTTCGCAGTTTGACGTTTTTTCATAACATGTTTGGTGGCTAAATAGTCCATTTAACCACCAACATAGAGTGTTTGAGAATCCTTCCTATAACTTGATTTCATACCTCTTTTGTATGTTTTGAAACTATTTTGGATCCATTCATGAATTGGGATTCCAACTGATGATGGGGGCATTTAATACTCGCTATGTATCCCCATTATCCCAAAAAATCAGGACGGTTAAATCCTATTGAACCAATATTGAACCACCACTTTTGATGGTTAACCCTTCACTTTAGGAGGTGATTTTGGTGGTTTAACATAGGTATGAGAAAATCACAATCCTTGATACTTGACTGATCCATAAATGGACAGTGTTCCATGGCTAAGTTAAGGAGATTTGACCAGTATATTCCTGTATCATATTGACCATTATTCACCATTTTTGGTAACGGTTAATTCATTATAAATACACATTTATAATAGTAATTAAACAGTTATAAGATTACACATAGACCATTGCAACGGATATGAAGTAGTGATCTTTTTTCCACTACTATGGTCAAATAGTATAAACCTTCATTAACCGATAGTAGTTCATCATTTTTTATGATGAAGCACCAAAAACCATTCGTTGGACGGCGCCCTATTTGTCGAATCAGGTCACCAGACCGAAGTCAGTGATGAAGAACTGGCGCGACGCCTTCAAGCGTCGCTTGGCAAAAAAAATCACGCTGCGGGAAGCAGTTACTGCAAGTGGCTACACAATACTAATCATCAATAATTTGTAAATTCATTGCTGAATCATTATCAATTTTATTGGGTGTTCCACATTAAATCATTTTTTTTCATTATCAATATTAATGTGGGTAAAAACAATAGTAATCCATGCCCCAAATCACCATAAATTGTTTATATATATTTTTTTACCCGCATTAACAATCAATTTAACTGCTATTCATAGCTATTAGTTATAAGTTATAAGTATCTAGCAAGTGTACTGCAGAATAACTATAAATAACTAATCCTAATCATGATTGTAAGCTATGCATAATAGATGGTTAACTGGGAACAGGACACATGATACTTCTGCATCATATGTTGATCATGGATAGGTACACAATATATGCATTAATATGCATCATGGACTATACATATTTAACATTGTATTATATATATGAAATATATATATATATTCATTAGTGGCTATGACGATTATGCATATATGCATACTCCCTAACAATCCATATTCACCAGTTACAAAGGGAAGAGCGTTTGGCTTATGGGTCATTATCAGTCACTACTTAGGAGTCACCTAGGCACCTGCGGAACTGGGATGCCCCAAGCGCAAACTCAGCGGAACCTGGCTGCGTCATCCCCAAAAAACCATGGCCGCGGCTTGGCCGCCGGCAGGACTCGATGGGTATACCATAACTGTTGCTACCATCATTACTATTCCTATTTATTCCTTAATAATAATGATGGTAATAATAGGAAAAATGATGGTAGTAATAGTAGTATATATAATAATATATAATAATAACAATAATAAATCCTTATAATAACAACGGAAAATAATAAAAACAGCATCGCCATCATCATGATTGTTCTTAGCGAGCATCGATTCATGATTATGCTTACTTTCTTATAATATATGTGTTGGACACACATCATGAAGCCTGACGAACTGAGGGAAGAGGATCTGGGCGAGCGAGACTCTCGGGAGCGCTCCGGGCGAAGGCGGGCGGTCCAACGTCTTCAGCAAATCCAGTCCAGAAATACAGAGTAATTACCCTGTAAAATCAATGTTTTTTTTTAATCATCAAGTGGGTACAATTGGAAAATGTCAGCACCTGCATAGACTATTTGGTCAGGTTTCTTTGGGGACAAATCGAGTTATAAATGAAATTATGATTGTAAGAGATACCAACCATCAACCAAAGATGACAGCTTTGACTTGCGGATGGTGCTGTGCAGGAACCTACACCGGTCGGGTGAAGCAGGCGAAATCGAGGGAAGCTTCGTGTGAATTAGTGGCGTGATTCTGAAAGCAATACGCATCAATAAGCATCCAGGATGAAGAAAAAAACACCACATATGATCATTACACTCTGGTAAACTAACATAACTATGGAAAATCACCACTTTCAATGGGTAAATCAATCAACTATAAATGTGCCATTTTCAATAGCTATGTTAGTTTACCAGAGGGTAAAGCATATCAAAACAGTTGATGATGCCTCACAGAACCAAACACATGTGGTGTTTATATAAGCGTATATAATCGCAGTTGTTCCCGTGGTTTTTGCTTCGTGAGCAGTCCCCTGCAGACTGGCGACGATCCTTCTCAGCGATTCTGCAGGGGGCCATGGCATCATGGCGGGCAGTGCATCCTGCGAAAGTTGTAACTGGCCAAGTGATAGACCAAATAAAGGGGTGAATAAAATTGATGATGATTTCAATGTGGGAAACCCTGGCTGCCATAAACAACTACCAAACTTGGGGATGGTAAACGATGGTAAACGACCCATAAGAATGGTGATTACTCCGGGATGGTTCATGGCATTTGGTTTTCATTAGCCACTTAGATGATTATATAATATTATATATATATAATTATATATGTATATATATTTCTTAGGTAACAACCGTGACTGGTTTGCAGTTTCAAATACTCTAGTATTTCTTCCATCGACTTCCGAGTGGGATGATTATTCCCAACGGACGTGCAAAGAAGTTTATGGGATGGGTTGAAGCCACCTGCCAGATGCTCATGTGTGTTTTAGACATCAAGATGATCGCCAATAATTGTTGATTATGATATATTATGAACAATTATGACTATTATATTATTGTTGATTCTTGATTCTTGATTAGATTATTGATAGATGATGTAAAAAAGGTGGTTTAACTGTTCAGGGTATATCACCATGACCTGTGGTTTGATCTTGCCAGAAATTCGTATCATACCGGATCTGCGGATGTCTCCACCTCTTGTCGATAGGAATAACTGTTAGAGCGTGGTGCTTTAATCAGCTCCTCCGGAAGCAACTAACATAGTATTGTTGAGATGATCAGATGATCATGCCTCTTATTTTGTTGTTCTCATATATATAATTATATATATACACTAGTATATATATACACTAGTATATATATATATGTGCACACACACACACTTGCAGTTCAACTGTTTTCGACTTATATTTAGTATCAGTTGTATAAATTATGAATTATATGTATATATATATATAATTATATCTATACCCTAAGCTTCTGCGACCATTTAAATAATAGGCTTGCATCTGCGACCATTAATTTGCATTAACGACTATTTTCCAAGGGTCCTGGATGGGAAGAGTGGCAATTCAGAGATAAGGGGATGGAAGGGTTGGCTGATTGCCGACCTACCTGCCCAGCGGCCTTGCAGATGCGAGAGGATCAGGTGTGGGACCTTGGGTGAGTTGACATCACCATATGTTAACATGTTGAATAATTTCAAAATTGTGTATGGTTATTACAAAGATGGGTTCTTAAATGCTCAGCTCAGCAGGTGGTTTACTTATTTCATTTTGTTAAATTCACATGTTTCTGCTTCGCGCCATGGCCCCATCCATGGCCCTGTATGCTGTATGCGAAAAGCTGTCAAAAGACGTTCAGGGCTTAGTATTTTTCAGCAATGGGTGAGCTGCTTTGCATTTATGATGCAATGCATATATAATATATACATGCCATGTGTCTCATCCTTTCCCCATCCAGGTCTTTATGAAGATGCCATAGGAGACGATGTTATAGACCTTGATGATGTGGAAACAGGTGCGTTTCCCCCCCTGCCTTTGCAGTCTTGTGCGCTGATTCTGGGGAGTTCCAACTTGGCAGGGGGCTACAACATGGGCCTGGGGGTGTGCATGGGTTTGGGCAAGTGAGAGTGTGGTGAATGTGCTTGATTTCAACTCAAGGGACCCTAGGACCGAAACAGGACGCAGCTTGTCTTGTGGAGTCTTGAGGTTGAAGGGGTGCTCCAGCAGGTATATCCCAATAAGTTAGTTAATTATTATATTATAAATGGATCATCTATTTATATTACATATGGGTGCATCGGTTGCAGGGTTTAAGATTTGACCTCAACCTGTGCAGCCATGGGGGACTCAGTGGTACCAGCATCGCGTCTTTCTCGCCGTGTTGAAGAAGTGAAGGCCTCTCTGGGATCATATATCTTTTCCGTTGACACCTCTTTGTGGCTGGCAATTCCAATTTCATGTACTTTCCGATGTAGGGTGGGTTTTACACTGGTCCTCCCATTGCTTGGAGGTTTGGCTAGCTGACATCATTGAGGAGGAAGGCTGGCTAGACGAGCGGCGCAAGCTCTTGCGCCATCGTGCAGGTTTGTCTGCGCGTGACACTCGCAAAGTCTGATGCTCAATGGAAAGGGGGTGGGGTTCCAGGGAGCAAGTTGTGCACATGTGTGTCCTTTTTTCATAAGCATGTTCTATCCTTTTTCTGGATTACAGTTTCAGATTATGTCCATATGGAATATCATGGTCGCAGATGCAAGCCTAGTATTCAAATGGTCGCAGAAGCTTAGGGGTATATTACCACCATGGGCCTGATGCGCACAGTGTTGTCAACAACTTGTTGGGTGACCTTTCCAAAGATCGATCGACTGAAACTTATATTATTATGGTGCATGCTATTTGCAAAATCCCACTCTGGTTTTGGGATCAAAGAAACGGAGTTGATGGCATCAAATGGCACCAGGTACCACAGTGGGAGTCTGTTAAAGTGATCATTCCTGATGATTTCAAGATTCTAGTCTCTAATTACCTTTTGCATCACAGGGCTTCATGTTTTTTCAAATGCGTTTATACCCCCATGCATATATTTGCATCAAGAAATCCTGTAATTATTCGTCATTGCCCCTGATACAATATCATGATAATAATATATACCCCTGCCCAGGTTCCGCGGTTCCAGTTCATCCTGTTTGACAAGCCTCGCATCACTTCCCGTGAGGCCTTCCACTGCCTTTTTTTTCAATCTTGTTTAGGGCTGCAAGCACAGCTACACACTGGTGGTCCTCTGGATAGGTCGAAGCTGATGGCAATTTCGAGCTGATGCTGGATTTCTTGGCAAGTTTTGCCCATGACATCCCCTCACCAAATGACGTTGAGGCAGGCCGTTTGACGTCATTTTTCAAAGTTCAGTGAAGGAGTTTAGTAGCAGGATATCCAAAACCAATTACATAATAATATTATAAGCATTATTATTATTATCATTATTATTAATGATCATTATTATATATGTGGAGGATCACATTAAAAGGATCCATATCGATCGATAGTTATGATTGGGTCAACCCTCATTGCCAGGATGCCCTGATTTGGGCCAGCACCAAGTACAAGTTGAACCCTTGGAAGGAGCTTCCCATGCACCAGGCATTGGAACTTTGTGACAATACCAACGCACTGCAGTACAGATCAGTACAGTCAATATGAGACTGTCAATGATTGGTCAGATTACATCTTTGGTCCAAAGGTTGAACATAAAACTGCAGAGCTGGACCCAATGACATTGTACCGATTTACAATTGATCATTTGAAAGGTGATCCGTGCAAGAATTATACAATACAATGGTTAGACTTTTGTTTTGTTTTTTGATGACAGGCCTGGGCCCAGACTGAGTCTGGAGTCATCCGATCCTGTGCAGCCTATTGCATTGACCGCTTCCAACGCTATGCTGCTTCAAGGCTAGATATGGATGATGCAACTTAAGACACATATCAGAATTCGATACATGTTCATCTAATTTCAAAAAAACACACACATACATATGCGCATATTGTTGTAAACATATTATATAATTATTATATAATATGCATGTATTTGCATGCATGCATATCCTGTGAAGTGCGCAGTAGATTCAATACTGGAACACAAATACAGTCTTTAAAAACGTTAGTCAGATTTGAAACCATTTTGTCACTGTTGACTGGGCAATGGTCCATCCCCTCTGATACTGTATCAACTCCGACCAGCCAGGAAAGGCCACCCGAGGATGGACGAGCTGCGATCAGTGATCTACACAAAGCTGAAGGACTGTGATTCGCTGGGCATGTTTTGGGGTATTGAGTTACAAAACAATCAACATATATTTGTTTCTTCATGACTCAAATAATTAAATGATATATTTTCAGAAGTGAATTATGTATCAAGGATCCAGAATACCTGTATTGCACACGACTGAGTGATGAGGCATTATATTATAACTTAGAGGATTTATCGATCCATTGGTCCATCCGTAAGTTGATTCATCAGCCCATTGATCCGTGACAGCCCTCCCATTGCGGCCCCTCATCCGCAGCTCTCAGATGGCTAGGAGGAGAACCTGCTGTCACCAGAGGGAAAGAAAATCCCCACCAGAGGTCGAGGTGCTGCACGTCTCAAACAAGAGGAGGCACCAAATTCGGACTGGATCCATTAACTAGAAATATCATATCACTCGATCAACATCAATCTATCGATCATTGAAAATCCAAAATCAATTCCATTCCAGTCCACTTGCATGAATTATTAATTGATTTGAATGCCAAATCGCAAAAAAGTGCAGTGATTTTGAGTACGCATTTCTAGGACCACATCAACAATGGGACCTTGCAAGAAAACGATATAGAAATGCACATTGTTTGCATTCAACCATGCATCATTGGAATGTTTATCAACCCATGCTCTGGGCAGGCTGCTTATAGGGCTATGAAATTGGCGAAGGATGTGGACAACATGGAGACTCTTCCCATGGAGTCCCAAGACATGTCCCCCATACGACCAATGTCACCGCTCTTGGAGGGTGAGGAGAGTGAGGAGGAGGGTGAGGAGGAGGAATCAACCACTGATGAAGATGTTGATGACTTAGAGGTGATTGCAGTTCATGACCCTGATCCAATCATCCTTGAGGATGATGATGTTGAGTCACCCATTCCCCCAACTATCATGGAGGAGTCACAGCCTTTTGAGCCAGAGGTCCCTGATTCCCAGTTTGATCCAGCGGGTACCCAACAAGATGTGCCACAAGAGTCTTCGCCTGCAGAACCAGCTGGCATCATCGGCAAAGGTCTGGAACCTCCATCCAGGGATGGCGGCAAGGGTGCACCCCCGAGTGATGAAATGGATGTTGAGGATATCTTGGATTCTGAGGAGGAAGATGGCGTAAAGGGTGCCCAAAGTAGCAAAGGAGTTTTCCAGGAGGGGACATGAAACTGCTTAAGTGCGTTGGTTGGGTTCTTCAAACATGAAACAAACATAAACACATTGAATTGATCGATTGGTGAAATTACCTAGCATGTGTTCAAGCAAGTTAGTTCAAAACCCAAGAATTCACCAGTTCCTTTTGTATAGTATCGATGAACAATAATAATAATATACAACATATATGCTTTCTATAGACTATGTGATGTGATATCTGTTTACTTCGACCTGGCCAGTGAGAAGTACCAACTTGCCAACATCATCAAATATCAAGATGTGTCTCCAACATGTTGCATTCCTTTGCCACCGCCCAGCCACTAGCACTATATTCATGAATTCATATCCAGGATCGAAAGCCGCTGAAAGATGAAGTGAAGATTCCTCAAAGTCTTGAGGAGCAGGCTATAGCCCAACTCAATCACCTTGTTGGAGATGGTGAGGTTGCAATGACAGAACATATGGCTGAATTGGCGAAGGCAAGAAAGCCTGTATGGAGGGGGGGTGTTCCCTGCTGCTGTTTTTTGTTCAAACATTTCATTGGGGCTGGTGATAGTGATGTTGTGCTGGGCTGGGGTTGCAATGATTATTAGTTATTCCATCAGCACATCCCATGCAGGTTCTCAAGGTTTTTCCACGATTTGGCAGTCCGCAATATGATTTGAAATGACATCATGATTGACATTGTCTCGTATACCTCCAACTTCACGTCACAAGGTTCTGACCCCACGTGTTTCAAGACCTGACAGTGACCCACAGATCACAGCATTATACATGCATCTGTCTTATAATATTATAATATATATATATATTATATATTACATATATTATATTAGTGTTGCATTTATATATACGTATTAATCATGATCATATATATAACTTATCATGATTGGTATTCATGTACTTTTTGTATATTGTGATCATCCATTGGTCCCATGTATAAACCCAGACTCCCCAAGAGAATTCTTGGCTTCTCTTCCTGTCAAAACATCATGACAGATCCCCCAGCCTTGGAGGCACAAGCAGCCATCCGCAATATGGCCAAGGAAGCAGCAGATGCTCCTGACCAGGACAAAGTACTCCGAGAAGAGCTCGAAGCAGAAGAGGTTGAGAAGCAGAAAAAGAAATCCAATGCTGTCAAAGGTCGTGGAAAGGGAAAAGGGAGAGGTAAAGGAAAAGGTGGCCGTGGACGTGGTAGGGGCAAGAAAAATGGCCCGGATGAGGAAATGCCTGAGGTGAAAGCTGCAACCACACATGATGCGGAGGAAAATCATGAAGTTGGGGACACTGATCAGGTCACTGACTCTCCCCCTGTCGAGGAAATGGAACCTCCCAATGATTCTTTGACCCCGAAATCTATTGGCCACAAACCCATCAAGAGGAGGAGATCCAAGCTCAGACGTTTGAAAGCCCTTTCGCCTTCCAGCTCTGCAAAAAAAGGCTGCAAAGTGCCGCGTTGAGCCTGTTGCCGGTCCAGAAAGTCAGCAGGAAGATCCGTGGGGTGGCACTGGTGAAGATGTTTGGGATGGTGACTGGGAGAACTCTTGGGAATATCCTGATACGCAGGTTGCAGAAGAATGGGAAACAAATAACAAGCCATCGAAAAAACGCAAGACCAAGAAGACCAAAGGAAATAGAAAGAAAGCAAAACAGTCCACTGAGAATCAGGATGGCAATCATGCACCGCCTACTGGCATGTCCTCAGACCACACTGGAAGAATGGCAAAGGCAAAGGCAAAAGCGAAGAGCAAGGATAAAGTTAAAGGCAATGAACCGGAAAAGCCAGGAGCCATTGATGACGATAAGGAGTTGCAAAAAAAGCGAGAGGCAGAAACGAAGAAGGACAGACACTTCACCAGGTGGTCATAGTTAGCTTTCAACCAAATACCATTAACAAAACAGGTATACTGCTATGATAGTTGATTTCTTGTAGGCAATCGTTGGGCACTAAAGGTTTGTGGCAATCTTGATCAGTGCACTAGCTGTAATATCTCTGTTGTGTCCGATGATGTCCAATGTGACAAGAACATCACTCAAAATAACTAGCATCTGAATTCCCTGATGATCAAATTACGACACCAAAAAAACAGATATAATATATACATTATATATATATTATATAATATATTATATATGATTTTGTTCTCTCCATTTTCTTGCTGTAAACATGCAGCTTGTCCAATCCCCATCACCTGTGGCAGGTTGAAAAGTGGAATATCCTTCTTGAGGTTGCAAAGTCAGACTCTAGCTTGGCAATGCAACTGCCCACAGAGATGTGCGCTGGAAAGTCCAAAGCTGAGGTGATTTTGAATTTGGGTCTGGAATTTTACTGCTGCCATTGAGACATCTTGGGATTGGATCAAGGCATAGCATGAAAACCTAGTTAGCCTGCCCATTCCAGAAAAACATGCATGATGGTTGATACCGATATACTATAGTTTCCAACATGCAAATGCTAATCTACTGGTGCTCAGGTCATTCACCATTTATGCCCCTGATGGAGCAGTCCCACATCATGGGGGTGAATGTTCTGCCATCGGAATCTTGTTGGACTCTGAGACAGTGTGCTGATTGAGATCATGTCATCAGTGATTGATTTTAATCAATATAATATATTGATTAATATAATTATTAAAGTTTTTCCCATCTTTTCAGTATTAAAGAAATCAAATAATCTATCGAATGCCTTTCCCTCCTGCCACATTTGCCTGAGGCTTTCGCAAGCGCGGTGCAATTCAGCTGCCTTCCATGTTGCGAGGGCAGAAGGGATTGAAGAGCGGGTTGCCAAAATGAACAAAGATTTGGGAGGAACTTGGAAGGTGGGAAATCATCCATGTCATGGCATGGTTTCTCTGCAACCAATTGCAAATTAGGATTGGAAAGAATGAAATACTTGGAGTTTTGTACCTGAAATTGCAGTGCTGCTGACTCCCATTTCAAATATCAGGTTCTGTTCTCAGGGAGATGTTTCAATAGTGCAGCCAATATACCAACTATGAAGGTATTCAACATGACCCTCAATTCCCAAGAGGCAGTGCTAACCATCACCAACTGTCTATCACACAACTCCAGCTTACTGGAGGTGCAAAAGAAAGGCATCAGCGTTGGTTGGGGCAGCAATGGCGGGTGCACGGCTTCGTTTGGAGCCACAGCTTCTGGTGGGTGGTTGTGGTGAACATGATAAGGGATGCGATGATAAGGGATGATAGGGGATGATAAGGGATGATAAGGGTATTGTTGCTTATAAGTATGCATCATGATGTAATATTATATTAGTACATATTATATATATAATATAATTACTTATATTAATATACAAAAAAATGTGTTGACCTTAAATTGCTGGATTGCTGTTCATGCATTTAGACCACCAAAAAGCGACCACTGGAAATCATATATTATATCAGGTTGACAATTTTGATGGACCTTACCAGGATGTACAATATCATAGATTAGTCACATAAATGCATGTTGATTAGCTACTTTTGCTCAATCCAAACATTGTACTAGAGCAATCTATCCATGGAATTTGCACTAGTAAGTATGGCATGATGCCCTCGATACTGCCCTGCCACTTGTATTCCCATAATTCCACACCCTTGGTGTCGCCTGACCACCTCCCCAAGGTGGACCTTGGCAAAGACTGCAGCTGGATGGCCCTGAAATGAACGAACTGGGCCTGGGGATTTCTAATCAGGTCACACTTGAAACAGTGCTGCCTGAGAGGATTTAGATCTCTAATGAAACAAATAAAGATCCTTAGGGCTTCCAAATTCCATTTGTGAAACTTGTTTGGTGTTAAACCCATTCAACTTGTTTGGTTCCCAGTATGAGCATCAAGGAAGCCATGGGTCTTAGATCGTTGGAGGTAAATTTTGTTTCAAGGGGTTTACACGCAGCACACTCTTTCCGGCATGATTTATGAAGGTACTATATACTGGTGCAATGCCACTTGTAAACAATCTTAGGGGCTGAGTGTGCTGGTGTTTTTCTTTACACAGCAGTGTGGGACCCAGGCATTGATACCGCTGCTAAAGTTGCACTGTGCGCATGCTGCGCATGTGTGCGTTTGATGTTGGAGATGTTTTAAGTTCATCATTTTGAGCAATTGTCCAACACTAATAATATTGTGGAACAATCTTGTAACTGTGGCTGTTGCTTTTACCAACAGGTGGTCTTTGGGTTCTGGGCAGAAGCCTACTATTGCTGTGCCATCCGAACAAGCTTAGATTTGATCATTTCGGGGATAGACATTGGAAAGTTGAGAAGAAAATGGTGCCTGCTGTGCGGGGATCAGACCGATCATGATGGCACATGCTTGAGTATATGATCAAGCTAAAATCTTAAGGAAATATAGATCAAATGTGACTACACGCATGCAAGTATCACACATGTATCGACATGCATGTTGATCTAATTGAACTGAAGACCCACACAACTCTTTTGGGGGATGATGTTTGCTTTGCAGCTTGGTGGTGACTATCCATGGATGGATTTTGCATTACATCATCATTGGCCTGGATCTGTGCATGGGACTTGGCTCATGCAGGTGCACAAGTGTGACTACAATCCTCTTGAGTTTGGAAAAATTTTGTTCATCAATCTTTCCACTCTTAATTGAACTGGCTACTGAAATTCGAAAGCTAGTGAAATTGGCCCATGATGGTTGGCCCAACATCAAGACCTCTTCTCTGTGGAGCCACACGCAAGGGTTGCTGACTTGGCTGTCGCTGGCAAAGCAATGGCGGGATCTCAGGGCAGGAAGAAGAGTTGGGCCAAGAGCCCATTGGCCCTCTCTGTCATGGCTTCAAATCTATTGGTCAGTTGGGGGGTGCCTCTTCTTTTGCCCCTTTGATTGAATTCTGAATTTATTGACATTGTGGATCACATCAAATATTGTAAGGTCTCTGCAAACTGTTCTGCCAATTGGCCATCGATATAATTTAGGCAGATCTAGAGCCCCCAAAAAATGTTCAAAATTGAATATCGAGAGAATGAGTACTTGTAGTGGGTCTGCATGTGTTATGGTCAGGAGAATGTGTGTGTGTGTCTGTGCATGTCCTTCTTGGTTTCCTGTGATCTCCCATGGCCTTTGAGGTTACATGCCTGTGATTACATTGCTCAGAATGCACCAGATGATGATCATCGCAGGGTCCAGTGCTCAGATTGGAACCTGTGCACTATGGTGATCATCATTGTTGATAGAATGAACTGATTGCTGTTGAATAACGGGTGTAGCAGTTTGATTAAATCTACATACATGTGCATGTGCATATTATGTGCTGCATGCACATGTAAGTATATTCATTTAAGTTGTTTCAATCAAGATTATCATTTTATAGACTGCCACGTTTGTACGGTGAGGAAGTTTTTACATGGTCATGGTTGTGAAATCTGTGTGTACCTTATAGGTAGTGATGGATGCATGCCCCATCAACCACCCATCGGTCAACCATTAATTGATTTCTATCTATATGCGTGGAGTTTGCATATGTGTGCATGATGCCTTTGGTTAGAAAAATATAATATAATAAATCTACAAGTTTAATATCATATATTGTACATGAATAATTTATAAATTATTTATTATATATAATATTATATGTTGATCGGTATTGATCTATTTGATGGTTATCGATTGGTTGATGCAGACTCATCGATGCACCCTATGCACATTGATTATGATCCATGCATGTGGCATTTGTGTGAGAGAATGCTACCCACTATGAGTGACTCTCCCTTCCCATTCCAAATGTGTGGATCCAAGCACCAGACCAGCCAAGGACTTGGATGCCATTGACGCCTTCGGAGGGGAGCAGGAGATTTCCACCGCATTTGGTCAGGGTCCCCAGTCTGTGTTTGAATGATCTTTGGTCGACTCACACTTGGGAAAAACCTGGCTGATCCACAAGATTTGATATTGATATGGTATTGGCATCAAAAAATGATTTAACTCAGCGGGTTTTGATCACTACAAGACATCATGAACTGATAGTTTGGCACGATTAAATATACCGATCTATATTACATGTATCTTTCTCATTGCAGTCAACCAGAGTAGATCAGTAAAACCATCCACCCTTCTAAGCACACATGAACAAGACCAGCTATACAGAAATCACTCCTGGTTGGGTCTCTCCCACCCTTCTGCATGTGATTTGAGGCAAGCGTGGAATGAAGACGTGAGGGGCCCAAGGTCTAGGGCAGTCAAATATTGGAATATAATATGATATGCATGCGGTGTCAAAAAGAACATAGTCTAGTGGTTCGACAATGTTTGTGGGTACTTTGAATAAAGGTGCTTAATGTCAAAAATGAGGAAGTGGGGACTGAGTTGAAAACTCATCATCATAAATTCCTTTGGCAATTGACTACTACACTTCTGATCCACTTGATCAAGCTGGATTCCCTTCACTCCAAAACACCATTCCCATCCTTGACCATGCCTTAAGCAACCATATTTGCACTTGGTGCTGCTGGCTGAGGGACTTCTTTGACCTCAAGACCCAGGGCGAGGAAGGCGACATTTTGAGCATGTGCTTTCCTCAGCTCTTGATTGCCAGGGGACTATTGATATGTTGGCCTGGAAGTTTGGTCTTGGTGGTGCTTCAATCGTAATTTATTAAATTCTGTTGTGATCATGACTTTTACTTGGTTTAGTGAAGCAACCTATTCTTGAGAGCATAGATGTCTTAGAAGGTACTGTATATTATACTAGATCATGTGGGTTGGCCTCACTGGCAATACCAGAAGCCCTCAAAGTTTGCTAACCCTGTTGAAGATGGTTCTGCATCAGATGTCATGGAAATATGTCACATGTGTGATAAGAGAAAATGCAAAATGTGCATATCAATTTCATTGGAAACCAAAATTTCATTGGGACAAACTGTATCCATCTTGTGTGAATTAGTTCATTCATAATATAATCGATCAACAAACAACCTGGGCCACGGCTGGCTCAGGCCCGGCTTCCTGGTGATATTGCTAAAGGTGTTACAGCTTCGCATTGGGGGCCTCCTCATAGGGGGCCCTCCGTGCGGGAGCTTTGTGTGGGTCAACCGATCGACAAGCCGCAGAAGCAAGACCCGGCCGCTTGGGGACAGCTCCAGGGAATATGTCAGGTGTGCCAACTCGATTCTTTTCAGCAGTAAGTGTGTCTATGAGATCTTGATTGATTGTAATGTATAACGTCGTAACTGTATTATGTTTTGAATTCTGTTGTGGTTGAACTACAAAACAAAAACAATTGGGGCAATCATGACATAAATATTTGATTTAAATATATATATATATAGATCAGATCTATATTTAAAAAACATATTATAATATATTATTATTATATATATAATAATATATCGTCCCTCCATCATGATGGTCGAGCCAGTGATGTGAATATTGTATGCAACATCATCCTATCATCTAGTACAATCTGGCAACATTGTCTTGGCCAAGTTCGTTCACCACAATGGCAACCAAATCTGCCATGAATCTGAGGATCACGACAAGGTTTGTGCTCCTTTCAATGGTCGCCCTGGCAAGGGGTTGTGAGATTTTATGGGAGCAGCCTGGATCGAGCCTGATGTTAGACTTCCCCTATGTTAAATTTCTGGCGCTTGCCATCATGCCGATTGCGTGGGGGAAAGTACGATTGATCTGACCTCAGTTTATGCATCATTGTTACTGACTGAATTTATGTGTATAAACTTTGACATTTAAATCGATGGTGTGCTGTCAGAGTCACCCCCCCATGATGATGCACATTAGTTCCTGGAAACCGAGTCCTATGGGTGCTTTCGGCCACCCAAACACAAAGCCGACAATACTGTTTGGGTCAGCGTGCCTGGCCCGCATGTTATAACGTTATTTTATTTGTTGTTATGATGCATTTGATCCAGCAATGCACGTGTGTGTCAGGGTCTGTAGTGGACCCCTGTTGGTGGAAAGGCCCTATATCGAAAGCTTCAAGCGCAAGATGAATGCCAGGGACAAGCGCCGTGTGCAAAAGAACAAGGCCCTGGATAAATACAAAATGGTGAAAAAGACCATCAACAAGAAAACGGGTAAAGTCCAGGTGAACCTTGGCAGGTGATAGTAGTATATAACATTATTATAAATATAAAAAATAGCAGTATATATATTATAATATATAATATAAATATTATAATGAATTAATATATATAATATATAATACATTATACTATATAATTATAATATATAATAATATATATATATATATTATATTATATTATATTATATTATATTATATTTTATTATATTGTTATAATTGTAAAATAATATTATATGCATATTATATATATATTATATAATTAATTAAATAATATAATAAACTTAGTAGCTTATATAATATAATTATAATATTATTTTTATAATAATAATATTTATAATAATATTATATTATATATATATTATATTATATAATTAATATAAATTATAATATCTTAATTCCAGTGAGGTATCCTATCGGCATTAACCCTGTTGCATGTGAATCATGTTTGAACCTCTACTGTGTTAGGCCTGAGATTGGCAACAACTTCATGATTTAATTCCATTGTGGGTATGGAAGCACTTGCTGACCCATGAATTGATATCAGGCCCTGGTAAAACTGCTGATCATAATCAATGTTAACCAGATCACCCATGGTATTCTCAGCAGACTTGAGGAGTGGGGCCAGTGGAATGCGGCGCTCTGCAGCCTATCCTGCTGGCTTTGCGAACCATGTTGCAAATCAACATCAGCGACTTTTGGCCAGATACTCAGTGTTGTGGGCATGGCATCAACCACCATGGTATTTACAATGCATTTATTGGACAAATAATGTTTCAATGGTCAAGTGAACCATTCCCACATGTGTACAAAAAGGTAAAAAACTGATAGAGGGAGCCTATGATGTTGATCAATGATGTTGGTCATAGTGATGATCTTGGTTATACGTTATGGAGTGGTCCCTCAAACCAACTTTGGACATCACCGCTGTGTGAATGCAACATGTGTTTGAATTGCATGGGCAAGGCCAAGAAGCTTCCGGTGACCAAGACCCACAAGCGGGAGGTTGCATCTCCACCCAGTAAGGTTGGCTTGGGATGTCAGGGTGTGTGTCCATCATGTGGTGTTGATGCATGCACGTCTAGCGGCTTTTCCAGCCAAACCGAATAATTTTGAAACCAAATCAAAATCTGGGAATGGAACCAACCTTGATCTAATATGCCAGAATATATCCCAGACCTTGTGATTTTATATGACATTAAAAACATGATTGTGATGCATTGATTAATTATATATAATATATATATTTAAAACTATAATTGATATATATATTATAAAAATATGTTATATTCGACCACGCCATGATCTATTGCCAATATACTAATATGAAAATTCTTCCAACTGCGATCCCGACCTACTCTAGAAATAAATAGTGGTAGCTTATACATATTAAATATTATTAAACTATACTCGTACTCTATATTATATATCTAGAACCCTGCACCTCCTGGGCGTACCCGACTGCACCTGCTGCAATTGCCAGGCACCCTACAACTGGCGCCATGGCCAGCTCAAGGAAATCCGTGACTTCCTGAGGCATCAGGTCGAGTTGAAAACCTACTCGCCAGTTCTGACGACAGGTCTAGATTGGATCTAGCTAATCAAGTTAGAGCCCTAATTCGGTTCTGGAATGCTGGCTGGCTTAGGTGGTGTCCACTGTGGACCATGGCCACCATAGATTGGATCGATTTGATTGAACCTGTTTTGATATCACAAAATCTTATAAATGTCATCCTCATTTGCTAAATTGCAACCAGCACAGCAATGGAACAGCTAATTAGCTATTTCTCATGAAAATTCAGCTCAGCCTGGGTTTTTGGATGATGGCTGCTTTGGACATGCCTTCATGGGTGCACCCATTAATGGATACCAGGCCTATAATCCTTTAAACCTAGCACCCTCGAACATAATATGGTGATCAATGCAATGCAGTCGTCTAGTCAGTGTCCGGACCTGGGGTGCTGGCACAGCACTGGCGTTTGATATGTGCCTAAGTTGAGCAAAAATAAGAAACTGGGCTGCATGCTGCATGCATGCATTGATCAACCCATGTTGGCCTGACAATCCTGACTTGATCATAATTTCTCATGGCAGGAAATCCTGATCATCAGCGGGACTATATACTTATAATTATTCAGGCAAGATTTCAGGACAAAATAAATTATTTTGTATCCAATCAGGATTTCAGGACATGGGGACATGGTTTTATCCAGTCAGGATTTCAGGACAATATTTTATTCAATCAGGATTTCAGGATATTGTTTATCCAGTCAGGATTTCAGAACACTATTTATTCAGTCAGGATTTCAGGACAACTGCATTTATGACTGAAATATCCGGGTGATTAAAATATTTTAATATTAATCCTGAAATCCTGACTGAATAAAATACTGTCCTGAAATCCTGACTGGGGAAAATATTGTCCTGAAATCCTAAGACAACCTTGTTGGGTAGACCACTGGGGGGGGCAGCGTGAAACAGCGTGAAACAGCGTGAACGAAGCGTGAACGACCATTTCTGAGCGTGAACGACCATTTCTGAGCGTGAACGACATTCCACCAAAAATCACCTTTTTTTTGAACAATGGAAAAGTGTTGCAATGTGAATTTAGGGGTTTTGGCCAGTGCATGGTGCACATGATACATTCTGGAAGCAATTTGGGTTTGTTAGCTAGCCTCGGTCGACAGTATGGCCAAAACGGTGCATGATGCTTTGCAACGTGCGGCTGCAAGGTCAGCAAGGCGAGCTGAACTGGAAAGTGCAAGATTGATTGTCGAACGGGGCTGTGGCTATCCGCTGGATGAAGAGCAATATGGTTGGTTTTCTGTTCTGTCCATGCCTTAGGTTAGTGTGCATGTGTTCAGGAAACCATGTTCCCCCATTCCCATCAGGATTTCAGACATGTGTGAGTGAATCTTGTCAAATATATTCAATATACAACCATGAGCGTTTATAAGATATAAAACATATTTATTAATAAATATATATTATATTATTATTAATTATTTAAATTAATATATATATAAATAAATATATTAATTATATAATTTATATAATATATATTATATTACTTATACATAAATAACAATATAATATAATTATAATATATATAAATTATTATACTATAATTATTATATTAATATTTTGTATTAATATAATATATATTATTATTATATATATTATATATATATTATATTTATTTAATTAATATACCTGATATCATGATGGTGCTCATATATGAATTGAATATTGAGTACAATCAACATTCATTGCAAAAAAAATGGCAATGCAGTTTATATTAATTAATGTCTGCATCTGCACACTGTTGAACCTCCCATTCCGTCGAGGTTGAATGACCGAGTTGCTGCTGATGATGCGTTGAAGAGCTCCAAACGCGCAAAGCTATCAGGCTCCAAAGGCCTTGAAAGCCCCACGTCGACCACGGCTGGTTCTCCAGGACCCATGTACAGTATTCACATGTTTGACCTGTGGCATTGGATAACCACAATTCAACTTTAAAACCATGCACCACTATCATGTTCACACCATGCAATTGCAAGATGTAGCCACCCTGAATTGATCACTACTGGGAAAGTTACATGGGGAAACCTACTTTGCCAAACCAGCCATGTCTGGGATGCCCAACTGTGCTGGAGTAGTCAAACAATGGAGTATGTTAATTATTATATGCATCATCTTTTTGCACCAGCATGACAATCAACCATTTAGAATTGTCAGACCTGTCCACTCATTTGCAGAGAGGCGCCATAGTAGTATACTCCCCAAACACTCCCACATACAACGTGAATGTGGTATATTTCTGACTTTGGGACTCTGGTATGGGTTGGTTGTGGGTCAATACATTGTTCAACAAATGCATTGTTCTTGGTCACATATAAATTCAAGACGTATAGTGTAAGAATATCGATATTGTGTTCATATCATATTTATTTAGTTTTACAGTATATTGATAACTGATATGATATCTGACATATGATGTTTGGGTGGACGTATATAGTTCCCCCAACTATGACACCACCATATGGGCCTATTTCTCCTGGGTGTTGACTTTATGATAGCAGCATGGAACCCATTTAATTTATATATTATCACATACCTGCATGCATGCGAATAGGGTATGCATACATTGGCAGGAATGCTTTTCGAATCAGATTCTGTATGTTTTATTCTATGTATTGTTGCCTGGCTAAAAACATATTGCACATCTATATATATATATTATATATTAATTATATATTATTAAAATATTATAATATTGTTGTATATATAGTAGTATAAATATACATTAATAGTGCTTTGGGAATGTGGATGTTTTCATTTTGAGGCCAGGTTTTTCATATTCTACTTAACCTTGAATAGGGCTTGAAAGAACCACTAGCCAAACTCCTCAATCAAATTAACGACTACATATATGCATTAATTTGTGAATTCTAACAATTCATTCGCTGTAATGCTTTAAGGCTGCAGTCTGAAATCTAGATCAAATGCACAGCCAGTGCATCATCATATGATTATCACGTATGACATGGGCACGCTTGTTTGGTTGCATTTGTTGAATGTATATTATATATACCAAAGCTGTGCACTGTGTGGATCAAATTTGATCAATATCCTACTGGGAAATTCAATTTAAAACATCTGTGCAATAAATTCAAATGATCACTGATTATTATATATATATATATTACAACTATTCAACAAAGTTTGTCATTATTATTGTGTATCATGTTTTCATGTACCTAGGTTAAACCATTTATCATATATGAAAAAGAACATGTATAATTCACATGCTACACTCAATTGGTAAAAAATGATTGACTAATCATGATCCAATTCCAATTCTCAGGGATAAGATTAAATCATAGACAATTGACAGTCATGCAATCACCTTGACCTGCCCACAGGAGCATCAAGTTCTGGCAGCACAGTTCCAGGAACAGATGCTGCAGCCAAAGAGAATGCGCTTTTGGGGTATCAGCAAGCCCAGCATGAGCAAGCCCTTGCAAACATGGCCAGACCTTCTCCACCTGCTGTGCCACCCAAACGTACCCTTGCCCGTGTCAACAGTGTTCCCATCTTCTCACCTGTTACACCAGTTGATAGGATCCGCCGCACCAGCACACCAACAGAACATGGGGTCCCAGCTGTGGCGCCAGCAGCCATACCCGAACAGCAAAAGCAAGTGCCAGTTCAACCTGAAATGACACCTGAGGAAGCCAAGCAGGAGAGGAAACGACTTAAGAAGATTGAACGGAAGGCAGCAAAGTTCCAACGTAGGGAAGCAAAGCGAGCACGAAAGGAAACAGCCACAACTACTGCACCCAATGCTGCTTCACATGAACCACAGGCAGAAGGATGTCCTGAACCAGCCCCGCACCAGTTGCAAGTTGCAGTAGCCCAGCCCAAGCCAGCACCATCACAGCCCATGACTGTGAAGCAAGAACCTGGGACTGTAGGACCCCGCGCAATTCCCACAATCAAGGTTGCAGCAAAAAAGTCATCTGCCAAGCCATCTCAGAGGCCAGGCGCAGCAGCTCCTAGTGACACTGCTGAACCTAACCAGGCTGTCAAGGCAGCACAGACACCAGTGAGAACGGATGAAGCTGAACATGCAGCACGTGAACAAGCAACTCAAGACAACTTTGTGCGGGCAAACACAGCATCGCAAGTGGGAACACCACAGACAGCAAACCGTGATACTAGATCACCTTCCCTTGAAACACTTTTGGACAGAACAATGTATGCGGAAAAATATGGTGAGGCAGAAACTGTTACACCCACACCTCAGCCAGGGACTGAAACAACACCATCAGCACCCGCGACACAAGCAGCAGCCGAGACACAACCAGCACCCCAGACACAAGCAGCATCCCAGACACAATCAGCACCCGAGGCACCATCAGCATCCCAGACACAATCATCACCTGAGGCACCATCAGCATCCCAGACACAATCAGCACCCGAGGCACCATCAGCATCCCAGACACAATCAGCACCCGAGGCACCATCAGCACAGGTAGCAGGTACAGCAGCCCCTGAGGCTCAACAGCAAGAACAACTTGCACAAATACCAGGGCCAAGGAGGAGAAGAGAAATGACTACAGAACAGAAAGCCCTGCATGCGCGTTACATGCGGTTCTCAAGATCTTTTCAGAGACCCTTGGATGGGTATCATGAGATTGCTATTATAGTGATATAGGTTTTGTAAGACATTGACATTTGTTTTGTAGCCCTATTAATGGTGGAGGTGTGCACTCTGCATGATTCATACATGTATGCTGCATGCTGCATGTGTGTGCATGCAATTTGGGGAAACCAAGTGCAATTCGATTGAATGTCAACCGTCATTGGTTGTATGAAATTCACCGGCACGAATAGTACAACAAACTCTTGATGATTTCTTTCGATCTCAATATTCTATTTCATTGTAATGACCAGTTTGCTACATGGCCACCAATCCGACCCAGCTCTCAACCACTTGCCTCTCTTTGATGCCACCATCAGCATCACAGCCTTGCACAAAGGAAGGGATTGCCCAAAGGAGATGAAGACTGCTTTCCAGAATGCAGCCTACTGTGTCTTGAACAAGTGTGGGCTACCATGGGTGAAATATCTTAATCCCCCCATTTGACATATCAGGAGGTGATATAACGGTGATACAATTATACAATAGCTAGGATGAACTCGTTGACAGCATTAGGGAATTTATATCGTAAATATGAAAGGTAAACCTGAAGGAGGTGTCAAATTAATAATTAGTATAAATGTGGGAGCTGTGCATTCAACCATTTCCGATGTCTAGCTGACAGACCTGGCTTCATGTTGACACCTCTATAGGGTCCAACATTTACACTTGTGACCATCATACAATATTGTTGGAGGCTTCTCAATCCTGTAATAAGGTGGTGTTTGCATTTGTCTATGTTTGAGTATGCACGCCTGCAATCTACACATCATATGCTTGCAGTTCAATTTCCATTCATGCCCCTTATGTTGACTATTGTTTGCAAACAAGCAGTATCTGCAAAATGTTAAACAATTTTTGTCATGTGATGGGTCAAGAAGGTTGTGTTAGGGGGCCATCCTTCAGGCAGTGCCAAGCTTAGCCTGCTAAAAGAAGCTTGGGAAGAGTGCGCTGGAGAGTGGAGACAGTCTTCACTCTACAGGAAGATTACCAACAAGTCATCAGTCAGTAGCCATGGTGCCAGGGTGTGGTTGACGCGTGATCAAATCTGCGTCAAGTACAATAACAACCAGGAAGTGGCTAATGCCATATGCAGGGCAAAAGAAGATGATGAAATTCTGTGTGAGACACAGATCAAGGACCACCCAGATGCACCTGGGGTTCAGGCTGGGCATGGGTTCTTGGTGTTCAGTGTAGTTTATTGAACCTCCTGATCATGTTCAATCAGTGATGCCAATGATCAAAAGGAATCATACGAGCCAGTTGTTGGGTGTAGATTCCAACCAGGATCTTTATCAATCAAACTTACCAACCAAAAACAACTGCATAAAATTTTGATATGGGTTATATTAACATGACAGCTTGGTTATATTAAATACGATTTATGTATGTCTTTGGCCTATATAATGTCATTTGATTATATTATGTGTGTGTTATGCATGTTTTGTTTGGTAATGTCCATCCATTGCTTTGCAATGAACAGGGATCACTGTCATAGTACTCCCAATTGCCATTGAAGGGGGCTTTGTAATGACTATCATCATCACCACAGGCATAGCAAAAATCACTGGGGCTATTGGCCATCATCTTGCATTCACTATAGCCTTTAGCCTAATGTTCTTCCCTCTCTTGCCATGTTTCTGCAGGCATTGCGGCAGTATTTGGTGTGGGATTCCGAAGGAATCAGTGAATGTCGTGACACAGTCATCGAAGATTTGTTCACTGCACAAGAAGGCAGTGACTCGGATGGAGAAAAGAAGCTGAAGAAAAAGAAGCGTGAACCTAGCAGCTCCAAAGGTTCCGACCATGAGGAGTCAGACAGTGATGATGAGTCTTCTGGCCAGGCCACCCCACACCGTGTCAAGCTGTTAGTTTGCTGCTGTGCATGTTTCAGGAATTGGATTCTGGTTTTCTGCAGTTCATGTGTTGATCAAGTTCTAAAGCTGTAACAGTCTGATCTATATACATCCATCATCGATATACTGCAGTATGTATGATAGTCAGCTTATGTTGTGCATGTCTGGAGTGCACATTTTTTTCGTCCACTGAACTGCCATCATCTGACTGCGCAATGTGGCAAGGACAAGAAGAAGAAGAATAAGAATAAGAAAAACAAGAGGGCTGGCAAGAAAGGTGGAGGAAAGAAGGAGACTAAGGAAAAAAAGGAAAAACGCTTGCGAAAAGAACAGGAGAAGTTGGACAAGGAGAAGAAAAACAGGAACAGAAGGACTTGAAGGACATGTTCAACAAGGCAAAGAAGGCAAGGTGTGTATCAGCCGGTTTGGGTCTAGGGATTTAAACAACTAGTATGTAGTAATCAAGCTACCATCAAAGCTCATGTTAAACAGGTTGAAGTGGTACTGCAATGATACCATGTTTCTGGCAATATGCACTTGCTATCATATGTACCAACATTTGATGGTTGTTTTAGTGGTCCTTGCCATCAAAAGCCTGTTGACCTTACTATTCAAAGTTGGCATTTGCATGCCCATGCACATTACAAGAATATGCAACATGGTTTTACTTCTGGGTCTTTGGGTTGAAATGGGGTTGATTTCGTTCCCTAAGTCTGTATAATTTGTGCACGCTTCATGTGGGATGAATAATGCTGCGCATTTCCAACATGGAAATCAAATCCATATGCATATAACATAAAATACAATATAATATAATATATATAATACATATTATATATTATATCTTAGATATTTCTGTGGCAAAATTTCACCATTGAGGAGTCAATACTCGAACCTAAAGATGTTGTGACAAAGGCATACTCAATAGTGTGCAGTAATCCCAACAATGCAATGGTTGGTCTTTGTCTCCCTCATTGACTCAGTGAGAATGCATTGCCACAAGCCCCTTAGAAAAAAAAACTTTTATGATTTATAATTTATTAGCACTTCCAACATGGTGCAACCTGGTGTAGACCAATGGGTTATTTGGTACTTGCAGGCGATGTCACAACTCAATGACAAAATTGTTGACGCCTCCTCCCGGGAGAAGAATCTTGAAAACCTGCATGGAGCCTCAGAATGCCAGGTGGCCGGTGAGCCTCCCCCTACTGCAACAATGGGTTGTTGTTTCTTTTACATCCTGGCCCCATATTGAAGATTTGTGACTTGGGTGATCAGTGTCCTGCTGAAATCAAGTATTCATGATTTATATATGTCATACTTTGGGGGTTTGTGATCTGACCAGGGTCATGGCTCAGCTGTAGGGGTCCCTTATGGTTGCACCATTGCAGCCAGAAAACCAATGATTGATGATTCGTTGATTAGTGATCAAGGTTGTTGAAGTGGTATGGCAAATTGGGGGTGTAATACGCTGGTACCATTTGGGGGCATGATTTAAGATTTTAGATCGGAAATCAAATGGTGTTTTCTTTTTGTCAGTTGTAAGGTATTCACTGGAAAATGACAAACACAAGTTTGAATCATTGTGATTGAGTTTGGCTTCTTTCAACACGGGGGATCATATTCTAAATGTTTTTGGTTATCCAGGGATCTACCTTCACAGGGTAGTACCTTTCTTTGTTTGAAATGGGCAGGTGGAGACATGTATCGAACTAACAACAGTTCATAGTGTACCCATGATATAATGATAATCTAACTGCAAATATGATAGTGGTGGTCTTGGTGAATTTAGATCCTTAAAATTCATGGCATGGTCCCTGTTAAAAAAAATGCCTGTGTCTTTATCTTTCTTTTTGTCTTTAAGAAATGGTTTCTTGTTTGTGCATTGATCTATGCTGTTTTAAACCACATCACATTTGCTACAAATTTACCATACAGCTAGAGTATAACCAATCAGAAACCAGCCTTGTGTACCCAATGTATTTGGAATGTTATGGATTCAACCATGTGCGGTTTTCTTACCACCAACAGTACCATCTGGAACAACTAACAATAAATTGAAAACATACATGATGATGGCGTTAATTGACAATTGATCAAGAGCCATAACATATCACATCATGAATTATCTTCCACACTCAGTATTTAAGTTGGCCCTGATGGTGCATCTATTTTTTGCATAGTCGCTGTTGTTTAACAGGTAGAAAACATTTGTATCATACATGGCAGTCAATTCAATCTGGTCAGGTAATCGTACTGCCATGTACTGCCTAAATATTCGTGCTTATTATGTATCAAATTTATTATGTATCAAATTATTTTCATTGGCAATTCCAATTCATCTACCTAGGCTATAGGCTCACCTCATCACCATGTTTACTCCTCCCTGTGCCCATTTCTAAGAGCCTGTCCATGCCTTTGCTCAGGGCGCCAGACCTCAAGAAGGTCATTGGGGGGCATCTGCGATCCAAGAAAAATGCCATGTGTGACCTACGTTTGAAGCTCCAGACCTTGGTGGATACCGTTAATGTCATTTGACTAGTAGCGTTGGTGTGGGGGGTCCATGGAGTAGCCATTGGCTGGGTCATGCAAAGAATGGATAACATGATTGTATGATACACCTTTTTGACCTTAATTGCAGTCACATGGCATCGTGAAAACCTTCATCAATTCCCCGAGAATGAAATGTTGATTGTTAATATTTGGGGAACAACTTGTGAATCACTGTGTGTTTTTTGTCTGGTTGCCCAGGAAACCGGGTTGCTTGCTTTGGTTGAGCAAGCCACGAAGCTGATCGAAGAGTACACAAACTTTCTGAGCCGTTCAAACATGAAGTAGGCATTAGCCATGGGACCTGAACCCATATGATACATCTTTCATTGTGCAACTTGGGTCCTTCCAACCATAGTGCTCTAGTGGTTAGGGTACTGGACTTGCAGGGGAGCAGCATGGTGTGGCTGGTGCTTTGATTTGTATACTACCTTTCAGAATGGCCTTCATGATCTTGTGAATTCACACCACCAAAATCACGAAGCAACCCTAGGTTGGTCATTTGTTGATGCTGTTTTTCAATGTGCTGCCTTGTAACACCATGTGAATGGGGCAAGCCATTTGTACCGTCCCTGGCCTGGTTGGTGTTGACCCAGTGGAACAATTTTTGAACGAAACCGGTCAATATGACTTTGGATCATTGACCACCCCACAAGAAACTGGGGACATGCTTTCTATACCCGTTGGTCACCTGTTCAGAGGGACGTGTGGCCCGACAAACAGCTCTGGAGTGACAACCCTGTAGTAGGCCTGGTGCTGCTCAAGAAAAAAATGTGGGTATTGAACTTTTTGAACCCCTGCAAAAATGATACGGTGAATTGGAATCCAAACCAAACGAACCAAAACATGTTGACCACGCAGGTGGCATTGCTGATGATGATGACATTGCAGCTTCATCCGTGCTGACAAATGCCATCAATGATGTCTGTGGTGGAGATTTTTGCCTGCATCTTAATTAAGATTATTATAATAAGTTTCGCCGACAAAATGATGGGTTAAAAAGAAAAAAATAAAAATGAACTGTAATGATGGTTTCCATTGTCCATTCCAATGGCTGTGGTTTCCATCCCTCCACCCAAAAGAGAAATGATGAACAATACCCATGTTTTTTGAGATTTATCCATTTATTGTTTTTACATCTACTCTGAAAAAAAAAACATGGATGCCATCCACCCCATGGCAATGACTTTGCACATGGCCACCCCCATCCTGCTACCTTCCCACAAGCCCCCTGTCCTCTGAGGGCAGCACTGTTGGCAAAGCGATGAGAGGAGTTCAAGCTCATGCAACTGCACCTTGGCCAATGCTTGACTGACCCTTGCTGGTCCATGAATCGATTACAATATATTCGGAAACTGTATTCTTTATTTGTTGTTCTATACTTGATAGCTACGTCGTATGTGTATATTATATATATGCGCAAGTATATATATAATGTAAATATCATATATATTGTATATAATATATGTATGATTAACTAAGATATTCCCATCATATTAGCTAATAGATATCATGATTTGATGATCTGAGATGATATGCACTTGTAATATCTAGTACCTTCAGGACCAGACCTCCAATGACCATATTATCATCTTCCACGCATGGGTGGCAAACATGTTGCATTGTGACAGACACTACTTTTGACAGCCCCTCAGAAAATGATTTGGAGCCTGGTACATTGTATTCCACTATATATATAATTGGCATGGTATCCCACTTGGTGTAAAACCAATGTTCACTGGCATTCTCCCTTCTTTGCAGCAGTGCCGCAATGAATGTTAGTTGATCAACCTAAGGATTCTGGTCACCTCAAAATAGGAGCTTTTGCCCGCAAACTTGGGCAGTCCCGTATGAAGAATGCCAGCAGAGATTGGTGGCGATCTTTCTGTGGTGGCCCTGCACCCTGACCGAACTGGATCTTAAGGGGTGGACTATGATTGATTATCCTGGTTTAACGTGTAGTATATTACATGATGGGTTTTGATAACATATACAATACAAATTCTTGGGCCAAACCACTAAACATGCACAAACTATATCATAATATGCAATGCATATTCATGCATCTTCTTCTCAGGCACACATCCTGGCATCCCTACAATATGCTTACAAGGTGCATTCCATGGCATGTGTGATCATTCCTTGCTTTCCCGGTCTCTAATTCTGAGGTGATGCACGTCTATATATATAATATGTAATACGTAATTATATTATATATATATTATTTATATATAATATATATAATATAGCATGCCTTTGCATGAACACTAATCGTATGGTCGTTACGACGAATGGCCAAACAATGAAATTGAGTGTGGCAAACTGGCTGTTTAGTAGACAACGGGCAATGTAGATTTAATATACCTGTCATGACAGGGCATTGTCTTGGTATGACATTGGGGAAACCTTCACTGTGAGCCCCCACTCTTCTATTTGGGCCAGCATTGGTTGTGTGACTGTACTTGGGGGGTTTACCACTCCAGCATTGAACGGCCAACAGAATACCAATGATGGGAATTCCAACCTGAGGAAATATCCTATGTGAGCCTGCCTGTCAAGTACTTGGATGAAGATGGAAATGCAATTGTAAGGATGGAACCGTGGCCAATCATTGACCCGCATGCAACCCTAGCCTACCTATTTGAAGATGGGCAACTTGAAATTCCTAGTGGTGATTTGGCCAACTACTGGAAGCTTTCGAAGGAGTATCAGGAACCTTGGGCACAATCTATGGATGAAAATGAAATGAGTTGTACAGTGCCTATTGGCATCTATGGTGATAGTGCCCGTGTGGACACTGCATTCGGGTCAGAAAACATACTCGCCCTTTTCTTGAATGTCGTTCTTTGGCGACCACGGTCGATGAGGTGGAGTCGGTTCTTGATTTGTGCGATCGCTGAAGAGCGTCTTACCAGTGAAACCATCCCATCACTTCTCAGACGAATTACTTGGAGCTGCAACCACGCGTTCCATGGACGCCATCCATTGTGTGGGCAATTTGGCTAGGTATTGGTTGGTAAAGCTGCTGGACTTGCAGGGAAGCAGCTGACGTCCAATTTCCTGAAATTTCGGGTAGCTGAACTACGTGGTGATTGGAGTTTTCACAAAAAGATCTGGAGGTTTGCTGAAAAGACACATTGGAACGGTGTTCACGTCTGCCATTTGTGTAACGCAAAGGGCATCTCTGATGTGTGGGAGGAATTGTATTTCAACCTGGAGACAAACACACATGAAGACTTTTCACTTCCACAGTTCATTGCCCGAAGGGTGACACCTCATCGGGTTTGCGACCTGCTTGCAATGGCAAACTGTTGTGCTGTTGAGCCACAATGAGACAAACTTCCCAAGTTGATAGAATTGCATTCTTTCAGTGTGGGCGTGGTTTTGGCTTTGCATTTCCAATGCCTGGGTTGATCTAAGGGCCCAAGCCCATTGATTCTTGTAGAGTGCAAGCATATATATACCAAACTTGGTCCGAAAGTACAGGTGAAAGATGCTGATTGGATATGCTGATATGAAGACATTTTTTGAACAGGACAATTTGACGATGTAGTTTGCAGCTTACTTTCCGAGTGCCTGGAGGTCCATTGCTTGGCCTCTTCGGATTTCATCATACCACCATCCGGTGGTGCTTGATGCACACCATGAATCTTGGTCTTCTCTATGTTGCCAATGGTGGGACGATGCTATTTGCCAGCAACTGGTGTGCTGCCCTTGGTGTGTAAGGTGATTTCCAGGGTGGGTGGTTATCTGTATGCCTGCATGCATGCATACATACTTACACCACACACTAACACTTTTTTGGTGCAGCCTGTGATGCCTTCTAAGTTTTGGGTTGCAAATTTTGTTCAGGAATCAAGGTATTCAAAGTCGCATTGAACTGGCCCCAAGGTGGTGGTGGTGGTGGTGGTGGTAACTGCTGCATGGTTGGTCATTGCCTGTCCTTTGGCCTCTTTCAGGCATGTGCTCTTGAAGTGCGGCATTTGGGGAACACCTGATGAAACAGTGCAAGTGCGACTTCACCGAGCATACCTTGCATTCAAGAGATGGTGTTCCAGCAACAAGATTGCTTGTAGCCAACCTGCGTTTCAACCTCGTCATGTGCCTAGGCTTCTGGTTTACTATTGATGTCTGAGGGGCAAACTCCCTCTCACTTGTCAAACATACCCACCCTGGTGTGCGCTAGCAGTACACTGGCATAGCCTCTGAACTGTGGCTTTTTGTTTCCCAATGCCTGTGTGCCAAACTGAGTTGTACCAAAAAAACGGAGATGTGTCCCTGGTTTGCAAAGCCTACAATGGCCGTGTGGTGATGCAGTGGTTAGCTGAAACAATTGCTGAAGTCTCCCAGCGAGATGATGTTGCTGATGTGGATGATCGTATTGGCCCAATTGCGCTCTGCATGTTGCTCGCTTTATGTATAATTATATAATATACGATATAATAATCTTATATGGGTCCAGAAAACCCTTCTGTCACTTCCAGTGAGTGGCTTCCATGGTTCCATCCTTTCCAGATGTGTCATCTATGGAACCTACTATATTGTACCTACTTCAGTATTGATCGACCCTATTTTGTCTCCTGCCATCCACCTTTTCTTGGGGCCCCCACGGCCTCTCAGGCTCCACCTCGCCCGCTTCATGCTGGGCATTGAAAATGCGGGCCGTTTCCTGAGCCTTGTCTATCCTGAAAGTGGTGGGCTAGTTGCCTGGTTTGACGTCAGGATACATCAGATCAGATATCGATCTATATATCATTTATTTTGTCACAATTCATGTATTAATAAAATATCTATAACCGATATGATACATCGTTTTTAACCCCGGGATTCCAAAGGTGATATAATTTGTATACCAAGTATGTATGTGCCTACAGGCTTATAGCAAATAACCATGAGAGTCCTTTAAATGCCATCGGTTCATGATACATCACCAAGAAAAACCTCCAAGTTGGGAGGTGACTTTTTCAAATGGATTTCCAACATGATGTTGTGTGAAAACATCATGATCCCTTGCATTATCTATCTGATGTACCTTGGTGTCAAAAACCAAGGACCCAAGATGAGTCACGAACACTCTTTCATGATGGTCGAGAATTCCTTCGGATCTACATCAAGTTGGGGCGGCTGAGTGTCAGGACTTTTTTGGTCTTGGATTTTGGCATGTTCATCACAAAAGAGTTTACTGAATGTACCTCATATATATTATATATATAGTATATGTATATTATATGTATAATATTGTATATCCCCAGGATTCCAAAGTCTATTTAAATTACAGTCGTTTGCCAGCCAGTGGATCATGGCCAGTGGTGTGATACAGCTGTTGCATGAGTTACAATTGAGCAATCTACAATCTACATACTGCTGTATGCACGACGGCCGGGCGACAAAGGAGAAACCTCCAAGAATGGTTTATCAAACCAAAAATACATGTTACTTGGCAGAACTGTTCAGATTGAGGGCTGTCATCTATTGAAATGAGTCAGGTTAGCACTCTGTTTGGTGGCTTTAGTCATCTTCTTTTCTGACACAAGGGCCTATGGCATATACTCCGTGGAATTCGATCTCACAGTGCCTTGGATGGATTTTTTGGGATTATAATGATTTTCTGAAACATTCCCTCTCTGATTGCTTGGCAGCAAACACTATGAAATAGCAACTAAGGATCCAATCCACGTTTCTGGCATTGTTTCACTGATGAGGATGCAATGTCTTGGACCAAGCGCATCTTGGTTGATATCCGTACTGCTATCCACCAATAAAGGTTTCATGAATTTTGTGGGACATGCATGCCCATGTTGAACATAGAAATTATGTGGGATGTATCTCAAAACATTGTCGATAAGGGTTATGAAAATTGATCTGGATATCCTGTACATGGATTTTCATACTCATCAATGTTTTGGTTGCTCAGGTACCTTCCTCAGAGCTCACCCTCATCATCGAGCCAGTTGGATTATCAAGTGTGGACGAATGAGGTAACTTGACATGACTATGCAAAACCTCATGTGGTCTTGAATTGTGTGGGCCATTGATGGCTTAGATTTGTGATTTAGTCCGATCAACCTTTGCATGAGGATCTGGGCCACCAAGCTGAGAATCAAGAAGCCACTTGGCAATAATATATAATTTATCCGATTTGTCCTTCATAGTTGAGTTAATGATCCTGAATGCTGGCAATACAAGTTTATGATTTATTTATTGTGCATCCGAGGATGAACAAGGAAGTTCATGCAAGACTGGCTCGTGGACGTGGCTAACGTGAAAAAGTGCGTTGTGCATGCACTCGGGGATAATGATCAAATAGGCATCAGATGATACCTTCACCAAATTCTTTGCGTGAATCGTTGCGACTATTTTGGAAACCGGTGGCTGGCAAACGACTATAATTTAAATAGGCTTTGGAATCCTAGGGTATATATAGTTATATATGTGTGTTGTAATATCATTTTTTTCTAATAGATGTATAACTTAAGACATATTTCAACTGTCAACCTCTCCATGTTTCAGGCTGAGTGGTGGCACCTGGATGGGCTGCATCTCGGGGCGCGGCGACCTGTCATGGTAGGTTTATGGCGACCTGGGTTTCCCACGTTATACCTGTTAGTTAATCGTTATCAGATGGAAAATCACTACTTTTAATAGGTAAATATCGGCAAATCACCTCTACTGGTTGGTGGTGACTGGAACCATGGTTTTTTTTTTCTATTCAGTTGGGAATGGAATAATCATCCCAACTGACGAACTCCATGATTTTTCAGAGGGGTAGGTAGAAACCACCAACCAGTATAGGTAATGGCTATTGACATGATATGGTTTGCCATGCCAAGTGAAGCATAATATGTCGTGGCTGAAAAAAACGGTCTGGCTACTAAGATGATATGATGGGCCCGTTTTAGTTTGATATAATATGGCTCCAAAAGCTTGTCTCGATATTGAATTAGCAATCAACACTTGGCCAAGTTTGATATCGAACCAAGTATTAGATGGCAGATAATTTACTTGAGTGAATTAAAACACATACTGCCTATTTTTACTGTACTTAATATTGAGCCAGCTCATAAATTACGTATCTCTATTTATTGGGTTAATTACTTGGCTCAGGAAGGTTTTCACAATTGATCTAAAGATTGACCATGTAGAAATTGGGATTGCAAGGATCGAAAATTGGTTTACAATCCCTTTTCCCTATGAATTAGACACCATGAAAAAATCAAGGAGTCTTGGATGTGTTCCTCTGGGGCGGGTTGTTTCTAGGGCACTGGGGATTGGACCATACTCCCTCAGAAAAGGATGTGTTCAGTTCAAGCATGTTTAGTCCTTAACATGTTCAAATGCGCAGGTCCATTGCTTCCAAGTCATAAACAGGGGATGATCAGGGCCCATGAACCTTGGGTTGGCATCGCCGATATGTTTGTAATCCCGTTCACGGTAGTTGGATTATCAGCCGGTATTTTCCCAGTAGATGAATGGAATGGGTAGATCAATAGCTACTGAATAGATGCATGGACAGCTGGCTAGTGTGATTTATTGTTAGTAATTCCGTATGTACTTACACAATCTTACACATATCATAGCTATAACATGATTGATCCCCCATTTTTGTTGGCTACGCTCCCCATTTCGGGCATACTCATCCCAGGGTGATCATGAGCCTGAATGCTTCGAAGCTATGCAGGCTCTGAGCTTGAGGTTGATGAGCCAAAATTCGTTGAAGGGTGGTCAGAAATGCTGAAAAAGCTCGGTCAGATGGAATTGCCTGAAACGCTATCACAAATTGCAAGTTTGAAGACCCAATTTCTGTAAGGCATTGTTGCCTAGTTTAGGGAATCTAGTTGGCTTACTCCTGCTTGAAACCAACATCTTTGACATTCCTCGACTTCTTTCTTCGTCGCATCTCATTCAACCCTCACCATCAGGAAAAAAAACATTAAAAAAAAAAACATGACTGGTTGGTGGTTTGGAGTTTTGAACATTTTTTATTTTTCCATTCAGTTGGGAATGTCATCATCCCAACTGACGAACTCACTCCATCATTTTTCAGAGGGGTAGGTTGAAACCACCAACCAGATAAAAAACCACCATGTCTTTCCACTTGAACCCAGCCATCAAAGCTTCGCGCGCGCGCACCCGTCCCGTCATGGCGGAAGTGGTGTCGTTGCAGCTGGAGGAGGATCAGTGCCTTTGGCAAAGTTGAGGCAAAATTCACCAATTTATGGGATATAATATATGGGAATATATCGGAATAGATGGGAATATATTTTATTATATATGGGAATATTTGGGATATGAGATGGGATATGATTCATATGATATATGGGAATATATGTGATGATATATTGGTCAAATACTTGGGATCATGGGATAGAATATGATTCAGAACCGATTGGCTGATATGTATTCGAATTGTTGCAATTTACCCAATGATCCAATGTATAAAGGTATCATATCATATATGGTGTATAGTCCCAGATTTGCGGTTTGTCGATGATTTGGTTTGTTTTCCCGGAAGTTTACTACAACTGGGGAATCGATTAAGGGTATATATATATTGTTTAAATTTGGGTCCTTAGGCAAATCCAAGTTTGGCAAAGTTTTTGCAACCACATCTAAACTTTGGCAATTTTTTTGCAACCAAAATAGGCTATAGCGTCTCTGGAAAAAATGGGTATCCAAAATTGGGTTCCTCTGAAAAAATGGCTCTCCATAATCCAGTTGTTTCTCATCAATTTCCTCATTAAACTGCAATTGATATGTGCCATATTGAGGCAATTGTTCATACCACAGTTAATAGCAAATTTTGATGACCAATATAAAGATTCCCAAGAATGGTGAGATGACCATCACACAGATAGCAATCGATGCTATGGAAATTCACCGTGACTTGACCATGCTCGGAGAACAGTTCGAGGACTTGCTGAAGGCATTTGAAACATCCAGGCTGTAGAAGAATAGCTTGATGTCAATGCCGAAAAGGAAGATCCTTTCCCATGTTTGTTCTGTTGTTGTTTTCTCCATTTATTGAAATCTTGTCATCTTCAAAAACGCCACAAAGCCCTGGGATGCCAGGTCGGGCGAAGAAGCCATGATGCAAGATTTCGTTCGGCTGCACATGATGAGTATCTTGGCCCCAACATGCTGGGACGAGATGTGTCATAGTCATTCATAGTCTATGTAAGCAGTATATAGCCTGTAAAGAGGGTACCCTAGTTACTGTTAGAGGAAACCCCTAAGTCATAGATTGTCATAGATAAGCGTTTTTCGTTTTTCGCACATTCTGAATGGCTTCGTCAACACGAGAGATGGGTGAGGTGGATGGGATGTGGATGTTTTTTTTTACATCTTGTCACCTCACTTTCACCAACCAGCCAACGAAATGCGAGTGTGGGATATGTGGTGTTGAGTTTGATGCTCAAACACTGTGACATTTTTGGTAGAACCCTTCCTTGGTTCTGCCTCGTTGTTTTTCCAGGTGTTGAAACTCAACAGGTGTAGCATCTTCAATCCTCCCAACTAACATAGACTTTGCCAAATAAGGGGTTGGAAGCCAATTTTCCTTTAAACATGAGTGATTCTCAGTCGAAGCTCAAACATCGCCGGGATTTTTTTCGGTGTTCTTCCATCCCCATATGGATGTTTCCATAGCCATGGGGCTACCCCAAGCTCGCTGGATGGTTTACAATGGAAAATCCTAATCTAAAATGGATGATAACTGGGGGTACCTCCATGACTTAGGAAACCGCCATGACTTAGTTGGGGTATGTTGGGGTATGGTATATTTTTTTGAATCTGACGGTTTTCTCAGGTATGCTGCAGCCTTTTGCAGAAAGGGTCCAGGCCACTGGTGGGATCGGGTAAGCCTGGCTGGTAACGTGGCTGGGAAATCACCGAACTGGAGGTGTATAGCTGGATAACATAAATAGGGGACTTTCCAGCCAGCCACGTTTGATGACACCGGAGCGTTTAAATACATGTACCCTCTGGTAAACGTTTACATAACTAATCATGGAAAAATATGGAAAAATACAATGTTTTATGGCTATATCAGCTATAAATTGCCATGTTCAATAGCTATGTAACAAATTACCAGAGGGTAAATACCAAATGATCCAAATGATTTTTGCCTCTCTCTTTGGAAGGTCATCCCAGCAAAATTCGATGTCTTTTGAGGTGCAGCAATTGTGAAAAACCTGCAGGCTGAGACCCCCCAAAATGGCGTGTTTAATCGTATTTTTGAGGTGGTGCTGTAGTGCTTGACATATTTTTGACATCAAACTTTCACATACTAGAATTAGGATAATATACATAATACATATACAATCATATACATATACATATATATATATTTACTATCATATATATATATTAGAATGGGAGAACCTTATTGTATTAATATACGCAAAAAAAACAGTGGACCGTTTTCCTCAAAGAATTGGTGATTCTCCCAGGATATTCTCCCAACTGCCGCCGTGGCAGGTAATCCAGGAGCATGTGAAACTACTCCAAGATGCGCAGCATCAAAGCTTGGGGCAGGTGAAGCACCTCGAGGGCTGCTGCTCGGCCGGTTTTTTTTTAATGGGGATTTCACGGAGATTTCAATGGTGTTTTTGGGGCTATGAAGATAGAGCTCAGGAAAAATGGGGCTAATGATTACCGAAGAAAACAGATCGAAGGAGATTGATGTGGGTAAAGTTAATGGGGTAGCCACAAAGCCGCCAAATTGGTGGGTCTTAGGATGTATTTACATATTTTTGGGATGTGATAGTTTTTGCACATATAAGTGGGTGGAGCGGCAAGTGTGGTGAGATAGCTTTGTTTTTTTTTTTTTGTGGTGGTTCTTTCTATTGATTTCAGCCTGTTGTTTTTTGATGTTTTTTGATGATTTTGACGTGAGGGGTAGAGGAATAACACAATTTTTTAATGGGAAAATCACCATTTTGAAAACAAACGCAAAAAATTGATGGTTTGGAAATGTTCAGAGCTTAGAACTTGAAGAATGGTGCCATTTCCACATTGAAATCATGTCACCCATGTCACTGGGCAGTTTCTGCAGGTTCCGCTGCGCAAAGCGAAGAGCTTCAGAAGCTAAGCGAAGAGGTGCAGAGACACAAGGACTGGCGTGTTCTTTTCTTTGTTCCAAAAGCAACAGACGATGAGGATATCGATATATGCCTTGTATATACGATATAAACAATAAAAGTATATATTATATGATATTATATGTATGTATATATACATATATATATATATATATATATATATATATATATTCGGATTTGATATGATACATGAGATATACATGATATACACATGATAATGTGGATGGAGGAAAACCCGCACCAGTTGGTAGATTGTTCATCCATGTTTATCCCATCATAATCCCATTAAATCATTATAGTCCCAGTGTTTCATAGTTAGTTACCACCTGGTGCAGGATTTCTCAACCATCCTGAGTATGGTTGTGGGGATGGTTTGATTTCAGTTATTTCAAGGTATACAACTGTATCAGATTTGATATAGGAGATATGCATTAGAGATACATTAGAGATACATTAGAGATACATTAGAGATACATTAGATATACATTGGATATACATTAGAGATACATTAGATATACATTAGATATTTACATGAGATATGATCTGATTTCAATCTTTTTTTGCAGAAAAATCACCGAACAAAATCGCCATTGAAGGAGCAGCTGGAGGCCCAGCAGCTGGAGTTGGCCACGGTGAAGAAGGAGCGAAATCGCCTCGAGGGAAACCACGAGATCACCAAGGCAGTAACGCAAAAGCCATGGCGGCTTTGGGAGCTAGGAAAATCGAAAAAACATGGAGAAAATGACATGACTTATTAGTGTATATATATACATACATACATATATCATATATCATATATATATAATTATATACACATGTATATGTAGATATATACATATCATGTGTGTATATATATATACGGACATACATACATACATTATAATTTTATAAGACTTATTTGGGTTTTCTTATATATGTTGTTCTTCATCTCTGGGGATCTATTCAAAGGGTTTCCAATCAGAGTTTGCCAAATTTTGCGGTGTCTGAAAAAAAAGTGGAATGGTGCCAAAGACAATTGTGTGTTTGGTTCTTTGAATGGACAAGTATGTTTTTTTTGTGTGTTGTGGTGTATGCCACGAGATTGTCGAGTAGAAGGGTACCCTGGCCCCTTCTAAACGTAACATTATTGCAAAGCAACAATGGGGAATGTTTTTCGGTAATATGTATATATATATATTATATATACAGGTATATTACTTTTTATCTATATATATATATATATACATATCGTTTTTTTCCACGTTTTTTCATTTTATGTTATTTTGTTTATTTTAAGATATAATTGAACACATATATCAAAATGTTTTTTTTTTGGCTACCTCACTGCATTTTGTTTCTTCTTCGTGGCCAAGCTGCCTCTCAGCTGTGCAACTCTGCAGCTGTGCAACTCTGAATAGCATCCCTTTGAATAGTGTTCCTCTAAAGTGGAATTATTTTGATATTATTTTGGTAGATTTGGGAAGATTTGAGTAGAAACTAAAGAGTTTAGTCCTAGGTCCTAGGTTATAGTTAATTATCAGCATTTTTGGATGAGATTATATAGTCTCTCGGTGCCTAGCCATCAACTGCATCACACAGGAAGATCGGTGTGCCTTGATTTAGAGACCCAAAGGTGGCGGATCCAAAACAATGCTTAAATCGGTACGCGTCAAGTTCATTTGTTGCAATAGGGAACAAATTTATGGTGCCCAAATTCATACCCTTGGTCTTGTCGGTTCAACCCTCAATCTTTGAACAATTTTCATCTCAGCAAACTGGAGGGATTCATTCCAATGTATCCCAAAATGAATAAACATATGATTCAAATTCTCGATTCTCATCACATGTCTGATTTCGTTGGCAATTCATATCAATTCATCCATTTTTATCAATGTTTCATAGATGTTTTCCATCAATGCCAAGCCAAACAGAACGCCCAAAAAAAAATCGGTCTGTCTTGGTCGCCTCAAAGAGCAAAGTCATCAGAATCCTCGCAGGCCTCCGTGGCGAAGGCCCGCGAGATGGCGGAGGAACTGGCAGAGCTGGTGGAAAAGCTGAGGGAACAGCAGAAAGGAAGCAGCTGGGCATATGGAACATCACCATTTTTTATGGGTAAATCAACCATTTTTGCGGCTATTTTCAATAGCTATCTTTGTTTACCAGAGGGTAATGATAGATACTGGTTGGTGGTGACTGGAACCATGGATTTTTATGACTTTCCCATCATATTGGGAATGGAATAATCATCCCAACTGACGAACTCCATCATTTTTCAGAGGGGTAGGTATACCACCAACCAGATAGAAATGATGAGAAGATCATAGAAGAATCATAGAATAATGTCATAGACTTTCAGTTCTATGGAACATATATGGAACATCATATCTGGATATATCTGGTCTTTTTATGGAATTTGGACTGTTTGGGGATGCTTCGGATGATCACAAGTGATATACCATAGGGATCCATAGGGATGATGCCAGTGATTTTTCTATCGAGAAATGGACTGTCACCACCTTCGGCAAATCCAAGTATTTCCGTGGGGATAAAAAAAACAACTGGGGGTGCTCTGAAGTGATGCGGATATGATATGATGGATATGATATACTATGATATACTGTAGTTTTTTTGATCATTTTTGTAGATATCATTCTCTCCAACGCAGCGGTGATTTTGTTGGAGTTTCGGTATGATGATGGGAGGGGTGATAGAATGGTGGTATAAAATATGCATTTTTATAGTGGGATTATTGTTCTCGAAGTTTGGGGATGGTTGATATATCATGGATATAATGAAAAGGTATCATTTTCGGATTTTTGGTGGAGATTGTATGATGGGGGGATTGTGGAATGAGTTTTTGGAAAACTGAACTTATCATTCTTGGGGAAAAATACATGATATGGGGGAATGATACAATTCAGGGGTCTTATGATTGGGATATTTTGAAGAATTTTCTCTACCGTACATGGAGATAATTTTGTTCCCTAAAGAGTTGATGGTTATGGCTATACTTTAGTCGGGATTGATGGAGTCATAATTTAGTCGGGATTGATGGAACGTGCTATTGAATGTCTACAGGGGTTGATGACTGTCCCATAGTCAAGTATAGGGATTGCTAAGGCCATACTCAGGACATTTTGGTCTTGGTAGTGATTCTCCTATGGGATTCAATCGTGGTTGATGGTTAGATGATGTTAGATGGATTGACTTGGATATCTTGGATATATTTGCACGCTGGTTTCATTGTAGATGCAGTTGACAGTTGACATTGTGAAACCAAGATTGCCACAAAGGCCAGGGCAAAGGGGCCGGGCACGAAAAAACTTGGCATTTTGGCTGGTGGGGATGGACGTAGCAACAACCTCCCAGGAGGTACTGTAGGATGCCTATTGACCAACGTTAAAACATGGTGATGAACACGATCCGGATCCGCAGCAAATATGACCAAACATGGGTTGGCCCGGGGCTTTGGGGGTTTCATTTCTTGACCAAGTCGCACCTTTGAGGCATGGAGAAGCTGGAACTTTGTCACACAGAGTGGCAAGAGCTGGACAAGAGCGCCTTGCTGAACCGGTGCACCCTGGTGAACCATCATTTTAAGACCAAACTATGTGGGATTTTAGCAGAAACATTGCAATGACAATGGGAACTCCCCTATTTTAAATAGAGGTTTTACCAGTTTAGTCGGAAAATCATTTAACATGGAGGATGTTCCATTGATTTCCATTGCCACGTTTAATTACCGGAGGGTATTCATTATTCTTGGACCGCTTGAGGATTGGTTGAGCGCTTTGATACTCGTCTCGACAAGCAGGGGCGAGTTTGCAAAGAGCTGCAACTTGACGAAGCTATAGGGATGTGCTGGGCCGGTATGGGCTGGTACGGGTATGTTGGCTTTGCAGTTTTTGATATGTCATGTTCGGTTTTGTTCCAAATTTATTCAACATTTGAATGGTTACAGCCTTGTCAGTGTAATTCCTCCGAGTTCAAAGTTCCATCCAACCCTTGTGGTAGAAGATTAGCCACCTGTTCCAGTTGTGATTGTTTTCGCACCAAGTTGACCATCTTAGACCTACCACCTCTATCACCATGTTGTTACATTGTCACTGTACCAGTTTGTTTTGTTTTCTCCAATCTTCATGTTCATCTTCCTCAGAGAATCTGTTCAGACCCAGATTTGGTTCCCTTTTGCCAAAGAGCGATCCCAAGGAATGAAAAGCAGTTGGAGCTGCAGAAGCTCCTTCAACAGGCCAAAAGTAGTGGTGACTTGACCATACCAAACATGACTCGATGTGATGCGATGTTCGCATCATTTTTTGGGGCTAAACCTGGCTTCAATTGGGGATTGACGTCGATGAACTTGGAAAAAAACGCTGACGATTTGTTGGATGTGAGAACTTGGACGGGGATTGGTAGAAAACCATGATCAAATCAAGAGAAAATGGGAGCGCTCGCGGAGATTTGGCGAATCTTCCGGTAGTCAAACAGCATAGAATCTGTGATTGAATCAACCAAGATTGGAGCCTTGACTGGCGCAGCACCACCGTGGCCATGCGTTCCAAAAAAACATGGGGATAATTTACATATATTTAGGTCGACCATATTCATCAATATTCTAGGATTCTGATCTCAAACTTGGTCGATTGTCGATTAAAATTTTCTATTGACATCTATGAAGATGATTGAACATGTATGAACGCATAGGTAATGGAACATGGCTAATTTGTAGGAAGTTGTTTACCTGTAAAAAATATGATGTTCCATTTAGCCATATTAAATTCCCTGGGGGTATACATATTCATATAATTACTCTACCAGCCATTGGTTCCAATATTTCCATCTACCAGTTTTATGTTATGCGGGTTTATCATCCCTATGTCTGGACATAGCAATATGGCTAAGTACCTGTTCATGTAGAATGTGGCAAACCCAATAACAGACAATTCCTAATATCAGCAGAAATGGATGGGAACTATCATTCCCAAATGATAGGTTTATGGCATTGGGTTTACCATATTAGTGCTTATTCAGAGCATGTGGGGGTTTCCTAAAATAGGGGTACCCCAAATCATCGATTTTAATAGGATTTTCCCTTATAAACCATCCATTTTTGGAACCCCCATTTTCAGGAAACCCCCATGTGACTTTGCTGATCTCTCAACCTTCGACCGCGTTTTGAGGTGACAGAGCGTGCCTTTGCTGCGTTGGAACACACCAATTCTCAGGTGCACCAGGCAAGAGGTCTCCGTTATAAGTAGATCACTTCACGTTACGTGGAACTGCTTTGTCAGGCTTGATATTTGACCGAGTGTACAATGTTTGATCTCCGTTGTAAGTCTCAAATATGCACATGGCATGTGTCATTTTGTGCTAAAAGGTTTTTTTTGCACATGGTTATTGTCTCTACTTCTTTTGCTCGCGGCGTAGACTATTTCTCAATTCGTCAAGTCAAACATAGCAAACTATCATGGATCGAAGCCGACGATGAACACACCAGTGACCATAAGCACCGCGTCTGGACAACCTCTGAAGGCCCCCCCCTTTGGACTTGCCTCCGAAACGCAAAGCTCATCCTAAGGAATGCCACCACGCCTCTCGGACCTTTGAAATTGCCGCAGCTTTGTGGGTCAACTTGTTTTTTTTGTTTTTTTAAATTGACTATATAGGTCACTAGAATTCACTCACTTCACTAGACATCAGCAAAAAGCAGCAACAACTAGATGACAGATATGACAGGATGGAACTTATCACTTTCCATGACTTGATCCATTGATCCATCCCCTTTTGGCCGAGGAACCACCTCTCCTTATCCTTGGAGGCCTTAAAAGAGGGCCTTGAGACCAGTTCCAGAGGTGCCTGGTGCCTGATTGGAGATCCCCCAGGTATGGCTATTTGGAGCTTTCCTGAAATAGGGCTAGCCCTAGGCCCTAGTTCTCATCCATTTATAATCATTTATAGATGGAATTTTCACTGTAAACCAGCTATTGCGAGCTTGGGGTAGCCCCATGACTATGGGAAAGCCCTAGTGACAGGGAACATGATGATCAACCAGTGGATAGATGAATCTAAGGGCAGGTTCCCCAACATTTTCGGACAAAACCATTCTGTTTTGGGCTCAAAAAAATATTGACCCATCCAAATATAGTGGTTTTGTATGGTTTTGTAATAATACTTCATACACTGGTTAGAACATGATAGATACTTATATTTGATGATACTATTTATTGATATAATGTGGGTAAAACAATAATAAACCATCCCCAAATCACCATTTTTATAGGTGGTATGGTTACCATTCCCAAATGGGTGATTTATGACATTAATTTACCATATTTTACCATATTTTACCCACATTATGGTAGATATATCTATTGTTAATGATTGTATATGGTAGATTGATATGGTTAATCAAATAGGTATTATTAATTGCCTATTAATGTTGGTAAAAGAAAAACAAACCACATTATTTGATACAATTGTTTGAACATTTGCTAGATACTCATAGTTGATACTATTCATTGAGTAGATAATACTGATGACCTCTGGTAAACTAACATAACTCTGGAAAATCACCATTTTTTTGGCTAAATCAAGTATTTGTGTGGCCATGCTCAATCGCTATGTTTGTTTACCAGAGGGTAATGATAGATACGTTGGTAAAAGATCAAGCCGCAACGATGTTTCAACATGACCCAGGCCATCAAGCCGCAGCGCACGAGCTGCGCGAGGAACTTGAAGGACTCAAGGAGCGGTTTTGGTGGTGGAGCGGTTTTAAGCTGCCGGTGTCATCAAAGGTGGCTTTGAAATCCACCAAAAATGTGAGTTTTAGACTGTTTTACCATCTGGTTATTTAACAGTTCGCCATGGAAAATCACCATGCTATTAATAGGGCCATTTCCCATGGCTAGGTTAAATAACCAGAGGGTAAATGCGAAACAATCTTGAACTAACGGACTTGTCGATGGTTATGTTTGATTTTTCAGAGGCTAAAGCATCAAACATGGGGAATTCAGAAAGAAACGTTGGATATACTGTAGTATAATCAATATCAATCAATATATAATTTCTAATTTTGGTACTTGTTTCCAGAGAAACATGATTGTCAATGGATTGGTTTAAGGGAAATTTTACTGGTTTAAGCCCCATGATCTTCATGGGAAAATCTATGGTTTCCCGGAGATTTTCCCTTAAACCAATCCGTTGAGTTTGATACTTTCCAACTGAAGATGCCACAGCCTGGTCCATGATGGCTATTGATGGCTAAATAATGTTAGTGCAATATGTTCCATCCCCAATTCGACCATACATGCAGTAAATTGGTGGTATCAACTTGGTGGTATCAACCATCAACATATGTAACATATAGGTGGTTTATGATTTCTTGACTAATAGCACTAAAAGCGATTTGTTTTTTTGTGCGCACATTGGTACCCCATCAAAAAAAGTCGTTGCCAGGAAGAATTACTGCAACGAAGCAAAGCCTGGGCAGACACCAACAGAGAGGCATGGTCCTTAGTCCTTGGATTCGTATTTGCCACTTGTGATTGGCCCGCGGGGGAAGCTGAGAAAGAGACTTTTGACTTTTGACGTGTTTTTGGAGGATAAAAATGGACGCAACATTGGACAGGTTCGGACAAGAAGAAAACCTGGCATAGTGAAGCAGTGTCACTCAGTCGCCTGTGCCCGCGATGCTAATGTCTCAAGTTGCGCACCCGAAAATTACGGCAGGACGGTGAAACACATGGTGGAGTGGCTCGAATTTTCTCTGTTGCATGGGGTCGACCACTTTTTTGTCTACACCTTCAAGGGAACCGAGGATGCTGTCAAGGAAGTCCTAATACCTGAAAGCTGGTCTGGCCACAAAGATCCACTTTGATGTGCCGCAGTATCCACGAGATAAAACCCTGCATATGTGCGGTCGGCATTTCGACTAGGTGATTCGGGATTACCTGTATCGGGCCAAGAGCCACGCCACATGGGTCATCCCATCCTTTGACTTCGACGAGTATTTCCACCTGAACAGTGGCAACATCTTTCCAGACGGCAAGATTCCACAAGACTATCTGAGGACAGGTTGGGATGCCATCACACGATCTCAAAACAAAACTCCAGAGGAAGTTCGGAGCATTTCTTTCAAACGATTTCACTTCGCTCGTGCTTCAATGGCAGTTTGGAGATTTCTTCCCCAAGGCACGAGGCGCATCTCCAGGAGCGCTTGGGGCAACCGGACACCGTGGAGGCCTCGCCGAAGTACGTCTACAACGTCCACGTGGCGACGCCTGGTGGCATTGGCTCAAGGACTTGGACCCCGTCGGAGTGGTGAATCACTACCGAGTTCCGGACCGAGATCCACTGGCCCAGACCTTCGACGACAAGTTGGTCGCTGACGCGCCTCTGCTGAAACAAGCGATTCTGCGACTGGCACGTTGGAGATTGCTTCACCGTGGCGTGAGGCGCATCTGCAGGAGCGCTTGGGGCAACCGGACACCGTGGAGGCGCTGCCCAAATACGTCTACAACGTCCATCTGGCGAACGACGCCTGGTGGCATTGGCTCAAGGACTTCGACCCCAAAACGAAGCGTTCCTCGGTAATCCCAATGACTCCGGACATGATGGCCACCGTGGTGTCCTCTGTGCCGACAGAACACATTTCGCTCAACGAAAGCATCGGCTACGTCCATCACTATCGCATTCCCCACGGAGATCCACAGGCCAAGACCTACGACGACCACTTGGTCTCCGACAACGACAAGTTGACAGAAGCCATTGAACGACGATTTGGTCAGAAACTTCCAGCTTTACTCAAGCGATTCAGTGAGGCAATCCCACAACCGGCACAGTAGGTGTTGAGCGCACTGGAACCTTTAAAAAAAAAGTGCCTAAGGCATGCCACTTAGTAATTGGTGAATGAGTCCAGCGACATCCAGCAACGGTCTTTTTCCAGTGAAACAAGGTGCAGCTAGCTAGGTTTATGTCTCACTTGCCAGATGGGATGCACATCAAAGTAGACCACATCTTGGTACATCTTGGGTCCCCATGTGTGAGATATCCCACTCCACCAAGCAAGACAGGTATATGATGAGGATGGACTACTGAATGTTATCAGGAGCTCGCAACATAACTGTGCGCCTGTGTCCAAGCAGTGCGCTTTTTGAAAAGGGACAACCATCTTCCAGTAGATGGCCGCCATGCTGGTCAGCATTTCTCCATACTTCTCCGATATGGCCCAACTTGGAGTAAATATGCCATGGGAGGATATGGGATTGGTGTTATTTCGTTAACTCTGCAGTTGGAGGAAACCATCAATGTCCATCTCCACAACTCACTGGAGAGAAACTGACCGATGGGTCAATTCCCTGGTATCAGTTCACATCAAAATGCACGGATATTCATACCCCAAATATGGTATCATGGGTTTTCAATGGTTTTGACCTATCCTCACATCAACTTGCACTGATTTGCAATACCTGACCATGCACCCGTGCAGTGTGTATTCCCAAACACATTGGAAACCTCACCATTTATGATAAAGAATGGTTTCCTATCGCTTTTCCCTTGAATTTTCCACAGTGATTTACGCAGCCTGGGATCTCATGAAGATTGCTCCCTGGAAGTCTGGAAGTCTGCGGCTTTCGCTGTTGGCTTTCGCTCCAGCCATCAGGTGCATCATTTGCAAACCTGGGCGGAAGAATTGAGACAGTTGCAGCAGCTCACTGAGAAGCAGGTGCGGCAGCTAGGGGATGTGGCTTTTGTGGACTGCCATCGTCAGGTTAGTTGGATGAGTAACTAACCCGGTATTTGGGGGATGGTCATACCACCATTAACTCATGGCGAATTGTAGTTTGGCCATAGGATGTCCATATTTATAATTATTTATACGATGTTTTGATCATCGCACATGTGGGAGGTAATTCACATGTCGTTTCTTAGGTTTTACATCTCCAAGTGGACAGGGAAAGGGGTTTCACACCTCGAAAGTAGCCGCTGGGTTGATCGCATCTTGGGCCACCATCGACCGGCAAGCTCCAATAGTTTTCTGAGAGTCTTGGCGGATGCACTTACTATCCCATGACGGATCCATGGTGCTGGTATATATGCTAACATAAAGGGGGTATATTGATGGGATCCATGTTACCATATATAGCAGCACCATGGATCCTATGGGTATATTTTATACATGGCTATGGATCAATACCTATATACATACCATTTTTAGGGGGATGAACATCCATGAATCCCAGCTATTTTGATGTGAACAGAAGGGGTACAAGGTTTTGACCCATCCCCACATCACTTGAATCCAAGATTCGTGAAATCTCAAAAGTATGATTTCAAGAGGTGTTAAAAAAACAAAAAAAAACCTTCCAGCATTCTGTAGTTTCCATTTCCAGGGGCCGAATCCATGGTCGATCCAGCATTTTTCGCTCATCGGCCCCAGGACGTGGCCCAAGCTGAGCTGCAGGCCGTCCGCGATACCGATGGCAAGTGTATGGCTCCAGATCATTTCCAGATCCATAGAAATGCAATCATTTGAGGATTTCATCAGAAGGATGGTGATTATACTAGAATATTTCTAATAATCATATGATCTGTATTGATATGTATTTGTTATGTAGTTTATTACAGCCGGCGTATCTTGGATTTGCTGAAGCTGATTTGTTTCTTAGGTCGATTCCGCATGTGGAATCGACTGACTTCCATGAACAGATTCATTAGCACGAGCTAGCAGTTTGTAGCTTAAATTTCAATTTTTCTAGCTTCAATAATCCACAGTTTTCTCATTTTTTCTTGGTTGAATCATGTTGAATCCGAATCTTTGGATGCTGCATATGCTACATCCCAAGTTTCGTAAGTTAAATCCCTTTGTTCCTATTAACTGCTTACATACACCCATGTTTTATAGCTCAACTCCCAATTTTTGTAGGGTACTGTACCCTCCAGTAAACTAACATAAATGTGGAAGATTGTGGAAGATCCACCATAGAAATATATCATGTTCCAAACAGGAAACCATAGTTTGCTTTTTCCATATCTAACCCACAATTATTGACTATCCAATAACCAATCACTGATAGTTTATCAATATTGATCAATGTATCAGTGATGGCTTCATCCAACAATAGTCCCATCCATATATCCAAAAACATATTGATACCAATTGATTTTTCATGGTTCATCCAACAATAGAATACAATAATCCCTATTAATATCTATTAATTATTCATCCAACAATAGAATACAATAGAATACAATAATCCATTAATTATTAATAGAATATAATAATCCCTATTACAATAGAATACAATAATCCCTATTAATATCTATTAATTATTCATCCAACAATAGAATACAATAGAATACAATAATCCATTAATTATTAATAGAATATAATAATCCCTATTACAATAGAATACAATAATCCCTATTAATATCTATTAATTATTCATCCAACAATAGAATACAATAGAATACAATAATCCATTAATTATTAATAGAATATAATAATCCCTATTACAATAGAATACAATAATCCCTATTAATATCTATTAATTATTCATCCAACAATAGAATACAATAGAATACAATAATCCCTATTAATTATTAACTACCAGTGTAACATTAAGAATCTTTTTAACATAATCAGTGTAACATTGATAATCCTATTATTATTACCATAATCCCCCCATTTTTTTCACAAAATCACCACATGTCCAGCGCTCCAAAAACCGCGCGGGGAGGCCCAGCAGCAGCGCTTAGCGCAGCTGGAGCAGCGACTCTCCGACATCCTGCTGCGACCGGACCACGAGGCGAGGGACCGGACCCCGGCCGGTTGTGGGACGTTGAAGATGGGAAATGGAGGGCATGCTGTATGGTTTTGGGATGTTTTGGGCAGCCTTGGCTGTACCACACTATTCATATTAAGCCCCTTAGATAAAAATAGTGTAATCCATCTATGTTTAAGTCAACTCATTTACATTGATGCATAACCAATTCATCGCATTATATACATAGCAACCCCCAAATAGATAGAACAGTGTTTCCAGGATGGTATAGATGATATTATCCCTCTAGTTTCCAGGTTTGCAACTTTTCTATCTTGTTGGTGGCTACTAATATATATATATGTTTGTTATGTGTGTATGTATATATATATATATACATATATATCATATATATATATACTAGTATATATATATATATATTACAGTTAATCGACAAGTCCAAGTTGGGGACGGGGATTCGAGATATCTCTCGGCGCAGCCTGCCAGGGCTCGGCACTTCGAGACGAGCTGGAGCTGGTGCAGAAGCAGCTGCAACAATTCTCGGCTGAGGCCAATGGCCTTGAGCTGGTAGATAGCCTCTGGTGAACGTTTACATAGCTATGGAAAATCACCATTTTTCATAGGTAAACCATTAATTGGGAAATAACCATGCTATTAATGGGGAAAATCCACTACTTCTATGGCCATTTTCAATAGCTATGTTAAATTACCGGAGGGTAGCTAGGGTTGACCCAGCTGGTGTATATCTATTAATGTTGATAATCAACCAGCCGCAATTTTATTATCAATGGATGCTATAAACCATTCCCAAATATCGATTGTTAATGATTGTGTATGGTTGATATGGTTAATCAGTGAATAGATATTAATCAGATATGATTAATGGCCTATTAATGTTGATAAAACAATCACAAACATCACAAACCACTGTCAGTTTTACTATAAATGGGTGATATAAACCATTCCCAAACGGGTGGTTTATGATTGTTTTACCCACATTGTGGTAGATATATCGATTGTTAATGATTGTATATACTAGAGTGATATGGTTAATCAACATAGATATTATTCATGGCTATTGATATGGCAAAAACACATGGATAAACTACCAATACTGACTATTCATTATCCAACTGCTAATAACAAACTGAATAGCTATTAATGGATATATATATATATATGTATGTATATACTACCGAATATTAATAGCTATTCAATTGGTTTATGGTATATCTATCTGTTCATGATTAGGCTTAGGCTTCACCGACTTCACGGGGATTCATCGAAACGTCTTTCACCGGTACTGTGACAGCATTACTATGGTTTCGTCAATTGATCTGGGTAAATTATGGTAAATTATAACGACCTCACTGCGACCTCACTGCAATCATAGTTAATAAGGGAAATCATCCCCAAATGGGCCTTAATTCAGGTTAGTGAAATATTATAATTTACCCAGATTGATGTAGTAATGGTGTTATAGCCTTTTTGGTTTACCAAGGGTAATATGTTTCATAGTGAAATTGATACTGATACACCATCAATTTCACCTATGGTCCTTTGCGTTTCTTATAGCCACTATTGGTTTACCAATTGATGTATTCAAACTAGAAACATCTGGCCATGCCCTGTGATTAGTTTTATGCAATAACCTCGAAACCTCAACTTATTGAGGTCATACCGAATGAGTTTCGGTTTTCTGTAACATTGACCCCAAACCAATTCAGGAATGGAGCTGATCTTGGACTATCATTCTGTCCAATATGGTCTTATTCTCGTTTGCGCAATCCCACTGCAGAGAAGATTTGATCCTCCGCTGACAGACAGTTTCCATTTTAGGTTGCTAAAATCATAGATTTTCCTGCAAAGCCGCATCATCGTTGGCAATATCCCACATTTGCTGGAGACAAGAAGAAACCGCTATTCTGACATAGTTTCTGACATACCATCTGGAAGTATATATGGCATATTTATTCTGACAGGTGGGGAAAAACACATTCACTATATATACTGCTTCTGGACTTATGTTGGTTCGTGTTTTCATGTTTTCAGCCAGGTGC